ACAGTCCAGGAGGTTTGAGGACACGTGCGCTGGCAAGCGGACGCAATTCAAGTGTCATATATTTATATGAACCTCCAAGAGACTTTGAAATGTAAAGCAGAAATTTAAAAGCGTGGGGTATATACCACACGCGGCGTTAACCACCTGGACTTTATAATATTCCCAATAAATTAGAGCCTGAAGTATCAAAAAATTATTCATAAAAGAAGTTTGTCTCCACTTTTATATAAAATTCTGCATCCCTTGTTTGCAAATTTCCTTCGCACAAAATAAAATTTACTTTCAGAAAAGTAATTTCTTTATTTAAATATTTTTTAATTAAAAAAAAGCATGAATAAAAAAAAGGATTTCTATCTTTTTGAAGTACTTATGTACACAATACGTAATCAAATTCTTTAGAGGAAAAAATATTTTTCTATTTCAATTGTTGTATATAAAAAATATTTTAGTTTTTTGAAAAACAGTTTAAAAGAAAAATATTTCTAAAAACAAAAATTTTGTTTTTGTCATGAAAAATGTTTTTGTCTTTTAATCGTTAAATCATAAAGGAGGACTTTTTTTAAAATAAATAATATGTTTAGCTTTATTGTTAAAACAAATATGTATAGGTTGTATATTCAACTTTAGATTGTAAGAGTACAAATGTACAAAAGGGCTTGGTCCCGTTTATTAATAAATAATAAATAAATAAAAATTTTCGTTCTAATACCTTTTATGGAAATTTTGAAAGACATTAGTGTTTCATGAAAAATTACGAAAATCGTTAGATGTTTTAGAATATTTGGAAAGTTAGTAATCCAAGTATTCGTCATTGATCTCTGTATATTAGAGATATTGACAAACAATACATGTGTATAACATAATGTATTAATCGTATATTAACACAAAAGTTGTGAGTCATTCTCGGAAGCCCTAAAAAAGTTTTCCTCTTCTTTTCATTCTTATATTTTGAGTAATTATATTTGGATAACATTTTTCAAAGTGTAATTAAATTTTAATTATAGGTAGTTGAAAATTTACATCAAAAGAGTCTTATTTGTTTGAAAAATATTTTTTTCATTAAAAACTATATTACGCTTCAACATGAAATTTTTAATAACAACTTTGTTAAAAGCACATTTTTTCAAAGGATATCAAATTGAGACAAAATGCGGTCTGAAAAAATTTTTGCGAACCAACGTTTTGATACGTTTTTTTGTCTTTGTTTGATACTTTGAAAAACTGTTAGTAAAAAAAACTTACGGAAAAAAAGTGAACAAAAAATAAGTTCTTAAAATTATCATTCATGTGAAGGTAAATTTTTCTTTGAAGAATGATTAATTTTATAGAAAATTTTTCTTTAAAGATTGATTAATTTTATAGAAAATTTGTTGAAAAGAAAAAATCAGAAATCCTTGAATGATAAATATATTACAGTGGAACCTCGATTATCCGAACCCTCTATTTTCCGAACTTCTGTTATCCGAATTTTTGTTTGGCCTCCAAAATCTTTCAAAGGAAAATATCGAAATTTGTTCCAAAAAAATCTTTAAAAATTCTAAATTCTCTGTTTTATTAATATATTATATTTACGTACATATACTTATGTATATTTAAAAAAAACGTATTAAATTAAATATATATATATAATTCAACTGTCTAATTTTTTATAGGTTTAATTATGAAAAAAATTAAAATCTCTATTAACCGAACTTTCGATTATCCGCACCCGTCTTTGCTTAGGTTAGTTCGGATAATCGAGGTTCCACTGATATTATTAATGAGTTAATAATTTTTACATTCGTTTTCCATTTTTATTTCAATATTTTTTTACATGGCCTTTGATAAATTGAAATGATTAAAATAAATATATTAATGTCGACAATAGAAGACGGAACAAAAGTTCATTGAAATGGATGACATAGAGGTAAAATTTGTAATGCGGTCGTTTTCTTTATTGCGACAAACTGTAGTTTATTTCCTCAATCTTACAACAGTGCCATTTTATATGTACATTTATTTATATAATGTCTCGAGACATACTCTTTTGTATTGTTTCACTTGAGAAAATAGCAAAGTACTCTTTAAAATTGGTAGAAAACTAAAATAACCATTAAATTTTCAAATAATCTTCTATATTTAGCTTTTTTATGAAAACAGAAATTGAGATTTTTTAAAGCAACGTAATGAAATAAGAGAAATACAATGAAATACCAATAAAGGATAATGTTATCCATTGAACACGAAAATGTGTCAAGTCGTAAAAGAATTATGCAGTTGAAGCAAAAGATTTCCGTAATTTACAAAAAAAAAAATGCAGAAGCAAAAAACCGATTATATACTAATATCCTAACTGTAACGTTTTTGAACTGTTCTGCAATGTCCCAAGGGCAGAATATATACAATATTTCATAAATTAATTTAAAACAGTGTCAAAATCGCCATTCGTATAAATTATAAATTTAATTAGTTTTAACTAACAAGTTATTAATAAAACAAAATATATTTTTTTTAAATGAAAATAGAATTCAATTAACTGGGTGAATCCAGTGGTTTTAATCTTGTTTACGAGCAACGAGTTTTCCTGTCATCCGATAGACGCGAAATTCAAATTGAATGATGTTAAAATTATTCACATTGAATTTTCCGCTTTTATAATTTTATAAATGTCTGATAGATGTCAAGAAAACTTCTCGTTCGTAAGCGAAAAATAGTAAACCGTCTATAACAATCAATGACTAGCTGAGATTTTTAATTCGCACTTTTGGTCTTAATTTTGTAATGCTATTCCTTAATTACGAATTTTATTTATTTTTATTCATTAGTTATTTAATTATGTAATTTTATTCTCAGTTTTATTTATGTCAATATTGACAATTTATATTTAAATTTACATTACTTATGGAATAAATAATAGGCCGGTAGAAAAATAATGAATTTTACTAAATTATTTAAATGAAATTAATTATATTTAGATTAAATAAAATTTTTCTCATGTATAACAAACGTAAAGCAGAATCTTTAAGGAAAAAAAATTTGGGAAGAGTGAAAGTATTTATAGATGACCTTGGTTACAGGACTCGGACCATGAAACATACTCCAGGAAATAGCATTGACATTCAGTTCGTATTGAATTTGAGTATTTGACAAAATAAAATATTGAAAGAAACAAAGTAAGTGCAAAAATCAAGTATAATATGCACACTGATCTCAAGATTTATTGTTTATTATTTCGTAATCGTCAACATTAAAATGTCACGTTGTGCTTCTTTTATTACACTTTCTTAAAAAGAACAAGCGGAATATATCGCAATTTCCGTGTTTTAGAAAATGATGTCTCAAAAACCTCGTACGTCTCGTAACAGAGGAAAATATTTGTCTTTAATAAGAAAATATTTTCTTGATATTTTTGCAAACCAAGCATTTCTTTTTGTTGGACCAACATATTTTTTATTTGGTCCAAAAGTGATAGTTTTTATGTCTACTTTTATTATGGATTAAAAAAATTTTCTTGTAGGTGAACAAAAATTTTGATCAAGTCTAAAAATTTGAAGACAATTTTTTATTTGTCAGACAAGTTCTTAGATGGGATAAACTTTTTGGGTATAAGGTAAACAATAAGTTTAATTAGATTTAGGTTCAATTGAATTTTTGATTAGAGTAACAAATTTTTTATTTGGTCCATAAGTTTTTAGTTTGGACCAATGAAATTTTAGGTAAATAGATCGTAAGTTTAATTAGGCTCAACTAAATTTTTGATTAGAATACCTAATTTTTTATTTGGTCCATAAGTTTTTAGTTCGAACCAATTAAATTTTAGGTAGACAAACAGTAACTTTGATCAAGTTCAACTGAATTTTGATTAGGATAACAAGTTTTGATTAAAATATCAAATGTTTCATTCGATCCATATAACAAAATTATCATTACCTCTAAGAATATTTTTCGAAAAATTTACATATGACTATAAAAACTAAATAACGGCAAATGATTAAAAATTTTTTCGGAATAACTAAGTCTTTGTATAGTTTGCTTTGTCGAATAGTAGCAAAAACATTTTTCAATGGTAAATTCTGAGAATATTAAAAGTTTAAATATTTACAATACCACCACCCACATATTTTCCTTTTTGTATACAATAAATGCGAGTTTTAAGTGTGTTTTTCTTTGCCGGAATGCAAATTATATAGGTTGTTCACCCGGTGACCTCTCACACTCGAAAGGAGTACTTCATGCAATGGTATATAAACGTCCATTATAGACCGTGATATAATATATTGAAACCTTATGTCACGCATAACTTGAATGCATTGCTCATACCGGCAAACAAAGTATAGATGCTTTTTTAAAATCATAAATGTACATAAATTTTTCTTGCGATCGTTGTAGAAATTAAAATGCTTCATTATACCATTTGAAAAACTGATTTGTTTTTTTTTCAAAATCTCAGAATCTAAATCCAGAGATTATATTTCTTTTTATACGTAGATTGTTGAGATTATTTCTGCTTAATAGTTTTAAAGACGATTAAATGTAATTACTGGGACTTTGCTTTTACAATTCTTCATTGGTAAAAAACCAAAGCAGACTAACTGTTGTCTGTATACAATGAAAACATTTTTTTTAGTACTTAATACTTTTAATACTACCATCATCGAGATTATTGTTGAGAATATTTATTCTTGTAATATTGATTTAGAACATGATGATTAAAATAGTATTTTTTATTTTTACATAAATATGAGAATATTTGCATATTTAATATTTAATATTTGTTTAATATTTGTTTATAATAAACTGAGGGATATTAAAGAGCGTTACAAAAAGTATTTAAATAATTTATCACTTGATTAATTATTTCTATGAAGCTAAGAAATAATGTAACTCTTTATGTATACGAAATTATTCATGATCTACAATCCTTTGATGAATTATTTTAATCCTTATTGACGGATTATAATGTTGCGGGTTAGTTTAATAATTGTTTTTCAGATAAAAAGTAAAATTTATTTTTTTTGCAGATATTCTTCTCTCAGTGCCTAAAAAAATCTGTTCTACACGTGTTGGTAAGTCGTATACTTTATTATTTTTCTATTAGCTTATAATGCCTCTCGTATCTCAATCGTTAAAGTATACATTAGCTTATTACACCTATATCATTTTTCATACCTTCTATCCGGCAATCAATATCAAAAGAAAAATTGGAATAGTGTTCATAAATTTTCAAATTAACACCGTCATCGACTATTTATTTGTTTGGAAAAATCCTATTCTCGTTTTTGATTTTATTTTCTCAACTCTTTACTATTTTTAAAGAAATTCTTCTTGGTCTAAATTTGACTAATATCAACTTTATCTACGCGATATTGAATCTTGTTGATTCTTTTTGATAATGTTGGTATTTATGATTAGAAAACAATTATTTTTATCACACAAATATTTAATTTATAAGTCTTCTTGCTGCCCTTGACAATTTTTTTATAAACCGGAAAACAATTTCTTTAATTATTAAATATAGCGTCAATATTGTTTTAATATTGCATCGCAGTTTACGGCAATGTTATCTCAGAATTTAAAATGTTTAAATAAATGTTGAAATTAATCATATTAACTTTTAGAGGACATCAAAATTTTGTTAATTTAAATAAACATATACACTTAAAGAAAAGATTAGTTATGGTTACAATAGCTAACAAAAAATATCAACGAACTTTTTACTGACTAAATACTAGTCAGAACTAATAATAATAATTTTTCTCAATGATGGCATATTAATTTTGAAGTGATGCTCTTCAATCTTCATAATTCAAGTAGAGATTCTCGATATTGAAATTATTTTCAAAATAAAAAATACACAAGTATTTTTGCATGTACATCAAAAGTAGAGATAATGGATTTCACTTGTTCAATTGGTTTCAATTTTAACGCGAATTTATAAGCGCTTTCCACTCTACATATGAATACTACATATGTATACACGTACATGTTACAATCACTTCTGTTGATGAAATTAGTTTGTTTCCCACAAAGAAGGCAGAGAAAGACAACGGAATGCCAATCATTGTGCAATTAAACGCCAATGGAATATATTAGTGAACAAAGTGTAAACTCAAGTTCTTCAATAATAGCAAATCTTGCGCAAGTACTTATGTTTGTATTCTAGAACAAGTACTGTGTCAATATTAATTGTGGTCGCAATCTAGTTATTGATACTGCAACTTCAGTAGTTATCGGAGAGTAAACATGAATATTGCAAAGTTCCTTTTTATACTCAAAATTAGTGGTAGATATTCATAATAAAAAAAAATTTACCCTTTTTACTGTTCACTTTAAAATGGCAAATTGTAAGGGGCGCCAGAAATGTAGATAACTCGATACAATTTGGTACCAATTTAATTTAATCTGTTTGTCAATTTGTTGTCAATTTGGTTCAATTTGATTCAATCTGGTATCAATTCGATATACCTTTCAGAAAAGCGTTACTGGATTTACAGTTTTTCTGCGAATATCAAATTGAGACGAAAAATGAATCAAAAGTGTTGCGACGCAATACTTTTGATTCATTTTTTGTCTCAATTTGATATATGCAGAAAAACTGTGATTATAAAGAATTAATTTTTAAAGACACTTGCTAAAGATTCACTGAAATTGAAAATAATTACGGTATATCAAATATTGGATATGAAAAGTAAATACTGAAATATAAATTATTGCATGCGATATACGTAGTCAATGAACGCGAATAAATATACTCGAGAGAAGAGGCCAATTATTATGTCACACACATAACGATAAATTCATTTTAAGTACCATTTGAAACATGAAGGGCAAAAAATAATTGACGCTCTTTATTGAAAAAAAAAAATGATAGAAAAAATTCAAAGGAACAAAGACACCTTACAATTAAATTATTATGGTACTGATGATTTATTTGTATTTTATTGTTGCAATTATGTTCATGAGAATGCGGTCATAGATTGAAAGTATAACGCGCATTTGAAGAATTAATTTTCCTTATACTAATTTTCCTATCCGTATTAATAATTATAACGATAAAATAATAAATATCGTAGTTTTCTTTGATTTTTTTTTGAATTATTCATAAATTAATAGATGTTATCGATTTTGATTATTTTTTTTATTTATTCCCCTTTATATTTATACTTTTTTCATTTCTTACTATTTGTTGAATTTAAATTTGCTTTTAATTATTATTTTTAATTAGGAGCTTTATTTTATTTTTTCGTAAAATTACATAAGTATAAAATAAAAGTCTCTCATTAGAATTTTCGATAATTAGTAAAATGTAAACGAGAATATTTACTTTGCGGTAAATTTTTTTGAACAAATAACAAATAAACTAAAATTGCTCAAAGCATTTAAATACATATTGCGATAAGACCTCTGTGTATAATATATATAGATAAAATTCATAAAGTTAAACCCAGAAGCCTTCGATTTTTAGAATATTGAAAATTTTTTAAACAAAATAAAATAGTAATAATAAGAATAATATAATAATAATATTAGTAATAATAAAAATATTAAGAAAATGATTAATTATATAGCAATGATAATCAGTAATAGGTAATGAAAGAGTTAATGATTTTTTCAACCCCAATTAACATCCATCTGGTTGGAAAAGCTAAAACAAATAAGAATGAGAGAAAGGTAAATTATAAGAAAATATCTTTGGAAGGCAGAGCGTAACCGAAATAAAAAGATACACTCGTTTTTCCTATAGTTTCCAAGATGGGCAGATCTCGAGCTTAAGAAAGATCTGTTAATGGATCGTTGTTGCCACACATCTTGCTACAACAAACGAGCCGAACAAAAAGCGGCAACTTAAAGTTAGTACATAAGCATTCCTATTGTCAGTTGATTATTAAAGCGTGAACGCATGCTTGACCACAGTTAATGTGTGTATACATACAAAGTAACACGACCTTCACAAAACTCAGTACACTGTAAAAAAAAAAGTTTAAATTTCATATATAATTTCAACTACAATCACTTTTTAGATGTTCGAGACTCAAACCTAATTTTTAGATTGTTTTAACCTTATTGCTGATCTGGAGATTTTTGTCTAGAACCCATTTTTTTTATCAATTCATATTCAATTGTCAATTATTGTCAAGAAGAAAATCCTTATTGTTTTTCAAAGATTCTTAAATTGAGACAAAAAAACAAATTTTGTTGGTTTGTGATGCAACAATTTTGACACTATTTTTGTCTCAATGGGATATCCTTAGAAAAATTGTGGCTTAAAAATTGTACTTTTGATAAGAGAAAAATTTGCATCTAGAGATAAAATGAAGCATTTCAAAGTATTAATTTCTAATTATCTGTCAATTTTTACCACATGCACTTCAAGAATTATTTGCCTTGAAAAAGAAAAATCCACATTCGTTATAAATATATCTTTTGCGCTTTGCGTTAAAAAATATATAGCAACGGTATAATCTGAGAAATCAAAGGTGTGGTTCCAAGATATTTGGGGATTTTGAGAACGAGATTTCCAGATCTTTGTACCGTTATAATAAAATAAGAATAAGGTGTATATTTTTTCTGCCTTTTTATAAAGAGGCCTCATTTATAATCACTCGTTTAATACTGATACACATTTACACATGTGTATGTCATAAAATAATAATTCTCTCTTATGAAAGATAACAATTCAGAGGAAAATTTTATTCATTTACAAGTGCTGTAAATATATAGGTTTTGTACCATTTTATAATATTATGTGAAGTGTGTCATCTTCCAAGGTTTTCAAATTTTGAAATTATTACAAATTTTTCAGAAAAATGTTTAATATCATCTGTATGTATACAGTATTATTTTATACTCGTGTATGTGTTATTTCTTAATGAGAAGCATAAATTATAGCATTAAAGTCTAAACACGATTTCTTCATTTTATTATAAATTATAATTTTCAGTTTTATTTCTTTCTTCGAATATTATGTTTACATAAATAATTTTGGGAATTTCAAGAACATCTTTTTTTTGTTTTTTATTAATATTATCATGTGATTATTATTGCGTGATATGATTACTATTCGTATTATTACTAATCTTATTATTACTATCATTGAATTATTATTATTATTATTATTATTATTATTTTTATTATTATTATATTATTGTATTATTATTGTTATTATTAATTTTTTGTTCTCATTTTTTTTTCTTTTTATATACCTATTATTATAATTATTACTATCGAGTTTGCTGTCTTCAAACTAGAAACTCCATAAGAAATTGTCGACAAGATCATTAACGCGGAGAGAAGTCTCTTAAAAGACCATTTTTGACTTTACTTTGAAACTATAGCAAATTAACTCTCAATATATGGCGCACGGTAAATTACTTTTGTATTAAAGTGAGTAGAAAGCAATATAATTTCTATGAGTACGCTTTTTTTTAGAATGTACCAATATCACTTTAATGGTTTTCAATCTTCTTTTATATTTCGAAAAAGAAAAATCAATTTACAGATAAGTAAATCATTTGTCACATAAAAGGAATAATGATTGCTGTGATGTGTTGCTACTGAATATTTAAAATTATAAAGAGTGACTTTGAATATTACTCGTATCTAAACTAATGTGTAAAAGCTACTTAGTACTTATGCGTCAAAGTTATATCCAAATCAATTATATACAATAGATTTTAATTTCACCCATTAAATACAGAAGTGATGATCAACAGGAAAATTTTTATTTACTAAAGAAGGATAATTTCACTTTCTTTTCTTGTACCTTTTTCTTGCTACTATAATATTTCTTCCGGTAAATTTTATCATTATTATCATTAGGTATTACTATTATTATTTTACGATTATAAAATTTTGACATTTATTTTAAATAATCCGTTTTGCTGGAAACTTCCATAAAAAATCTTTTTTGTGGAAAAAAAGAATAAATTTAACGTGTAACACTTTGTATTTAAATACAATGTGAAATTTCTGTGGTTTTGGTATTACGAATATAAAGCGAACAAAGGTCTTTATAGTAGACGACACCTGCTTATTGGGAGCCTCGTAAACGAGTCACGTGTTTGTCTATGCTACGTCATTTTAGCCGCACATGCGTAATTTTTTACTTTGAATTTAAAGTGCAATCAATTACTCGTAACTGTGATTTGTCACATCCTTTCTAAAGATTAATCACTCTCATTATATAACTTTTAAGTACAAAAGATCTCCAAAATTCCATGAAAACTCATTATCTGCGATAAAAAGAAGTTAAATAGAATGTTATCTTTGATTCTATAGATACTATTTTATACAATTATCTCTGTATAGTAGACGTAAAGTGTACTTATAATGTTAGTAAAACTCTAGTATTATTTAAGATTACTGGAGTATTATTTAAGACTAATGTATAGACACTTAAATTAGAGGTGTTTAATAATTTGTGACATCGCATGAGAAAAGGGATCGTCTACGAAATTTTAGGTTATGTTTAGTGATAGTTTTAATTTTTAACAGAAATTTCTGCTATACCTGAAGATAAATACAAAAGAGCTATTCCTTAAAATTTTTCTGTACTGCTTGCATTTGTATAGGTTCACAACATCAGCAATTTGTGATTTTGTACTTCATTTCTAGAGCAGAAGTACAAATATTAACAGAGATTTTTCTTCACTGTAGTATACTAGTCAAAAATTGAATCTGTAGTTTGGTAATTCTTACTGAACTGTTTTAAGAGTAGATATTAGCAATAATACCAGAAATAGTAGTATCATTAATACTAATAACTGTAGTAGAAATAATACCAGAAAGTATAGCATTAATAATAGAAATTATAGCCATAATAGCAGTAATAATATCACTGACAGTATCATTTCCGAAATAGTGACAAACAACTATACAGATTTTTATCTTCAAAAACTAATCGATTGCAGTTTGTTCTCAACAGAAAAGATCATTGCGATCGAACTACAGAAATGTATCTTCGCCGTAGGAATAATAATTAACAATAAATAATTGTTTGAAGAAGCTTGTACCTATTTTCAGATGATGGTAGATAGATTTTTATCATCATTAAGTTATTGACTGGATACAATCGATGATTGTACAATCATTGATTGTACCCAATAAATACAATCTTCAATCATCATGTACCCTTGAGTGGAGAGCACTTGAAGATTCAAATATATTTATAAGAGAGTGATCATCTCATCTCTCAAGGACAATTCTTTAAAGACAGAAGACTACTATAAAAATCAATTTTTTATTCGCTCAAGTTTTGCCTTTATAACCATTTTTATACTCTGCTTTCCATATGTCCTTTAGACTAAATCAGTTGAAAAGGTTTTATTCAACTTTATTACGATCATCACTTTTTTTTATGTCTTGTTCGAAATTAGCAAAAGTACAATCACTTGTTTAGTGGACTATGCATTTTGAAACTTGGATTCGCGCATTGTACATCTTGAACTATTTAGTTTGAGATGATTAGCGATTTTATTATTTATGATTAACATGATTAATTAGCAATACAACAAATAGCATAAATCGTAGTATTTCGGCAGAAGCGAGGGCAGAAGCTGTTTTAGGAAATTAAGACTTTCTTTCTAGCAATACAACAAGTAGCAAAATCCGTAATATTTAGGCATATAAGCTGTTTTAGGAATGATGCATGTTTCTTTAAAAGAAGAGCTCGAAATGGTTTAAATGTCTTGATGAAAATGGCTTAAAAATTCTTGATTAGTATTGTGAATTTCGATTTGAAATTAGCAGGAAATTTTGCAATTGCGAACAAGTGGAAAGGGGTGGTCGCCCGGAAAATAGATTAAGCAAGTGAATAGGGCGATGACACCCGGCGTGGCATAAGGCATAACCCACGAGGGTGGGTACATTCATAGGGTTGAGGGTTTCTAGCATATATATATATATATACTCTGAAGCAAATCGATAAAAGGGCACAGACGACCTTTTATATCTTTTATATGCTGCTACTCTCAATGAAAATGGCGATTTTTGGCAAATGAGTTTTTTTATGTTGCTCACCGTCTGAAATTGCTCCAGCAATTCTTGCCGGTCGTCGATAGCGGTGGCCATGTTTGCCCGGATTCTTCCTAATCACTGTGTCCCACACCCAAAAACTATCCTTGCAGTCCGGATAGGAACTTTTTTTTTGGTGAAAATTTTCTTCTTTGAGATATGATTACTGATTAATGATCACAGTTCATGTGCAACACGCTTGATTTTCTCTCTCTCTCTCTCTCTCACTCTCTTTTTTTTCCTTTTAAACTACAAACACAGGATATCCTTTAATCATCCAGTATCCGCGTCGTGTTGATACGCGACGTGGTAGATGATAAAACAGTCCCTTGTCTCGCGGAGCCACAGCCAACACTGACAAACACTGACGAATTCTTAGATTGTTCAAGTTATAAGCATAGCGGTATGGAGTGAGAGACCAGGGATGACTTCAAGCTCCATTGAACCCTGGGATTTTCAAACTTTTCAGTAAAATCAGTAAAATTAAACAAGAAATTATTCTTTAAAAAAATTATTTTTATTTAATAATTATTTTTGAAAAATTAAAGAAATAGTTTGAAATAAATGTTTTACGTTTTATCCTTAATAAGAAGGTAGTTTTTACCATTTTTTTACTAACTGCAAACAATTTCAGTAGATTTTATTTTTACATGAAATACATTGTTGGAACTTCTTTCATTTATGTACTCTTTATAATTGCAATTTTTTGCACTGCAAACTTTAATTCTTTTATTTCCATCATCAGTAAATATTTATTCGCAAAAAGAAATTTTTACCTATTTCAAGCGAATTTGCGCTGATGTTTAATTAAATACATTTTGTCTTGTGTGTCTTTCATTTATTATTATTATTTATTATTTGTCTTTCAGTTTATTAAAATCTGCAGTTTAAAATTTTAGACAAAAAAAGATAAAAAAAAATTCTTCCTAGAAACGATTAAAAATTTTTAAATAAAATTCTTTGAAACAGTTCAATTATTTTCAATATCTACTATTTTAATGAGATTTCAGAAAAGAATTCAATTATTTAAAAAAAAATTTAACAAAATTTAAATTAGTCTTATGAAATAAATTCAGAAATTCAATTATTTAAAATACAAGTTTTATAAATTTTTTTGAATGAAATTAATTATTTAAAATAATTTTTATAAAATTCTCTGAAAGAAGTTAATTATTTTTAAGGATTTTAATAAAATTTATTTATAAGAAATTAAGAATTCATATAAAGCAACTTTAACTACTTTTAAAGTAAGACATTTCTGGTAACTTTTACTACTTTCGGAGTAAATTTTACTACGTTCAAAAAACATGTTTGTAAAAAATTAGTAAAATCTAAAATTTACTTCAAACATAGCAAAATTTACTCCGAAAGTAGTAAAAGTTACCAGAAATATTTTAATGTAAAATTATTAAAAGTTACTTTATATTTTTCTCCGTGTATATATTTTTTAATACAATATTGTAATTAAATTCCTTGAAAAAATTTTAATAAAATTCTTTGCAAGAATTCATCTATTATTTACAAATAATAAAATATTCTTCGCAGGACTCAGTTATTTTTAATATACAGTTTGAAATATAAATTTCTCAAAAAATTCAATCACTCTTGAAAATTTTATTACCTACAATTGTTCGAAATAATTCAAGTTATTATGTATTTATAAAAAATTTTATAAAATTATTATTTTATAAAGAATCAAGTGCTTTTATTTCGGGAAAGTTCGAAAAATTTTTAAATCACGATAATTTCCAATTATTAATTATAACTTTTTGTCAAACTTTCGAGAGTGTTCGTATTTTTTAAAAGTGGATGAGTTTTTATTTAATCAGCAATATCGTTGTTCAAGTTCTTCTCCAATATAATTATGTGTCAGGTATATGCTAATTAATTTATTTCAATATTACTCATTGAATTTTTAAAAAAATAATTCTAAATTGTTTGCCTTTTCATTGTTTTTAAATGAACTGAATTCATTTTCAAATTTTTAATTTAGAAAACAAAGGTTTTGCGTTTCATTTTGAAATAAAAAAAATATTCATGTGATAAATTTGATTTTTTTTTTTTTTTTTTTTTTTTTTTTTTTTTTAAGTTCACTTTTGCAGGATAAAAATAAAATATTCTTTTGTTATATTAATTAAATTAATTTTTTCATGCGAGCATTCGTCAATTAGTGTACTCTTTTCTTTACAAGAGATGTAGAAGTATATATAGACAAAAGAGGCAAAAATATTATTTCATGATACAAAAAATAAATATTTATAAACATAAACTCTTTCACTATAATTAAAATCGATATTAATTTTCAAAAATTTTCCACGTCATTAAATTTTATAAATAATAAAACATTTTTTATAAAAATCCATTAACAAATTTTATTCGAGAAGAAAAAGATGTTAAACAATTATTGCATAGCACTCTTTTTATTTATTGCAGATATCCAATATCTCTTGTCTAATCTCAATTCCGAAAAAAATTAAGACTGTGTCAACAGTATTAATGAAATGTACGTTTCTAATGAAAATGAGAATTAATAACGTTTATAAAATCGGAGTTTTTAAAATTTTATAATTATTTCACTTTGAAAAGCGATTAGATCTTTTAGAGATTAATAGAACAAATATCTATGTTGTTAATTTAGTGTAAAATGTAGATCGAAAATGTAGATCAATATTTAAGTTTCCTGGAGTATAAAAAAAATTTAAAAAAAAAAAATAAAAAAAAATAGTCGTTTATCTTTGTAGAAACAGTTTATTAAATTAAGAATATTATATAAATAGTTTAGAACCATGTGATCTCTGAAAGATTATGCTTTAGACGCAGATAAATACCTCAGCAATGTTCCCATTGCTTTTATGTACTTGAAAATGATAAAAACGTGATACAATGTGTAATTAGCATTTGGTGTCAAGAGAAACGCATCCCTTTTTAAGTGCATCTCAAAGAATAGTGCAAATATATATAAGAAACAGTTGTTAATTAGGAGAAATGAAAGAAACTTAGATTCATTTTTATTATAGAACCGTTTCTAAATATTCAAGTCAAATGTTTAAAAAGTATTTTTTTTTAAATATAATTATTCAAAAAAATATATACTTTTAAATAAATATTATTTTTTAAAATAGAAATCAGATATTTTCCGTCTATTGGAATTATGCTTATATAAACTGATTTTAATTAAACAATTGATCTAAAATTATTATTTTGTTTCAAATTTTCTCAGTGCAGTTTGCAGTATTTTTTATCAAAGGGAATAGAATTTAATTACACGTTATTGTATCCTTCAAACAAATATTTCAAAATACTTTAATTAAAAATTTATATATAGAATTTGTTTGATAAACAATTGGATTTATATTCTTTATGCTACTAGAGAATTATTACGAAAAAATTTTGAATTATATCAAATTTTCATGAAATTGATACAAAAAATAAATAATTTCACTGGAAAAATGCGATTTCCTATAAAATCAGTGCGCATAGAACGAGATTTTTTTTCCAAATTAAAACGTCAACGTTTTATTGTGACAGGAAACGACTATATATCTATAGGGGAACTCAAAAGAGCCCGACTTGCAAAGAAGTTTTACAAAAAAAAAAAGATAATTATGCGGGATAGAATGAATTCTGCTCCCACGCTATATCTAAAGTATGCACAAACGCAGGAGGGTTACTTTTACAATGAGGAAAATTGTCAAACTCATATCCAATCAATCTCTTTAGAATTCAAGAGTCAAATACCTAGATTTTAATATGAATTAGAAAATATATTGTGAAATACAATATGAAAAAAATTATAAAAAGGTAATAAGATAAAAAAAAAGTCATAATAACAGGGCAAACTTTCCATAAATATTTCAACTTCTTCGCGATTAAATAAACAATTTTCAAAAAATTTCTCTTTTGTCCATAGGAAAATGTTTTTTTCTTTTCATCGAATTTATTATTATATTTAATTAAATTTGATATAATTGCTCCGAGGAAAATATTTACATTGTATAAAATAATAAATTGTTGTAACATGAATAAAATTATTTAATATTAAAATTAAATATTGAAATTCGACAAATTAATTGTAAATAAATGCAGATAAAATATCAATTTATTATATTATGGTAAAGGAAGTCAAAAATGAAAATTGCATTGTTGGATAAAATTGTGTTTGATGAATGAATCACATTTTTCTACTACCTTGACCGCGAGAATGATAAACTGCAAAATGAACGTATAAACTAAAAAATTCCAATGAATCATTACTTATGAGTAATCGTTAGAAAAAGTAATAATGCATTCCTCCCATTAATAGAGTGTATCATCTATATCCTTTCAGTCAACCTACATATATATTGTCATTTTACAAATAATAAATTCAAAAGATTATAAAGCTGACTCCGTTAATAAAGGAAATTTATATTTTTAAATCTCATTTTAAAAATAGTTTTTTAAGCTAAAAATTAACCTTTTAAATAAAATTACACTAAAAAATTAATTACAATAATAATTTCGAAAATGTGCGATTTAAATAAGGCGAAAAAAAAATAAAATAAAAAACGAAGGTATAATTGACAAAGTTACATTTCATTGTACGCATAGTATGTATATTGTACGCAAATGAGTTATGTTATAATCTTACAAATAAATTTTATTTTTTACTACATTCATATTTTAAATTTCCTCCTTAAGATTTATAAATATCTGTAATTCGTCTACATAATATTTTTAGGTGTACAATGAACAAATTCTATATTATTCTGATTGGCATATTAAAATAGTTGTTCGTACAGATAATTGTTTTTTTTTCATATTACCAGAATTCATTCATTTTTTTTTCTTTTCATTCAAAATTTTTCATATTATAAAACAAAATATTTAAACTATCGATTTTTTTCAAAGCGAACTGATTGCAACAACAAAGGGCGAAATATCAAATATAGCAAAGGGAACAGTACGCTTTTTGTAACAAAAACGAAAAAAGAAAAACAAAGTCAAAAAAATGAAATTAACGATAAATCTTCACAGAGCTACAACAAACGTATTATATAGGAAAATTATTGGAAAATTAAATATTCTTTTCCATTAAAAATTAAACACACATCACGCATCTATCAAAAATTAATAAACTAAATGTTATAAGTCGCATAGAAATTTTTTTCGACGAAAAAAAATTGAAACAAATGTTTTTTTATGTACATTATATAAATTTTCACTTGTTCGCAGAAAAGGATTTAATTCTCCTTGATAAAAATTGAACGTAAATGAATGAATGAATGAATGAATAAAAAAAAGATAAAAGAGTGCGACTTCTAACGATTTTTTTTCTCATTTTTTTCTTTTTTTTTATGTGGAAAAAGTCGACAGGCTGCGTGTCTATATAAAAATATAAATACATATGTGTTTTTATATCGATCCTTTTCATGATTATTTCACAGCCTGTTTTAAATGAGACACTTATTTATTTGAAAATTTTGAAGACATTTAAAACACACTGTGTGTGATGTTTATATCTTTTCGGTAACGCATACATATTATATTAACACACAAAGATCATAAAAAGCCATAATATAAGTAATCGTCAATGACAAAAGTTTTAAATTAAAATAAAAAATAGAAGAAGCAAATTAGTTTTCTTTAAAAAACAGACGCACCTTAGCCATTGACATGGAATTAGAAATTTTTTTTTCTGCATAAACATTGATATTTCGTAGCACAATATGATAATTATATTTTACAAAAAACTACGATTTTCTTACATAATTATTCTATCAAACAGGATCTATGATATTATGTACACAAGGATTCTCCTAATACTTATTTTTTCTATATAAAAGTGCCTCTAGTAACTTATAAATGTGTGAGATGATTTTGAAAATAATATTAACGTACCATGAAATATTTTTTTTCTTAAAAAGAAATTTTTAAGTATTTTTTTCATTCATACGTAGAATTTAATTAAAAAAATGTAAAGTCACACTTAATAAAGTGTAAATTCATAAAATTTCACATTGGATGATAAATATTAAGGTGTACATAATAATTATCTATTTTTATAGTTTTAGTACATATATATCATTTTCAGTCTATCTCTACACACCACACGGCGCGAAGAATTTTCGAAGGCCATGAACCACACCACTTTTCACTGTGTCAAAAAAAATGAAACATTCATTCTACAATTAGCATTAATTAAGAATATTCACCTTTTTTTTAAAAAATAAAAAAATAGTTTGCCGATTTTTCTGATGTTTACAAAAACGTTGGTAAACAGAATCAAGAATTAAATTCTTCTTCTTCTTCTTCTTTCTTCTTGGTTAAAATTCAAATCACTTTTCCTTCGAGTTTTCCCATTAGAAAATGTTTCTCTTCTTTTGTGCAATTGATTGATGTCTAAATGACCTTCAATTTAACAAGTTCTGGCGAAAGATGTCATCTCTTGACTGTCGGCATCTGTGTCAGCGTCCGCACTTTGGTATCCCTGAGAATAGAAGTTTATCCAAAACCTCAAGAATCGCTGTACTTTTTTTTAACTAATTTTAATTCTAAAGAATTTTCCCAAAAAAAATACCGAAAGTTTAGATAAATGTTCCAGTTCTTAATTTTTAAGATTAGAAGCTTGACAATAACTGACATTTACCTTAACTGTTCTTTATAAACTTGCAAAAGAAAAAAACGTGCGCAACTAATGAATAGAAGGTTCTACCTATTTCTCTAAAGCAAGCACATTGTATACTTTCTATTAATTTCGAAAAAATATTACATACAAAAACTTGATATAAATACAATTTTCTAAAAAATTTGATACAAAATTACAATCACCAGAGTTGAGAAAATAGATAAATAAAAATTAAAAAACTGTTAAAAAACAATTTGTGAAAATTTTGAAGGTAGAAAATTTCTTGAAGAAAAAAAACATTTTTTGTTTACAGAGCTTGTATTATTATCATCTATATTTTACAATTTTAGTATAAAGTATTTGAATTGATACACCAAAACTATTATACAGAATATTAACTACAAAAAAAAATAGCGCTGCAAAAGAATCAAACTAAACTGAATTGAAGAAAACGAAAACTATTTTGAATATGTAGTCGAGTCCTTTCGTTTAAATAATTGGAGTATGCAGTAAAATGTAATGCACGATAAAGTAACATACTGACGAATTTTTTCTCAAGATTCAACCACTGTCCACAAAAAAAATTTTTTTTAGTAAAAAATAAAATACATTTTCATTAGAAATTATATTGCTTGATCACGAGAGAAAAGCAATTTAACAAGAGTAAAATTCATTTTTACATTTAAACACAAATCTTAAAAATTTGTGATAAAACAAAATATTAAAGAAAAAATTGTGGACACAATATTGCAAATTAATTTTTTTTTCTTTTTAAATAATTATAATATAGAAATCGAAGATGAAGTCAATGATTTTTCTTGAATACCATACTAATCATTATGAAGTAACAATAAAAAAAGAAAATAGTGCAAAATAAAGACATGCTTTACTATTAAGAAAAATTTCTTCTACATTTGATTTTTTCTTTTTGCTACTTTTTTATTCTACATTTTTTTCAGAAAAAAAGTAAATAAACATGTGTTCATTCATCATTTTGAAATATAATAGCCTTTCAAATTTGTTCAAATAAACATTATATTAAAATTTGACAAATCATTCCGTGTAATAGGAACAGAATCCTCGAAATTCTCCGATAACTTATGAATGTTGAAACATCATCTTTCAAAAGCTACAGATTACTCTCTTGAGGAACAGCTTTAGTCATTGAAGTAAAAGTTATACCCGATTAAAAAAAAAAAAAAAAAAAAAAATCTGTCATGTCCCCGGTGTTTTATACAAAAGCACTTTATCTAGTGCATTAGCAATTATTATATATAGCACACACATTTACAAGTACGGAACATTTTTCAAAAAAAAAACTAAAATGCGTGACAAAAAAAATAATTACGATGAAAAAATAAAATAAAAACAAAGCAACTTCTCTTTCTTCCTGTACAATAGCATAAATTTATCAAACTAAGTAAAATTAAACATTAAGATACTTTTTTTCATTCGTCTATCTCTTATATCAAAAAGATAAGTATTTTAAACTGATATTTACAGTGCGTTTCTATATAATATGTACTGGAAAAAATTTACAAATGAAAGATGATGTTACGGCACTATCGTTATTCGTTTATGCATGTTTCTTTTAACGAGAAAAAAAAATTGAAGACTTGTAGGCTTTTTATCATGCAAGAATCGACTAACAATAGCGTATGTACAACGAGATGCGAGAAACTAAAAGAAATTGTGTATGTGAAAAAAAAGTGAGGCTTCATCTGTTTTGACTAAATCATACCGTTGTGTTTTGATCCGCGTCTTTACAGTTAGCACAGATATAGTCATCTTCTTCCGCGAGTTCAGTTCGATCGAGACCTACACAGTGCATATGGAACCAACCATTACAACCACCATCACATTGAACCCAATCGACTTCGTGTCCTGTGAAAGATTCCCAAAATTTAATACAATCAATTAAAACACAAAAAATAATTATGTTTAGAAAATTTTAATAACTTTTCTTACCACTGGGTCGTAAACAACTGTACGCGGCACAGTCCTCCTCATCCTCAGAAGTATCCTGTTTTGTTTTCTTACGACCCGCCCTCTTCTTCGCCACTTCCTCGCCGTCCTTTCGTTTCATCTGCAATGTACATTTAACTGAAATCGAGATAGTCGCGGTCCCTGGCGTTCTATTCACACCAATACCGTAAAACGTGTCTCAAATTCAAATTGCAACTAACAAACGAGTAAAATCATCGTCAGTTATCAATTTTAATTAAAGACTTACGAAAAGAAGAAAATTAATACCACGTACCTTACGCGGCCCACGCTTCACTTGCCCAGTGACAGACACTTTTTTCTCCTTATTATTAAATCCCTTACGTTGCTTGGACCATAATTTCTCCTCAGATCGTTGACGATTCACCTTCGCAAGATCAAATTCATCAGACTTTCGTTTACGACCCCGTTTCTTCACCTCCTTCACTTCAGCATCTTGATTGCCCTTCGATTCATCCAGAGCCGCATATTTACGCACACTTTTTGGATTTGCCGTGTGACTTAAAATCCGCCATATATGATGAGTCTCGTCTAAAGCTACTTCCAATAAATCGCCCTCCATCATTAAATCATCGAGATGTGATTTAATGCTATCCGTTAAATTAATTGTTGACTCCGGATCTTTTAAGCCATCACCTTTTGGATTAAATTTGGAAACTGTAATTAAAATCACCAATTATTTAGAATCAAAATCTTTAAATAGTTGAAGGCAAAAAAAAATTAAAAACTAAATCATGAAAAACTTTTTAAAAATAAAAATAAAAAATGTTTTCATGTGTGAGAGGACGGGGAAAAAAATATAAAAATAAAAATAAGCGTAAACATACCTTTATAGATGCAAAATCTATAATTGAAAATCGAGAAAAATAAGAGAACTCTAGAAAATGTACTAGAAAAAAATATTAAATAAAAATTATCGTTCTAGCTTATTTTACAAACCATAGGAATAAGCGTGTTCATTACTATTAAATGTACTGCAAGTTGGTTCATCATCTTCGAGTGGAATAATATCGTCGTCGTCCTCCTGAAACAAATTTATTCGATATTAAGTAAAATACATACGAATAAAAGACTCATTTTTATATAAAAAGAAAATAGTCAAATATTTTTATTACATTGCCTTTAGCTCGGTTATTAAAAATGTAAATTACTTTTTATTTACTTTTATTTTTCTTCTTAAATAGATTTATTGATTTCCAATTTTTTTTTACATATTTTTTATTTTTATTTCTACCCTTGTTCATATTTTTTTAAAATACATTTTCTTTTTTTTTCTTTATTTTTTTAATAGCAAATATTACGAGCGGAACGTGATACTCAATTTATTATTATGCAAATTACAACATTTTTTATTTTCAAATATGAATTTTTGAATAATTTCATATTCAAACTTTAAAAAAATTATTTGATGATTTTCAATACATTAACCGGAATACAACGATTATTAATATAGATTTTATATTTTTTCAAACTATTTTTAAATATATTCTTTAATTTAATTTTAACTGGTTTTAATAATTGAACCATAAAAGATAAAAGATTAAGCATGAAAAGTCATTTCGATAATAATTTCTTTAATTAAAAATTTTTATTTGTAAGAAATTTAAAAACTTATAATAACGAAATAAAAAAAATTAAAATTTGTAATACAAAAGATAGAAAATCTTGAAATATAAAGGAAATTAATAAAGTAAAATTATTGAAATTATGAATTTATACCTGTGCGCTGAGAGCACTGTCATCCGAATGTACTCCACTGAGAGGTGCGATCGCCTGTACCCTTTGATGAAGTTCTGGATTATTAGCGGCCTTTTTTAATTCGCTGCTTATAATCTTCTCAGTCTTTTCTCTGGCAGCAGCCTCCACCAATTTTTGTGAAAGAACCGATAGTTTCGACAAGGCCGTGCTAACCTCTTCTGTAGCCAGTGCTTGTCTAGCTCGATCCTGTAGAAAAGAGAATTTTTAAAAACACAAATAATAAATTATAAAATATTTATAAGAAAAATTAAAGGGACAAATTGTGATAAAAAATTTTCAAAGAGACTCACCTGCCAATTCATGGCACGTTCTGTGAGGCATTGTAAAGCTTCTCCTTCCGGTAAGCGTACGGGTATTTTTTGAAGACTAACGAGAAGTGATAGAATTGTCTCCAAACGTGGTCTTCGAGATCTTAAACAGCAAGGACAGAGGAATTTCATTTCCGGCGATACGGATGCTTTCCCCTTGACAGCCAATTTGGGAAGTGGTACACAGTTATCTAAACAGTATTAAATTTCGTGATTATTGATTAATTAGTGATAAATGAAATATTAGTTAAATAAAATGTATTCGTTAAATAGAAATGTTTGCCAACTTACAGTGGAACCAGTCTCTACACAGTTCGCAATGGAACATAGTTCCGAATCTTGCCTTACGACAAACACAATACTTCGAATCGTCGAGTTGTGCCTTCATGGCATTTTTCTTTCTTAAATTTCTCATTGCCTCCATTTCTCGTTGCTCGGCAAGCTTGAAAGCAGCAACGACCGCTGCTGAATTACTCGAGTCGTCAAGTTTCGTATCACAAACATAAATAGCGCTTACTGTGTCATCGCCACGATTCTTCTTTGTTTTCATGGACTGCACTCCAACTCCGACTCTGGGCGAAAGAGCTTCCATTAATGTATAATGAGAGTTCTTTCGCAGGAATGTCCTCGCTGTTCTTTCCTTCCACAATCTCGCTTGTGAGAGAATTGATTCAAGGACTGGTAAAGCGTCCAGGTGAAGTGGAATGTTTCGTCCTTTTCGAACAAGTTCGTCAAGTGTATCGTAATAAGCAATATTATCCTTCCCTTGTATATCCTCGACAATTTTCGTCCAACTTTTTGCCTTATTTAAAACTTCCTGAAGAATATTGAGACTTGGTAAATAGGCATCAATTTCATCTGCCTCGAGAACAAAATCCTCAACTGTTTTAATTGACTGTCTCTCCTTGGTGTGAATGAATAATTTCGCCTTATCCTCCCATTTATCAATACTGTTTAAAAGTGCTTGCAATTTAGAAAGTGTATTTTCAATACTGAAGTGTGGTGGAATTGTCATTCCTTTTTCAATTAAATTTCCTAGGTCTTCGCGAGTGATCGTCTTCGGCTCTTCTTGAATTGTCTTCACTTCCTCCAGCCAACGAATCTGCGACATTTTCTATAGAATAATTATATTGTCCTTTACCATTTAATAGGGTTCTTTTCAAAAAAATTTACTCAAAATTCCCCCTTTAATTACTGTCAAAAAAAATTATAATTACTCTACTTTTAATTAAATTTTACATAACATTACTATTGGATTCAATTAACCCCTTTTATTCAAATTTTACTCTAATTTACTCTAATTTAATTTCTTTTTTTCAGGGAGTCAACTTTTATTCGGACAAGTAAAATTTGGAAGCAAATTTCAAGAACATTTACAATTTTTCACTGAGAACAAACAGGTATGTATTAAAAAAAATAATCAAATTATATTGGAAAAACAAAATTTGACTTCAAAAAATATTTTATTTCAATACAGTAGAAAATAATAAATTGTAAATTTAAAAAATAAATCAGTTCTAAAATTTGTTTTTAATTGATGTAATTAAATTTTTTTGGTCAAATTTTGATTTTTCAAAAAAAAAATCATACATTCATATAAATAGATGAAATAAATGATAAATATTTAAAAAAGGTGACCTTCTTTGACTTTAAAAATAAACCACCTTTAGAGATGGATATTTATTTAAATGATTAAAGAAAGTTCGAGAATTAAAAAGTCATTAATTTTCAATTACCTGTTTCAATCGGACGAGTTGTGGCAAATCAATACAAATAGATTCTCCAAAATCGATACAGCTCTCTAGTTTTTCAATATCACAATCATCTTCAGCAGCTTCCAAATCTTCTGCGTCCTTTTGAAACTGCGTCACTTGATCTAAAATGTATTTAATGCCCTCAGCTTCTTTAAGTTCACAACTCAAGTTCGATATCTCCTTATAGAATAACGTTAATTCTTCCACAGTTAATTTGTACTTGTTGTCGACTGATTGTCTTGTCCTGAAAGAATTTACATATCAATTTAGCTAGTTAGAAAAATGGGTGTTTGTGAGGAAAAAAGTAATTTTTTTTAGACAAGCATAAACGGAAAATAGTCTTAAAAACTAAGAATTTTAAATTTAGATTAGAAGATTTAAAAGGAATATAAAGAAAGCAAGTAAATAATTTTCATGTCACACTTTACAACTTTGATAAACTATTAGATATATTTTGAAAAAACCTAAACTAATAAAGATAAACTTATAGTTTTTAACTTTTTATCGTAAAATAGATATATTTTTAATTTTTAAATTCTAACTAAAATAATCTTAATGCTAATTTTAATAATTTGAATACTAACCTAGTGCGTTGTTTGGTGTTTAGCAATTGCTGTGCGACACTAGCACACTTTTCGGCATCCTGAATCGCGTTTGTAAGTGCAGTCAAGAGTTCACTTTCTGGAAACTTTTTGGCTTCGGCCTCGGTCAGAAGTTCCTTTAATTCATGAAGCTCAATTTTCTCCCCGTCAGGATCCATTGCCTCCTTCACTTTCGCGACCCACGAGTCAAAAGACTCGGCTTTAAGCTTCAACTTTTGCAACATGATGGGTAATTCATCTAGTGTGTATCTGTATCTCAATGTATGCTTCTCAGGCAAACACTCACAAAGATCTGTGAAATGCCTTAAACAAACCAATTGCGAACTTTGACACGAACAAGTAACAGCACTTAGAAAACAGGTCGTTTTACATGCTTCACACTGTCTCTCATCATCGGGAAGTAATTCAAAAGCTTCACGTTCTGCCTCTGTCACTCCCTATATTAAGTAAAATAGAAAAAAAAATTTTTATTACAATATTATTTTTATAGAAAAAAAAGTCACAAAAAACACTTGAAACAAACTGAGTTTAATTTTAGCAATTCAACTATTTCACTATTATAGAAAAAGAACAATTAAAATTGTAGTTGACAATTGTGTACACACAAAATGATTCACAATTATTCCGAATGCTATATTCGTGTTTGGCTTGTAAACAGTTTACAGCGCAGAGCACACAATTATCAGATACTTTTGAAAGACAGGATATAACAAGTTTTTAAAATTTCGTTATTAATGAAAGCATTTAAAGAAAGTCATTAATCTAACGCCAACTTGCCAACTGCAACAATAAGAATCGTATTTCAATTAATATTGTTGCCATACGGTTTACAATTTCTGAATCTGCGGCATCATTATTATTTCGCACACAATCGCGAAAATTTTTCGTTCGGAAATATACAAAGGGCAATAAAAGAATTGCGCTTTAATAGTAAAGAAAAATGAAGATTCTGTAAAAATGTGTGCGTAAAATGAATCACTACAAAAGAAAGTGATGAATATTTTCTCAAGAAAGAATATATATCAACAACATGGTTTTGAGAATATAATTATTTGGAAAACATAACCTCTATAATCACTTGTTCACACAGTTACATAATCAAACATTATAAACCATGCTTAACCGTACGCGAACCGCTTTATAGTTGAATAATAAAATTAATTATGAAAATTTACCCTAATTATGAATTTGTGCGATTAATAAGAAATGATGAAACAAAATATTGAATAGAATTAAGTTGGAAACGTGGACAACACAGCCATAAAATCCGGCGGACTGGCAGTATGTTCTTCACACATGCTCATTTGCCTTTAAGTATATCACGTACGTGTATGTGACGTAGTTGAATAATGTACTACTTGATTCAAAAATGTTGACCTTTTATGTTATAAAGCTACAGTCTATTCATCCTAACTCCCGCCATTTCTCAATCGAGCCCAGACCGTATTATTCAAATATCTACAGTTTAGTGATTCTTTTTTAAAAAAAAAATACTTGTCCCACCCAATAGAAAAATTCTCTAGTGTGCGAAAATATTTTTATTCGCAGAAAAATTCATTTATTCTTTTATCAAAAATTTTAAATGTTTTCTAATTTATTCTTTCTATTAAAAATAAGTACTTTTTAATCTTACTACATATTTATAAATTGACTCGCACTGACTGATAAATTTGAAACTTGGTTGTCTCTTTTATCGACTTGACTAATAACACAGCCTATAAACAGTTAATATAACTTTTATTTTATTATAATTATTATTATAATTATTATTATAATTTGTAATATGATATCTAATTACAGTAATATTTACCATTTTACTATTTATATCTTTATTATTATTATTTGAATTATTTTTATTATTATTTTTGTTACTATCTTTATTATTATTTTCGTTACAATATCTTTATTATTATTATTATTTTCATTAAAATCATGTTTTTTATTGGAGTATTAACAAAATTACTTATTTTTTTATTTTATCCCTTCAATATAATAATTACTGTAATATTTACTATTTTACTATTTATATCTTTATTATTATTTGAATTATTTTTATTATTATTATTATTATTATTATTATTATTTTTCTTACAATCTTTATAATTATTATTTTTATTAAAATCACGTTTTTTATTAAAGTATTAATAAAATTCTTATTTTTTTTTATTTTATTCCTTTCTTTTGGATTTTTACGTTTATCAGTTACTATTTATTGTTCTTTTTATGAAATATTTCTTGCATTAAATTTATGATTTTTATATTAAATTTCTTTTATTTTGTTTAATATACTAAATGCAAAAATTAATGGACATTAATTATTAATGTTTGTTTTTCAAAACTTACCCACTCGAGAAGATTTTTTCGTAGTTTTTTCTCGTCATCTACCATTTGTAACATATCGTGATAAGTTGATGTAGCAACACCAATATCTAGTGCATCGGGTTCCAAAGACATTTTGCAGACCAGTTCATCATGTGAGAAAACACAGAACCTTCTCAAATTCGAATAATGTGAAATGCATTCTCTCCCGACTTTTAACTATCGTAAACACAAACAAAAAATTAATCATACAAGTAATAATTATACCATTTTAATATTATTATGATTTGCTTTAAAATCGATCTAGTGACAGTGAATATTATTTATATTAATAATTATAGTTTATTTATAAATTTGATAATTTAATTGCCATTTCGATTTTTATTGTCTTTAATTTTTCAAGATTAATTTATATCGTTTGATAAAAAAATTTGTTTAAATTATAATTTAAAACAAAAATTTCTGTTATTTTGTTTCTGAATGGAAATAAAAAGTTCCTGTTCTTTAAGTTTAATTAATACGTACCCAGTCAGCTGGTGCGAAATTGACTGCTTCGGCAAAATTGTATCCTTGATTAAAACCAGCGTGATACGCTCTCGGAAAAGTGACTACGAATTCACCCGCATGTTGATCGGTTCGAAATACTGGCACTCCTGTGAAATTGATCATAATCCATTAAATTTTTCACTCGGAAAAGAAAAAGAAACTAAACTTTCTATTTGACCAATAAACATAAAATAGAAATTAGTTTGTTTCCATTTATCAATTAATATTATTGATAATGAAAATAAATTACTATTACTCATAATATTATTATTGTAAATAATAATTATTATTAATACTAATGAACAGTATTATAATTAATGTATTGGTAGATTTCTAAGTAGGTTAATTAAGTACATTCATTAAACGTTCAGAATACTCACCCTCATTTGTCAAAATATTAGGATTCATAATTGTAACGAGCTGATGTAATAAATCCGGCTGACTGTGAAATAGTTCAGGCGCGGCCGATTTCATTGATTCCTCAAATCTCTCGGCTAGAGAGCCAGGCACACCGTACCATGTTTTTGGCTCTCCCCAATGTAAATAATTTATTGAATAACTCCAATGATCTTCATTGTGCCAACAAAATGTCGCAAAACACATGCCCACATACATCCATGGTACTTTCATTCCGCTAATATCAGCATTAATGTGACCCAATATACTTCCTTGTAAAACTGGGAGATTATTTAAATTCCACGAAGACTCGGCATATTCTTGATCGCAAGTAAAAAGATTCACACTTGTTTTTGTCGGGAAACCCGAACCGTGATCCATTGTATGAAGATCAGCGCCATATTCAACGGTCACGTCCTCATCGATTGACGAAACAATTCGCCAAAATTCCTTCTCAACAAGTGACGTTGGTACCATCTGAAAAAGAAAATTGGATTTTTCAGCGAGATTTCAAATATTTCTTTTAATAAAAAAAGGTTTTTAAATTGTTTTTGTTTTATTTTTTAAATGTTTGTTCAAATAGAAGAAATGGTATTAACGGAAGTAAATACGTACGTGAACGGGCATATTGAAGTAATCACTTTTGAATTGATCGGCCATTTCGCCAAATTGTTGGAGTGTGTACTCGCGTTGAGCTTGCTCGAAACCAAAAGCCTCCATCGGCTTCGAAACTTCCTCAGCTACACACTTCGGACATCGCCAATCACCTTTTGGAATTTCAGTTAGAGGTGGTAGAAGACAAAAGGTGTGATAGCTATCGTCACATCCGTCGCACAGCAACATATTCTCTTCATTGTCTCCTCGCCCACAATTATGACAAATGTATTTAGCCAGCTGGGGGAAAAATGTAGAATATTTTTTAATGTAAACATTTCTTGACTCCTGATATTTGTGTCGACAAACTCAAAACAACAAACTTACGATTCTTATAAAGAAAATCAAGTTTTTTCAAAACAGTTGGGAAAAAATTGTTGCAAATTCATTGGCAAGAAAATATCCATTGTTATTGTTTCAATAATAAAATAATAACAACAGCAATAAATAATAGTAATATTTATTCGAATATTTGATATTAAATATTGAAATTTTTGCATCTAGAGATAACTTGAAATTTAATATTAAATATTCTAGTAAATAATAAAAAATTTCAAATTATTATATTAATGTTTTGTTAAATAGTAAAATAATAATGAAAAGACGTCTTTTTTCTATTAATAAACAAAATTTGATTTTCAGATGTCACGAGGAAGTGAAAATGGAGCATCTTACCGGATCGAATTCGTAGGTGAGTTTAATCCCTCTGGTTTTGTTAGATTTTTTGCTTTCTTTGGTATTAAATCCAGCCATTTTTGGACCAGCACCGTAGAATTGAAGTTTCTTCAATTCTTTACTATTTTCGGCACCACCTTTTTCGGGCGATGCATTTTTACTCTTAACACCCTCTTTGCAATCATTATCAGAATCACATTCCTCCTTACAGTCTTCTTGTTTAATTGATAATGGATCTTGTTTATCATCCTGACCAGTGAATCGTTTCGAACGTCTCGAAAATTTTGCATTCGGTGGCTTAATTTGCTGTCGCGATATAATTCCATGAGGCTTATAATCCTGATCCTTTTGTTCATTGGCATCCGTTTCCGGTTCAATTTTCTATTTGGAAATTAGAGAAATTATTTTTCTTCACATTTCATAATAATAAAAAAAAAAAAGTATTTCAAGTCTAAGAGAGAAAATTAAAATTCCTTAACTCATTAACAAAGAAAGAAACTCTCAGAAAGAAAAAAATCAGAAAAACGAGAACAACTATATAAAAATTTAGTTTTTAAAAATGAAATTGAAATTTGAATTAAAAATTCAAATCAATATTATATAAAAAGAAATTAATTCTCTAATAAAAAAAGAATTTTTCAATTGAAAGAGGAGAAATAGTTTGAAATAAATAAAATCCAGAACTTACAATATCACTTAAAGTTTTCCCTTGTTTGAAAACATCGAAGGGATATAATATTCTTTCGTAATGATTTTTAAGAATACTTCCAACACTTCGACCTGAAGGATATCCAAGTTTATTTGCTATTTTTGCCCACCTCCTTTCCTTAGTCACATTTTCTATTCCACCTAAAATTTAATTATATTTTACTATTTTTTTCTTTACACAAAAAAAGAACTTATTATCTTTATTCTCTCAAATGGAAAAGAAAAACAATTTTATAATTTGAAATTCAATCTTTTTTGGTTAAAAATTTGACATTTTCCTACCTTCGCTAGTCACTATTCTGTGTAGTGAATACAAGTCAAGTGCTTTACGCTCGACTAATGGAATTTTTAGTGACGATCCTTGAAGTTCCCAAAATTTAGCAATTTGATCTAAGAAATTTAGTTTAATCCTCGTTTTTGCCTCTAATTCGTTTAGCCTTTGTATCCTTGGGACGAATTTAAATTTGTCCACGTCAACAGCAAAAGGGGGTTGCCAATTCTGAAGTGGAGAAAAATTGTTTAATTTTCATTTCTTAATAATAAATTAAATTCAAGTCAATTAAATTAACAAATTAATACAAGAACAGGGTAAAAAAGTTTGTTCAACCTCCAATTTCGTTCACTTTGAAAAGAAAATTTCTAAATTAAAATCTACATTGAAATCAGGGTGTAATTATTGTCTAATTATTAAAAATTACATTATTCAAGTGCAATTTTTATTATTTTAGTCAATAATTATATACACACTGACACTAAATATTTTTAGGTAAATTAATATTCTCATAGCACGAAAATTGATAATTTTTTGTTTAATTTTTCCTTAAAATTGTAATAATTTACTGACTATATAAAATTCTGATGCATTTAATTCTAGTGACGCTATTACGTAAACTTATAGAAGCCTTCTCTTAGATTTGTGCGACTTAATACAAAAGAAATACAGTATTGAAAATAAAAGTAATTTAAAAATGAGAATATAGAATTTTATTATTTATAAGTAATAATAATTCTCTTATTCTCTTCATTTCTTTTTCAAACAATGAAACAATAAATTTGTGATACTTTTAAATATTTAATTTTTAGATCAATGATTTTAAAATAAGGTGCATATGACACTAGATAAACAAAATGAGTTTAAAATAATTGTAAGAAATGATTGTTAAATTCATGAATTGTTTACCAAATATAAATAGAAAAAGAAAGAAAGAAGAAAGATAAGAATAGTGTTAACAGAATATAATCGTTTAATAATCTTTGGGAAAATTATGAACATTAGATTTTGTACTTCTGTAAAAAAAAATTGACATTTTTTGAAGAATTTTTTGAATTTTTTTCAATTGTTAAGACGCAACGTTATTTTATCAGAGTGGGAATAGATTATTTAAAAACCAATCTATCAAAGTATTATCATTGATAAATGCAAGGTGTATCCTATTCATTTTCTCCTGTGACTGTATTCGTATTCTTTTTTCATTAAATTAAAAATTAAGTTTTCAGAAATGGAGTACTTCTTATTGCTTTGACGTATTTTGGAACACGATCGATGAGAATATTTCATTTTGTTATCTCTGACAATCTCTGACAAGAAACATTTATTTGTTTATAATTAACGAACAAATTTGGGTTAAATTTGTCTATTATTTAAAATCGACTTTTTAAATAGAAAATGAAAGAAAAAAATGCTTTAAAAAACAATAATTACTACTTTTTATAATGAAATTACTCAAATACACCTATGGCGTATGATATTGATGCAAACGACGCTATCCATTGCCTACAAATACAATGACTTTAATATAACTTGTTATTTGATAGCAATATTTATGTGTATTATATAATCATGGATTCGATTATGGCCTAAACTATTTCATCATATAACGAATCGCATGAATTATGATAAATTGTAATTTTAAAGAAAATGAAATGATTCCTTAAAAACATGGCGACTTTGTTACTTTGATTTGACTGGAATATTTAACAATACTTTATTTCTTTTTTTTCTTGTAATGCTTGTAATTAACAGTTTTTTAAAGGAAAAAGAAAAGTTGTTGTTCACTGTATGACGAAATAAGAATTAAAACACACGATTGTCATTAAATTGTAATATTATTATTTCTTTACGTCACAAACTTTTAAGTTTTCATAATAGACGAATTTTTTTTATAGAGAGAAGTGAAAAGAAATTTCTTTTTTAAATGAAATGAAAGTGAATATTTTCATCTTAATGCGATCCATTTTTGAATTGTGTTCCATTTTAATAGTTTATGCGCTAAATGAAAAATTGGTAACGTGAAAATCATTTCCCAATCAACGTATAACATAATTCTTAGTGTTCCGGCCATTTTATCGTTCAACAACGACAAACTGCATGGCGTACCTTCCAGTATTGCCTACAGTTCTGTTAGAGATTAGAAATAGAAATGGAAAACTTTTCGATACACTGTAAATGGGGAATTTAAATTTCCATCTCTGAAAAGTTTTCTAAAATGAATTTCATCTATTTTTCCAAATTCATCGTGTTCATTTTTTTCTAAAGTACTTGCTGTCACATCGACACGGTGATTGATTACTCCCACGAGTTTCGCCTTTTTAGAACTCCAAATTCTCTTAATTAGGTTTCTATGTAATTAAAAAATTTATAATTATCCAAAATTCAAATCGACTCCAGAATAAAAGCCTTGAATTGAGCAATTTTTATAATTTGTATATAGAGGTCATGAAAATTAAGGAAAATCCTGGATAAAATTTACAGTGCGTCGGTGGTAAATGTTACGAATTGAGGTCGTTGAACGAAAAAAGACGATCGACACTTTTTTTGGTCGACCCTCCATGCACTTTCCCTTGAATGCTCATCAACTTTAAAACAAGAGCAGACATTGATTTCATATAGGGAAAAAAGAAAAAAAGAAAAAATCGATCGAAAACATTGAAGATAAACACAAGGTTCTTTTGCAAAGGGAAAACTCACAGGAGGCGGTTTTATCTTGCAGATTCCCGATTTTTCAGCAATTGGACGAATTTTGGCAATGTAACCCAATGGATCCAGGAACTCCTCGGCAGTGGGCTCAAATACTGGAGCCTCCGGTGGACTTGCAAATTGAAAATCCGAGTCACTCCTCTCGCTCATGTCTTTTCTAAGATATGTCCCAAAACGAGATTCAAAAGCAGTGTGTCCATCAAACTTAGATCCCATGATTCGTCCTCGTTGAAAGGACGGTGTGGCGCACCTTTTTCTTTTTTAACACAATACACGAAACGCTTATACCCGGACACAAATAAAAAAAAATACTAAATGTTACTCTGGTATTAATTGGAAGATCCTGATGCGAAGAGTTTTTAATGAAGCCATGATTTGGCTCTGCTTGTATTTATCAATGATAAGAGGACAATAAACGAAAGAAGAAGAGCACGACATACGACACTTTTGTTCTTACACGTAGCTTCGCGCACGGGCAACTGCCCCGATTCATACTTGGATACTTTCCCCTCTAGCCCTTCAAAAGCAACATGGAGAATGCGAAGGCAAAAGATTCACACACACCATGTGTCTACGCAATCACAACTTTTTTCAAACACTCAATTAATCGAAAAATATCTTCTTCATTTCCACAACAAGACACTCGAGTTAGAAAATTTTTTTTTCCCCTTCTAATTAATCATGCAATTTTTTGCACAATTTCATTTGTTGTTAATTCACTGGGTTCAAACGGTTCAACATTGGCAGAAAACTATATCGTCGTAAGGTTAGTTTTTAATTTCTATCATTCTTTAGCATTATTTTTCACATATTTTGTATATTTTTTCCAAGACATTTTATAATCCAGATTTAGAGAAATATTTTTTCTAATCACAACACATATTGTTAAATAAATAATCACTTAGTTCAGTAAAATATGCAACGAAATTTTTATACAAAATTACTTGCACTTGAGGTCGAACCTTTTCTTCTGCAATGGTCACGTGACCAATCATGTGATCAGGCGAGAGGCGCGAAATTTAAGTTTAAAATTCTTCCCTGAGGGAATGAAAATAAGGAAAGTGAAATAATTATTGATTTATTTAATTGAAGCCATAAATTTAGTAAAAAAATTTTCTTTTAATTAATTTCTAAAAGGAAATTACAATAACTATTTAAAAATAACTATTTTCGATATATATCGATTTTTATCGTCTCTTAAATTTAAAAAACGGACTGGTTAAATAAAAATATTTGTTTTCTAAATTATTATTTAAATTATTAATATATAAAATATGATTTAAATATTACGAAATAATAAATACCGAAGATAATTTTTTTAAATATTTTTATTATTCGATGAAAATTTAATTAATAAAATAAATATTATATTGTTTAAAATAAATTTTTAAATTCAATAAAATGTAGAAATTTTTATTTTCTATTGTTGATTTTTTTAAATAAATTAGTGTACAGTATAATCTTATCTCGGTTCTTGACTTCCGTATTCGAAATAAAGTTTCGAGTTAATATTTGTAAAGATATATGGCCTTTCTTTACTGGGACACAATACTGTTTCAAAAATTTTTGGTGATCCCATTTCTGTTTTATTTCCAACTGGCTCCAACATATTGTTCCAAAGAAGATTTGCACCTAAACAAATTTTTATAAAAGTTTTATTTAAAAGAACATTGTGATTAAGCGCCTGCAATATGCAACCATTCATACGGCGAAGCTTCTGTCGAAAAAATCAATTTTAAATGTTATCTTTTAATTTATCAGTTGTAATTTATCTGTACTAATGAAAATTTAGTAGTTTATAGTAAGTTTTAATTTTTTTACCTATTATTTAATTATTATTCATCTTGTGTACGAATATTTATTTTATTTTTCTAATTACAATACAAATTTTTCAATGTTAAGCTGCAAGTATGGTTGCATATCTAAAGGCTCTATAACTAATTTGATTTACAGTAACGTAATATTTTTTTATTATTACTACGTTTGTATTCTATTTGTGATAAATAATTTTAAATTAATGAATAATTTGCATTATACTGTGAATATTGATTTTTATGTTTAAAAAAATATCTTACCAAGTGCGTGTCCTTTTTGGCTAAGATGAAAGCAGTCATAAGTGATCAAAGTGGAATCAATTTTAGCTGCATTGTTTACATTTGATTTTGGGGTGTTAAATAATTTTATAAATGGTTGATAAACCACTGTAAAATCTTCAGTTCTATCGTATCTGAAAATATTTATTTCAAAAATATTATTTTCTATGTATTCTACATATGAAACTTGATGAAATTCTGGAATTCTGGCGCACATACATTTTGAGGTTATGTTTATTTTTCAAATCAAAACACAAGCGTCATGAGTGGCACGAGTTTAGCAATTTTAGCAATAGCAACGTTAGCAATGAAGGAAATATATGTAAGTAAATATATCGCAAGCAGGTACAAGTAAATAATTTTTTTTATTCAAATACGTCTAAAAATTTAAGACATAAAGTATATTAATTTGAGATAATTTACAATGTTTACAATTTTAAAATTTTTTTATAGAAATAATATTTATATTTATTATTAAATTTTCTTTGTTATAGAAAATTAATAACGTAACTTCTACGTTTAGGTGTTAGTTTTTTAGCAGAATTTCATCAACTTTTTAGAAAATTAAACAGAAATCACAGAAATCAATTTTGGAAATAGAAAAAAAAGATAATGATATAAAGAAGAGAAGGGATGTTGATTGATACAATGACAGTATGAATATTGGTAACAAATTTCGATTTAAATTTACCTCCCAGAAGCGACTAAAGCTTCAGCAGTTTGTTGGAACATTTGTGAAATTTTGGAAGCGTGAATATCTGCACGTTTTCCTTTATGCAAACAAGAACAATAAAGAGGATGCAAAAGATTACACATAACACTTCGAGCAGTTCTAAGAGATACGGTAACATCTAAAAATTTAATTACAATATTTTAATTTTATTTTGACTATTTTTCACTTTTACATAATTTGAATTTAAACAAAATTTTAAAAATTTGAATTAAGAAGGATTTTTTTTCTCACCAATTGTTGGCATTAAATTAACCAGAGTACGAGGTAGTTGTTCTCTAAGAAAATCTAGAGTTTTCCTTAAATTTATGGCATATTTTGATGGCGAGAATTCCTTGGGATTAAAACATTGCGCTGAACAAACGTCATTTGCTCCAAAAAATATTGTGATCATCTGTTAAATTTTTTAAATTAAGTTAAAAAGAAAATGATTGGATTTCTTCTAAAAATCATTTTTTAAAACAGTAAATATTTTGATAGAAAAAATTAAAAATTGTACCTTCCAATGTTTTTGAATATCAATATTAGGATCGCTCTTCATTCGATTGATTAGAATTTTGGCTTGATGAAAACTGTCAATCGTGGCCGCTACTGGAAACGCAATATTAAGTCCCGCTTTTTTTGAAATAAATTCACCAGTTCCCGTGGAATATCCCGTTAAATTTGGATTGAAAACCTGCAAATTAATTTTTAATTTGCTCCTTTTAGTTTCTAGGAAGAATTTTTTAAAAACAAACAATTTTTTGGTAGTTAGTGATTTTTTTCTATTCATTAGATTAAAATGATCATAAATTAGAATTATTTGTCAGTAATTGAAATTCGGAAGAATAGTTAAATACCTTGAGTATATTTGGTACTGTTAGATAATTTCTCCAATTCCCCTCACCGCCGATAGACCAACTGACACCGCGAGCCTCGATAAAAGCACCAATTGCATATTCTTCCATTGCACCACTTGCGGCCATCAAAGAATCTCCCAAACCAGCGACAATGTCAATATCGCCTGGTCTCAATTTATGAACACTTGTTGGTGGGCTTGAGGATCTTTCAAAAAAAGAAATTCAATTGTCAAAAAACCTTTTTTTATTAGAATCTTTTATTTCGTACCTTCCTCCTCGAACTTTGCAGGGAAATGGAATTTCTAGGAGAATCTTTGGTTGTCTTCGAATATCGTTTTCGGCTCTAGGATAAAATATACCATTTTCAATGGTATCTTCCTGAAAAATTTAAATTTAATTTAATTTCTATTCGTTCGAAGGGACGAGAAATTATTTTGCTAAAATTCACAAATGGAAGGGTATTCATATTTTTCTTGGATAAAATATTTCACTTACTCTGCCTGATTGAAATAATTGATAAATGGCGTCTGAAAATGTAGCTCCATGACTTTTGTGAAAATGAAAAATTAATACTAAGAAAATTTCTAAAATGTGATTCCTCATGTCCAATTGTCACAATGTTTTCTTCTCCGCTTTTTTTTATTCCAACAAGACTCCATTTAACGTAGGTCCCTTTGCTTTGCCACTGCTCTCATATTACATTTCCAAAATCTGCTTTAGAAAAAATAAAAAATACTATTAAAAAAACTATTATCCGAAAATTTCTGAATTTTTACTTAAATTCTCTATATTTATGTTCCAAACATTTTTATTTAAGGAGAATTTTTATTTGTTCGAATTTCCATTTGCTTCAAAATTTTATTTGACCTACTTTCTTTTCGACTATTTTTATGATGTCAAATTTCCATTTTTAACCTTGTTTTTTATGTGTATATCAAAAAATTATTTTATCGAATTTCTGTTTAATTCGATTCATTCAATTTAAGTAAACTTTTAATATACAGTCGTACTTTGAAAAATAAAATAAAATTTTTCTGGCAACCCTGTTCATAAAATCCCGATTTCAATATAGAATTTTGTTAAATCAAAATTTAAATAAAAAATTGGCTATTAAATAGAAACTTTGGCAAATTTTTTAATTAATTAATTTAATTAAAAAATTTGCCAAAGTTTCTATTGAATAAAAATCGAGATAAAAATTTAATCAAATGGAATAATTCTGAAAGAAAAAATAATGTTGACAACATAATGTTGACAAATTCGGCACTAAAAATAATTTTACTTCCAAAACTTTAATGAATTAGAGAAAGTGAAATTTCGCACAAATTCAAGTACCTTATTTCATTATGATGAGAAAAGTAAAAAATAATGTTTAATTGGATGCACAGTATAAAGGAATGTTACATAATTCGAAAGGGAAAGAAGATTTTACAGTAAATTATACACGTATGTATATATAGCTATATAGTGTTGATAAGATCTATTGAAGCATGTCGTAATTCACAAAACCCTATCATTTAATATATAATTAAGCCCCTTTAAATGCATATTATATCTTAAATATAAATTCAATGTAGCACTTTCTTGTTGGACACACGCGGAAGCTGACAGAATCTGTCGAAAATATTTGACAGTTTCCTCAATTTCGTTCAAGCACGCGTGACATTCGGTTGATCAAAATAAATATCAATACAGTGTGAGACGATTATAGTTTGCGATATAGTTTGCAAATAACTGCCAATTTAAAATTTAAAAAAAATTTTTTTTTGCAATTTAATTAAATTAAATTAACAATTTTATTAAAATTTTGTTTAAAAATAATTAAATTTTTGCAAAAAATGTGACTAATTTGCATAATAATAATGATAATAAAAAATTGAATATTACGTTCCTCGCGTAACATTTGCTAGTTTTATATTAAATTACAAAACCAGATAAAGATCTATATTTGACTCGGAGCCAACTAGTCTTTTATTTGGTTCAAATAAAAGTTTTATTTATGTTAAATAAATTTTTTTTTCTGGATATTGTTATTATCCTCTATTATTTGTCAAATAAAAAATAATTAATAGTTCCCTGAAAAACTGAATTCTCTAATTTTTATATTGAAAAAAAAATTTTCCCATCTCGAGATTTATTTGAGCTGTAAAATTGACAGTGAATAAAATAATCATTTTTATAGCTTTTCCTTAATAAATTTGATGACAACATTTTTACACTAATGGTCCGATTATCAAAATTTTCACTTCGTATGCAAATGCTGCATTTCAGAATTTATTTATTGCTGCTATTTAATAATCGATAGAAAAAATTCCCGATAATTTTACATACTTTTCTAAATATCCACTTGAAAAAGAATGTTAATTCATTCTATGATTTAAATTTTTTTTGGATTTTAAACCGATTTTCGATTTTTTCTTTATCTTTTCTATTTTTTGATAGTTATTTTTTATATTTATAATACTTTATATATTCTACAAATGAATATAAACGTGGAAGAGTTTTGAAACGTGAATAAATGCACTTATTTCGATATTTCGAGAGCATTATGTAAAGAGAATTTTTTTTCCATTTGTACAGAAGGAAGAAAATGAAAAATTCCTGTTAATGCAGATATAAATTGTCAAAGCAATCCAGTTGAACTTAAAAGTCAGAATTTAATAGAAAGTTTATTTAAAAGTTGCACAGTTGGTAATTATAAAAGAAGGTTAAAGGTTATTTCCTCATTACGAATTTCATACACATACGATTCAGTCCTGAAGTTTAAATTCGCGGAATTATAAATATTAAAACAATTTTCCTTGCAAACAGTACTTAAAACATTGAAATATTATAAATATAATGTATAGTTTCATTGATTTTCAATTTTTTAATTTTCAATTTTTGAAATTGCCCATCAGAAATTTCTTTTTATGACATAATGCCGCATTTTTGTTTGATGTGAAATATTTTTCACACATACACACGAAAATACATATCAATCTCAGTCAAAAAATGAATAAATTATATGGGTTCTTCCTTTAAATTTCTAACCGGCGGGGACTCCTTTGGCATCGCTTCTTGTATTTGCTTTCTAAACTGTAATTTGGCGATCTGAAACTTGACGTTTTAATCATTATAATTCGCGACACGTGTACTTTCCAATAAGTGAGATGACTATAATATATATATGGAGAGACAGAAGTTTTTAAAAGCTATTTAGAAGTTTATAAATATTGTTTCATCTCTATGTGCGTATATAAAATACCTTGAATCGTGAAACATGTTCAACCTCAAATTTCATAATTCTTTCGCAACATTTATAATATATTATGAAAAGAATGTCATCTCACAAGAGCGAAAAGAAGAATGAAATGTCGAAAGAGGCAAAAATTTATACGTTCTAAATTATATTTTTGCATTTATATTTGCAAAAGAGAAGAGAAAATTAGACACTTTAGTAAAGATTTTTATTTTTTTTTTTTTTGATAAAATGGATTTGGAAACTTTTATTATTTTTATTACTATTTAAATTCGCATTTTCGTATTTATTAGAGAGAAAAAAAATTCAGTCTTGGAAATTCTTTGAGAAATTTTATTTCACACTCGTATAAAAATTTTCCAAGAAAAGAATTTTCATAAGAAGTAATTTATGAATATTATTTTGATATGTTTGCTGTTTGCTTTGACATATGCACGAAAAAAAAGGATTCGAAATTTATGTTATGTGTGTATAATGCAAAGTGCAATATTCTGTCTTGTGGTAGATATTCTATAATGTTATAACTCTTTCTATATATGGGCATGCACTTTCCCTTGACTCTAAGTTTGGATGTCAAGTACCAAATGCAAAGTGTGATGTGATTGTCGGTAATTCATATAAACACAAACGACAACAAGGAAACAACTATTCTTCCGTAATTTACAACTTGAATCTTCTGAATATATAACACTCATCTCTCTTTATAATAAACACGCGCACAATGGACCACTACTGCTTTCAATTTCCCATCTCGATGTCAAATGATAAATATAAATGCCACGCAAATATTTGCCGCTTATTTATCAAAGTAATTGTTATCATTATGTAATAATTTTATAATAATCGTATTTTTACAACATAAAACAATTATTGTTACAAGTTATATTTATTACACTTATAATAACTAATATTATTTTTATTAAAATTTTTAATATTTTTCTAAAATAAATTATTACAATGAACAAATTTTTTATGATTCAAATGAAAATTACTTGGTTCAAGTATTTATTTATTTAATAATATTAATCAAATTAATAATTATTTGCATCAAATAATTTTACGATACAAAAATTTTGAGCGTTCAAATGAACGAAATATTTTTTATCAAAAATATTTTATTTATTTGATTGCAATGAAAATTAAAAACTTAAATTTTAAATTTAGAAACTCTGTAATTAACTTTTTAATAAAAAAAATTAAATTACTATTTTTTATATAAAAAATTATTGGAATAAAAATTTAATTTGAAGAAGAAGTAAATACATTTCGTTAATTTGAACGTTCGAAACTTTAGAAACATAAAATTTTTAATATATTATTTATTGATTTTATTAATATTAATATTATCCTCATTATTATTATTTTTTTTTTATTTTTATTGAACTGAAAGAAAAATTTATTTGATTCAAATATTTCTATTATCAGAAAAATATTTACTTGAATCAAGTAATTTTTACTTAAATTAATTAAATGGTATTTGCATTAAATGTTGAAATTATTTGGTTTAAATACAATTTAATTAACTCAAAGAAAAGTTATTTGATTCAGGTAAATATTTAATTGATAACAGTCAAGTAATTGATTATTTGAATCAAATAAATTTTTTTTCAGCATTATTTTTCTGCGGATATCAAATTAAGACAAAAAACGAATCAAAAGGTTGCTTCGCAACACTTTTGATTCGTTTTTTGTCTCAATTTGTTATCCCCAGAAAAACTGAGTGTGCATTCCGGTTTTAATAAAAAAACAAATAGTAAAAATAAATATTTTAATTTGTTTTAATGTAAATTTTTAATTATTTAAATAGAAAATATTTTAAAAAATCTTTTTTGTTCAAACTTACGGTTTTTGGTTGTTTGAAATTTATTTTCCGTTTGCAGTAAAAAATGTAACTGCATTTTGAATGCAATTTCGTCAACAACAAATTGATGATTTTTTACAAGTTTGACGGATTATTCTAATAAATTGGAAATTATTTAATTTTTATCACTTTCTGTATTATTTATTTGAAAAATTTTCTTTTCTCTTCAAATTTTAATTTACGAGTTTTAGTAGTAAAAAAAAAACTGTTTTGTCACGTTTCATTCAACTAAACTGCTTGGGAGATTGTTTGATACAAAACTGAATGAAGCATCGACGACAAGAAGAGACATCGATTCTCCTAAAGGGATATTCCCCCACTTTATATAGAAACTATATATTCGAGAAATATAATTGCGTAATATAATCGGATAACAGCATGTCTACATATACATAAAATCAAAATAAAATCCCAAAAATGTATCCGGATGTAATATTTTTTTGTTTTTCTTCACTAACGAAATATAATAGAAACAATTTGCATTCGTGTGTAAAAAAAATACGGAAATGGAAAAAAATTTTGTTAATTAATTCAAAGTACCTAAGTCTGGTATTAATTGTATTACATTATAGTACAAAGTACATTTGAATAGAAAAAAAGTCCATTCATAATTAATTTGGTTTCAACAGTATTATTAGTATTATTTTAGAGATTAATTTAATTACTTCATAAAATCTTAGCACCTTGAGCTGACACTTATTGAAATCATTATATTGCTTTATGAAATTACTACCTTGTTGGACTCCGGAACTATTAAGTTAGTATCATTGATATAGATTGCATGTTTTTTCGTTTAACGTTTGTATATTAATATTCTATACAAACAATAACACTTTTTTTCGGGAATTATTTCTTTTAACTTTTTTAATTTGTTCGAGAAAAATCCATTATCTGACAATTTATAGAAATTAAAAATTTTTTAATAACAAATTAATAAACTCACATAATTTTTTCATCCAAATAAAACAAGATATTTTAAAATATCATAAATCAAGATATTTTATATTTTTTTAACGTTAGAAATTAAAATACTTCCGGCTTTTTTAATTTTTGAACATTATAATAGAATAATTTCCTTGTATATTTTATATTATTTCACAACTTTTTTAATAATTATTTTTCTTTTTAAATGTTTTTAAATTTTAAATTCTTTTGAACAATTTCGTTCAAGTTTTTTAAAAGTAATTTCTTTAATTTTTTTAATATAATCGATTTTGTCAATAATTGTAATTCATAATTTTACTATTTTTTATTGAAATTATTGATAGAAAATCGTGTCTGTTAATTAAAAATTTGATTATTGAATTTTATTAAAATTGTTTTAAAATTATTTATAAATAATTGAATTCCTGAGAAGAATTTTACTACATATTTATAAAAATAATTTAATTCTTGCGAAGAATTTTAATATTTATAAAAATAATTGAATTATTTCGAAGAATTTATTAAAATTTTGGAAAATAATTGAATTCTTTCGAAAAATTTAAAAAAATAATTGAATTCTTTCGTGAAATTGTATTATAATAATTGTATTGAAAATAATTGAATTCGTGCAAAGAATTTTAGGAACTGTTTATAAAAATAATTGATATTCTGCAATGAATTTTATTATTTATGAAAATAATTCAATTCTTGCGATGAATTTTATTAAAAATTTGTTCAAAACGTTTTTTTTTTTTAGTTAAAATATCTTTAATTGAAATTTTTTGAAATTTTCAAAATTGCGAATAAAATATTTCGTGTGTTGTGAACTTTTACTCTTTTTTTATAACCGTATTCTATATATAAAATACGTGTATGTGTAATATTCCGTACTTTTGTTATGCAAATATTTTGGATTTAAATAACAGTAATCTATTAGCTTCCTCGATGTAACTAGAAGGAATTTATTAACATTCAGGAGAGTGCATATTGCATTTAAACGTGATGTGTATTGAAATTTTTTTTTGTTTCTTCCGAGCGGTATTTCTTTTCTACTTTAAAAATCGAAAGTGTGCAAATTTAAACAATTATAATATATGAAAGCTCAAAAGTAATCTTTCATTAATTCTTAAAAGAAACAAAATCATTTCATTCATTTGTAATCAATATGTCTTGAAATGTTTTCTTTTTTTTCTTTCAATTTCATATTTTCAAAAGAAGCTGATTTGATTTTTTGAATTATTGTAATGGTCTAATTTTTATACATTTCCATTTAAATTTTTTTTTATTTTTGATTAAAAGATTTATAATTCTAGTAGTAATTTAGGTACCTCTTTTTATTTACGTATCAAGTTTAAGATTAGCTAATCGTATTAATTTTTTTTCTAATATTGAACCTAAGAATATTTCAATCCAAAAATTTTGAATTTTCAATTGATCATGATTTTAATATTCCGCCAATAAAATTTTAAATGTCAAACAAAAAAATACGTTTACATTAAGTTTTTGTATAATCCATAACAAAATTCTAAAACTTCGTTTTTTTCTTCTCAATTCATATGTAAATTCGAAATTTTTTATTTGTAATTCTTCATTTTATAATTTTGATGACAAATTTTATTCACTTCAGAAATATTAGCAAAACCGAATTTGAGAGCTATCTATTACATTTTTATAGTTGAAGCATTTTTATCTCAGAAGTAAATCAGTGTTTCCAAATTTTTTCAATTCGTAATTTTTTTTGAAGTGGACCGCTAATAGATTGCCAAATTTTTGCCTGATTCCTTCGAGCCATTTTCATGTGATACCCGTACAAAATATCGCCGACAGACAGAAATCTTTTTCTTCGCATATTTCAAATCCTTAGAGTATTTAAAACGAAAAAACTGTACATAAATTTTCAAGTTCCATGCAAAATAGAGAGAAAAGTTGATGATGATTGATGAATGACTATTTATTGATAATTAAGTTTTTATATATAATTATTGATGAAATTTGACAAAAGTCAATAATTTAATTAATTAAATATTCGATTAATTCAGTTGAATTTACACCCAGAGAAAAATTTTATTTTGATTAAATATCTTTCATTTGAGTCAAATAAAAATATGTCTCAGACCTTACTAAATTATTTATTTGTTTTACTCTTTAAATTTAAATGAATAAAAATATTTACTAATTTGAATTAGTGAATTTTTTGTTTCCAAATTTTAAATACTAATTAATTAGTAGAAATTACTATTTGTTAGACAAATTTATTAATTCAAAAGCAAAAAAAGTGAAAATAATTTAAATTTATAAACATTTTTACTAATTCGAATTTAGAGTGAATAAAAATTTTATCCAACCAAATTTTTCATGTAAGAAAATTTTTCTTTGAACCAAATATAATTTATTTGAAACAAATAAAAAGTTTAGCAGACTTTGAGTCAAATATATATTTTTTCTAGATGTAATGAATTAAATTACACTCTCTAAGTAAAATATGAATTAAGTGAGATGAATGAGTATATTTACATGAAATGGTTTCTTTTGATTGTCACTAAAAAGAAAATTCACGACGTATTAAATAATTTAATAATAATTTCTTTGACTATTTCTCCATGTTGCTATAAACGGTCTTTTTGCATTTGGACATGCAAAATTTTTAAAAAGATCATCCCAATCACGTATTTTTTCGTCAGGCGGAAGAAAAAAATTATTCCATATTGCATTTGCGCCTAAAACAATATTTTCATTAGTACACGTAAAATATAAACAAAATGAGGAAATTTCTCACATTATAAAAGAGGTGACAAGGAAAAAGTATATTTTGTATTTTCTAAACCACTTTTCTTTTAGGGAAAAAAGTTTTTTGTTACAAAACTGATTTTTATTTGTGTCTTAGATAAAAAAGTGACTTTTAATCTTCAAATATTCAGTGTTTATGAGTAAGGAAAATAATTTTCAAAATACTAAATTTCTAACAAATTTTTAAATTCAATAGATGTTAAAATACTTGACTCAATTTAACTTCCAGTTATTTTTAATACAAGTTACATTAAAAATAGTGAGTAACAATATTTTGCAAAAATTATAAAATAAATAATATTCAAATAAAGATAAAATGTAAAGTGATATTTTTAACTTACATCTGGCATTTGCCTTTTGACTGATATGAAAGCAATCAGCTGATAAATAGCTAAGATCAAAATTGCCGTCCTTTCCGATTGGAAATGATAAATTAGTCGTGAATGGTTGAACAATTACAGCAAAATCATTTCTTTGGAATTCAGTGTATTGTGCAATTTCCTCTTCAATATTTTGAAATCTGCGTAAAAATGTTTATGTAAATTTCTCTTTATAATAATGATTATTCGAATATTTCATTTTCAATATAATAATAATAATAATAATAATAATAATAATAATAATAATAATAATAATAATAATGATTATCATTTATAAATTTTCATCTGACCTTGTCATTATTTTATAAAAAACATCGTGTTGATTTCTCCATCTCAAACCAAAAATACAAGGACAAGAGAAGCTATTTGTTATTTCGCAAATTGGTGGTTTATTTTTGATATCAAATAGTGTTTTTAAATGTGGAGGTGGAATGATATTGACAAGTGTTCTGGGCAGATTGTCCCGAATAATTCTCAAAGTTTCCAAAAGATCCTCACGATGATTCTTCACTATTGACCATGGTGATGGCACATAACACATTTCAGCGCAGAAATCATTTGCTCCAATCATCAGAGATATTAACTGCAAACAAAAATTTATTTTTATTTTTCAACTAAAAATAATTAAATGATTACTTCTGGTAATCATTATATAGTACTCATAGTTTTTCTGCGGATGTCAAATTGAGACAAAAAACGAATAAAAAGTGTTGATGTTCAATATATTATTATTATGCAAATAACAAAATTTTTTAATTTCAAATAACAATTAATTACTTTTTAATAATTTTAGATTCAAAATTTAAAAAATTCTTTTATTAAGTACACAATTAATTATTTTCATAATTAATAACATTCTTCGAAAGAATTCAATAATTTTATAAAAATTTAATAAATTCTTGGAAACAATTCAATTATTTTCAATATTTGAATAAAATTCCTTGAATGAATTCAAATATTGAAAAAATAATAAAATTCAGAGAAGAATTTAATTATTTTCTAAAAATATTAATATAATTCAATAATCAAATAGGTATTTAATTTCAAATATTAATAAACACGATTATTTTAAAAACTTGAAATAAATTCTTCATAAAGTTCAATTACACTCAAAATTTTTAATTCAAATTATTAAAAAGATTCCATTATTTTATAAAAATTCAAAGAATTTCTTCAAAAGAATTTAATTAGGATTTTCAAATTATCGGAATGCTTAGATTATTAATAAAGATTAATAAAAAATAAATTTTACGTTTTTGTGATCTAATTATTTTTATATTTTTTAATTTCTATTATTATATTATTTATAGAATATTAGTTTTTTTATTATAATTATTTCGTAAAATCTTGAACGTTTTCTTTGAATTATTTTTTATTAACAATGAGGTCAAGAATAAATAACTCTAGTTTCATATTTTACTTGCTTAACTCTTTTTTTAACTGCTGTAGTTTTTCTTTTACTAGGCAGTAAAAAACTGTCTGCTTTACATGTAATTTTTTTCTAAAATCTAATAATTGTATATATTATTATTATTATTTGCAATGAAAAGAAAAATTTCAATTTTTTGGACAAATTTTTACCTTCCAGTGTTTTTCAATATCAACTCTTGAATCGTTCTTTATCCTCCGAATTAATTGTTCCGTCATAAAGGGCATATCACCGGATATAGCTCCAGATTCCGCTATATTAAATTTCGATCCACTTTGAAATGATAAAGAATCCGAGACAGCGTATCCTATTAAATTCGGATTAAATTCCTGAAATTTTACAATTCAATTTAATTGCAATTTTTTTTAGATTTTAATAAATTTCATTCTCTATTTATTATTATTTACTTAACACGAATATTAGATTATAGTTAACTTAATAATAATCATGTTGATTTAATTAACTACTATAATTAATTAAGTTAATGAGAATATAATTATAAAAAAAATAAAAAATAAAATGAAAATTAGCAAAAATAAAAACAATGAGTAAAAATTAGCAAACATTAGAAAATTAGTAAAAATAAGTAAAAAAATAAAATAAAATAGTGTATTTAAAGATAAAAGGACCGTTTAAAAGTTAAAAGAGAAATTTTAGTGAAACGAATAAGAAATGCCAGTAATAATAAAAGAATGTAAATTTTTTCAGGTAAAATCGATTGTCACACCTTAAGGATATTAGGAATCGTCAGGTATTCACGCCAGGATCCTTGTCCTCCTCCAGTGGCACTCACTCCACGATTTTCGGTGAGTAATTCCACAACTTTTGTTGCGAAAATACCAAATCCTGCTGTTAATGAATCTCCCAACGATCCAATAAGGTCAATATCACCGGGTCTTAATTTATGAACACTATTCGGTACAACCGAAGATCGTCCGCCTTCAAAAATTCAAAAAAATAGAATTATTTTTAATTCACTCATAATTTTTTGAATTATTATTATTTTATGTTAAATTATTGATTATTATTACACTGAAAAAAAATTTATTTGATTCCAATATAAATATTTATTTGATAATAGACAAGTAATCGGTTATTTGAATAAAATAATTTTTTTTTCAGTGTATGCAAAAAACCAACAATAATATTAGTATAATTAATAATAATAATAGTAAAAATAATTAATATTAATTAATTAAAAATTATATGTAAATATAATAAATTTAAATAATTTTTTTTAATTCTCTAATTATTATTATTAAAAATATTTCTAGATAATTAAAAAGTTAAAGGCTTATAAGTTGCGACTAAAAATATTTTGATTGATATGTTATGAAATTGAAAGATATTTTAATGGAAAAAAATACCTTTCACGTCACATGGAAATGGTACATAATCTGGAACTCGATCCTGTAGCCGTCGTGAATTCCGTGCATTTTCAAGTATTTTTTCGCTTCTCCCTGGAAGAGCTGCAAAAAGAAAATTGATAAATATACAGAAAACAAAAATATTACTTTTTTTTATGTCCAAAAAATAATTTATAATTAAGATTATTCACCTAATTAGTAACTTAGAAATATGTAATTATTATTTACTATACTAATTAATAAAAAATTATTTAAGCAATTAAAAACTATGAATTACTTTCTAAATTTGAATTAGTAAAAATGTTTAATTATTTGTACTATATAGTGACTGATCTTTTGCTTTTGAATTATGTAGTAAACTTTACTAATAAATTTTTTACTTAATTTTTACTAACTTACTCGATTTTACTAAATTCGGAATTCAATTAGTGAATTTCACTAATAAATAGTAATTTTTACTAATTTTAGTATTTAACTAGTAAATTTTACTAATAAATAGTAGTTTCTACTAATTTCAGTATTGAATTAGTAAATTTGACTAATAAATAGAAATTCTTAATAATTTCAGTATTTAATTAGTAAATTTTACTATTAAATATTAATTCTTAATAATTTTACCAATTTCAAAAGCAAAAAATAAGTAACTAATTTAAATTAGTAAACATTTTTACTAATTCAAATTTATAGAGTATATTTAGGTGGATAAAATTATTTTTAAATTGAAAATTTGAAATTAAATATAAATTTAATTAAAATTTATAAATTAAAACTTTTTTCTATAAATAATAAATATATTAAAAATTAAATTAATTTTCAATCAAGAGAGAAATGAACATATTTGCAAATTGGATTAAATAGAAAGTTGGATTTTCATATACAAAAGAAAATAATTGAGTTCGCCCATTCCTATAAATTTGATTAAAAATGCATTGAGAAAAGCAAAACCGGACACTTACATAATTTAGTATCTAGAACTTAATATCTATCTCATTCACAAAGAAAATTAATCCTCTAAAGAATAATAGTGAGAAAATTTATTAAAATGAAAATAATCCGAAAATTACCATTAATCTTTAATTTAATAAATTCGATTCAGTACATTATTATTAAGAAAATAAATCATTAAAAAAGGATTTAAAATTCAGTAAACAAAGTAGTAAAAAAACGAATACTAAAAATATTTACGTCAATATTTTTCAATATTTACATATTTAAATATTTTTCTCAATTTTAAAATTGAGAAAAATGTGAAAACAATTTTTTTCAAATTAGAAAAAATAGAAACATTAGAAAAATTAGAAAAAGAATTAGAATAATTTTCAACGACTATCAACAACAAATAATACTCACTATTAATTTTGGAAAAGAATGCCCGAATATTTTGCCATGTACGAATATTTTCTTGTGTGTCAAGTTCAGTTTTTTGAGTTCTACATGTCACGGATAAAATTGGCACAACAATCAGATAAAAAAGCACAATAATAAATCTCGTCATGATGACAATATAAAGAAAAGAAATATTTTAATGTTGTGACGAGAATTTGAAGCTTCTTTTTTTTCCCACAAATTGTTATTATTTTGTTATTTCACGATGTCTTTGAATGCACCAAATCGACGGGTGGTAAAATTCAGTCTGTTGCTTAGGATGTGTTCTGACATCGTGGTTGATTCGAAATAGCAGAAAAGAAATAAAAAAAAAGAATGAAAGAAGAAGGAAAAATAAAATACAGGATGGATTAAAGGATCATGAACCTTGGTTCCACCACTGCTTTACCACTACTGAAGCCTTCCAAGGCCGGCAAATTCTCTATCATAAAACAAGCTTCTTATAAATATATATATCTATATCTATATGCATTTACCAGTTCTTTGAATGGCGCTAAAATTTTTCTATAGGCTAATTATTGTTCATACGCTAAAAAGAACTAAAATGCGAACACGTTTACTCGGCAAATTTTCATTCCTTTATGCATTTATATTTATGGAAATTTTATAATTTTATCTTTCAAATACATTTTTAAATTGAGAAAATAGAGGATTAATATTCTTAAATATTTATTTCAATAAGTAAAATAATTATCATTAATATAATGATAAATCAAAAACTGAATTATTGGGGAAAAAATTTGAATCAAATATTTTTTATTTAAATGAAATAACTATTTCTATCAAAGAATTCATATTTACATAAGTCCAATACATGCTTCTTCAGAAATTATTGATTCAAATACAATTTATTTGATTGAAATAAAAACTATTCGAATCAAGTAAATATTTATTTGACAAATTGACAAGCATTTTGAATCAAATACATTTTTTTCTGTATTTATGGACTAATATTTAATTTAATAACCGAATTCATTCAAAGAAAATTTTTATCATCTTCCTCTCTTTGGAAATTCTTTCTAGGATTTTTACTCTAAAAATTTTAATCAATTAATATTTATAATTATTAATATAATTATATTTCTATAATTTAGAGTTAATAATAAGTAATTTTTTTTAATTTTAAAAAATAACGTTTTTGTTAAAAGAAAACGTTATAATTTGTGTAATTTTTGTAAATTTAAATCTTAAATAATTGAATTTTTAAGAAGAAATTTATTATCAAATTTTGAAAAAAATTGAATTGATTCGAAAAATCTTCTTCAAATTTTTGAAAATAATTAAATTCTTTCCAGGAATTTAATCAGAAATTAATTTAATCAGTAAAATTTATTTTAATAATTGAATTCCTTCGAAATATTTTATAAAAATAAAAATTTTGTAATTTTTATAAATTTGAATCTGAAATAATATTGAATTCTTGAGAAGAAGTTTATTATAAATTTTGAAAATAAATACATTTTTTGGAAGAATTTAAACACTAATTAATTTAATTAATTCAATTAATTTAATCAATAAATTTTGTTGAATAATTGAATTCTTTCGAAAAATTTTATTAAAATTGTATTGAAAATAATTGAATTCCAGACAAAGAATTTTGTTATCTATGGAAATAATTGAATTTTTGCAAAGAGTTTTAGTAATTTTTTTAAAATAATATTGAATTCCTGCGAAAAATTTTATTATCTATGAAAATAATTGAATTTTTGCGAAGAATTTTATTATTTATGAAAATAATAAAATTCTTACAAAGAATTTTATTACAAATTGTTTTATACTTCGTATTTCGTATCTATATATAAAATATTCCTTTGTGGAATAATAATTATTGGAATAGAGTATAAATTAATAACCATTAAAAAAATATCAAACTTATCTGAGTTGAAAGTTTATTGAAAATTTTTTCTGTAAATTAAATATATTGAGTTCTAATTAGTCAGGAATTTGGTTAACTATAGGTATATATATTTAGAGAAACTTTTATATTTCACAATTACTCTACCGGCTGTTTGTAATAATAATAATGTTAATTTATTTTTCACGATCATTTTTACGGAAATTAATTAAATTCTAGTTGTAGTAGTGGCATACATATATAATTTAAAAACGAAAAAAAATACCAATCATAATATGACGATTAAATGATAAATGATAACACTTACTCAATAATTAACAATTATAATCTATAATTACATGACAGAAAAAAAGGAAAAAATAAACTCGAAAAAAAGTTTGTTAAAGTTGAACCGTGACAACAGTAAATGAAAATAAATTTATATCATCTGTTAAAATGAATTTATATCAGAAGTTAACAAGTGTTTTTGATTATAATGCTTTTAAAAAAATGAATTTTTCCTTTTTTAAAGAAACGAGGATATAAATAGACATAATTTATTTAAGGCATTTTAAATATAATGAAGAGAAAAAGGAATCATCTTTTAAATAGTTTTTTCTTTAAAAATCAAATATCACTTTAAAGAAATAATTTTATCCTCATATAATAATGACAGAATTGAATAACAAAATAATAGCATATGTTTCTTTTGCTTTGTTTTCATGAATAAATAATTAAAATACCAACACGTGAAACATTTATTTTAATGTTTCACGAAAGGCAAATTTCTGGACATTAAAATTCAGTCGAGGGATAAAAAAAACACACGTGTTATGCATTTACTTTTAAATATATTTGTATATATTTTGTCAGTATCTGGGAATATTGATTTTAAAACCGCAAATAAAAATTCGGTGTGAATATTTTTTTTCTTATTTTTTGTATTTGAAAAATTTGTGTTTTAAAATATGTTTTCGAAATTGTGGAAAGAAGATATTTCGTTCTCCCATATCAAATATTATTAAAACTTGAAAATTAAAATATTATTGAGATTCAAAATTTAAATTCATTTTATAGACAAATAAGATATGAAAAAATATATTAATTGACAGTAAGTAAATTTTGAATTTATCAGCATATTTGGCTAATAAACAAAAATGGTTTATTTAAAATTATTTAAAAACATAAAGGTGGAAATATTTTAACATTTCGTTTTTTTTTTATGGCACTTTGGTGTTTTTTAATTTTTAATTGTCGAAAAATCAAAATTAAAAAGAATGTTTATGGAAAAATTGAATTTTGTGAAAAAGTTTCAAATAAATTTTATTAGTGACTATTTGTTTTTGAATTAGTAGATTTTACTAAAAAATTGTAATTTCTACTATTTTTTTTTAGTAAAATTTATACTAATTCAAAAGCAAAAAGTCACTAATTTAAATTTAAAAGTAAATTAATTATTTCTGACACTGATTAGAAAGATATCGTTTACATTAAATATTGATAAAGTTGTTTTAATTTTTAAAAAACATTTACTTATTATCATAGAATAATTTTGTCTTGCAGTTTTCTAACTTTGCTGCAGAGGACAGAAGTAGTGAAACTTTCGCTTTCATCCGACGATGTCTGATTATTTCATAACATTGACTACTTCTTTTTATTTATTATTTTTTCAATTTCAAATTTTTGAATAATGCAATTTTTTATTATTTCCTTTTTTATTATTTTTTCAATTATTTTTTAAAATTATTTTTTAATTATTCTTTTTGGAATTCTATTTACAAACAAGGAAAGAGTTTACTTAAAATTCACAATCATGTATTTAATTTCATCACTCTATGTTTATTAATAATAATTGATTGATAAATCACGGGCGATAAAAATTATTATTATTATTAATTATTTTTTTTCCGAAATTTTTTTTTTTTTTTTGCTTTTTCTATTGAGATATATAAAAGAGAGAAAAAAACTGTTTATGCGCGCTTTTATTCCAAAAATATAATCTAATAGAGAAATAACCTTTCTATTTTCAGTAACTCGCATATACTTTGCGCGTATCGATTGATATGATTTTTTTTACGAGTGAAAAGACAGGTTAAAGTGGCTGAAAATAAAAGAGACAGAAATAATTTTTCAAAGAAATATGAGAAATAGGTGTGAGAATAAAAAAGGGTCATGTGTGAGGAGGTCAAGGTTGATGCGTCACTATATAAGAATCGAAAGAGATTTTTGCTCTTTATAAAGATATGTCAACGGTCACCGAACTTTTCTTCCTTTAAACGATGATGATACAATTTCAAATGTGAAAATGAAATTTTTTTTTTTTGAATTAAGGGCATTTGAACCATGATGACGTCACAGATTTAAAACTAATGCTTTGCACAAACTGTGACGTCATCAAGGTTCAAATCCCCTTAAAATTGAAAAAAAAATTTTTCCTCGATTTTTTTCCTCTTGAATACAAAAATAAATAAACAAATATAAATAATTATTACTATAAATAATAATTGCTATAAACATTTTAAAAAAATCGACTTTACATTTTTTTCTCGGAACAAGAAGAATTTTATCTCGAAACAAAAACTTTTTTTCTAGATTCACTAATAGAGTTTTAGTTTCTTATCAAATTCCTAATTCTTTTTCAATTGAATCATCGATGATTTTCTCCATGTGACTGAAATAGCCGTTTATATTTAAAAATTGTATGACTCTAATTAATATCGCGTTTATCACACGGAAGTTGAGAAAATAATTTATTGTTAACGCTCTCCTGGTGAAGTTTCATTGTTTTATTAAATATAGTCGCATTTAATCTGTTTTTGCCAGATTAATTGAACGAGTCAAAGATTGACAATTATTGATTCGATAATGATGAAGTGGCCATTGAAGAATTTTTCATATTTCGTAATTCTAAAACAAACGAGCAGGTCAAGAAACTTCTTTAGGTCAATCTGTTATTACATAATTATAATAATATTTAATATTATTATTATTTATAATTCGTTTGTTTATTTTTTTAATACAAAGAAAATAAAAATCAAGTAACAATATTAATATTATCATTATTATTATTATTAGTAACTAGCAAACATTACAAGCGCCAGATTAAAAAAAATTTTTTTTTTTAAATATTAATTTCAATTTTGGAATAATTTCAAATTCAAAATTTAAAAAAAAATTAAATTCTTAACTAATTTCCTAATTAATTATAAATATATTTTTTTTTCAAAAACTTTAATAAAATTTTTTGCAGGTATTTAATTTATTTTTAGGGCAATTTAAATAAAATTTCTCAAAAGAATTCAATTATTTTTAGAAATTTGGTAAAATTCTTTGCAAAAATTCGATTGTTTTGAAGAATTTTTATTAAATTATTCATAAGAATTGAAATATTTTCAATACAATTTTAATTAAATTCATTGAAAAAATTCAATTATTTTTGAAAATTTTAATAAAATTGTTCACAGAAATTTATAATTATTTTAATAAATAATAACATTCTTCGGAACTTCAATTCAAGAATTTAAATTTTAATAAAATTATTTATGAGAATTGAATTATTTTCATAATAATTAATAAAATTCTTCGCATAAATTTTATTATTTTGAAAAATATGTCAATAAAATTATTTATAAGAATTTAATTATTTCAGATAGATAGATACCTAGTACTCTTTAAATTTGAATTAGTAATATTACTATTATTAGAATAAATTATTGTAATTTTATAATAATAATATTTTTTTAAAATATTTTATTGTTTTATTTTTATTATTATAATTATTACAACATTAATTTTCTACAATTTGCCTGTGTAATTGAAGAATAAAATAATGTGAATTAAAGAAATCATATCAAATTCTGGCAAGGATGTGACCATGACTTGCTCTTTCAATATGCAATATTGAGGAAAGTAATGATTATAAACTTAAATTTTCAAGTGAGGTTATCAGTAAAAGTCATTGTGTTAATAGTACACAATATCAATAGATCAATGATATTCGTATTACATTCTTTTATTCCCCCGAATGATTATTTTATTTTCATTGAAAAAATTTCGAAATAAATTTTTTTTGTGTTTGAAATTTCATTTCATCTGAAAATTAAGTAATTTCCAGTTATTTATTTATTCTTTTATTTTTATACCATTATATTAACATATAGCTACAGATGAATAAAATTAAAATAAACAAAAAAAAAATAGAAGTAATATTTATTATATAGAAAAATATTATCTCTCGAGAGTTTAAAAAGTATAAAAGCCTCTCATTGAGAGCAAAATAATGCAAAAAGGAAAAAAAAGCTTTGTTCCTAGAAATTAAATAAAGTTCGTTTTTTTATTTTACATTTTGATTTCGCAAAATTATAAAAGAGAGAAATAAAAATGATTTAGAAAAGTGAACTCGTGGCCTTTCTGGTGGAGTCACATATTATCAAATCATATCGATTCTTACGTATAAAACACTGGCAGATGAGTAAAATCTGTCTAGTGCTTTTGCAGTTGTGAGTGTGTATAGACTAAAAGTGATAACCCACCAAGAGGCAGTTATTAATTATCTTTGTTTCCTGTACACGTTTCAAAGTGCATTTCATTGGTCTCTCATAAAAAAAGAATTCCCCTTGATTAGTTTTCAATCAAAAAATTCAATTTTCTGTTTTTTTTTAATTAAAATTTTACAAAATTATTATTCTTTCTACGCATTTGAATTGGAGTTGGGAAAAGTTGCTAATTGGGTACAATATACACCCTGGAAAAAGGTATATTTGACTGAGAGCCAACTGAATTTTACAATTAATTAATATAAATTATTTTTTTAATTAATTATTAATCATATTTTTAATATTTGTAAAATTAAAAAGTGGTAGCACAGAAAAAATATATTTTTGACTCAGAACCTATATTTTGTTTGGTTGAAATGAAATTTTAAAGAAATTAAAAAATATACACAAAGAAGAAGAAAGAAAGAAATTAAATATAGTACCGAATTGGATTAAATTGATACAAAAATGAATTGGAATCCAAAATTTGAAATTATTATTTGATCCAAATATTCATTTGGAATTCAATAATTCGTTAATAATTCGATAATTTAAAATTAGCACCGAATTAATTAATTCTAATATAATTTTTCCTTCAACAACAACCTTCAAATTTAAATTTGTTTTGATATTTCATTAATCCTATATGATTTGCTTACAATTTTGTATATAGTTATTAATTACATTTTCGATTGTAAATTCTTTTATCCTTGAGAAATGTAAGATAACCGCGTTTATATTCGTCACTTAATAATAATTGTATTTGAATAACAGAAGAAAAAAAAATTTTTGTCTTCAGAATTATATATTCTTGCCATTAAAATAGGAAATATTGATAGTTTTTCAATTTCATATAATATATAATAATAATTAATAAATAATTTATCAGACTAATCATGCTTACACTACTATTTGGCAATATTAATTGAATAATATGATGAAATTTTTGCCATTTTCTCAATGTTAGTTCAGTGAACAAATATTTCGTAATTTTATATGTTATCATCATTCGTATCTTCTGTTTCCAAAAAAAAGAAGAAAAAAATACACATTCAATCATTATAATGATTCTGAGAATTTAATTCAAGCAAATTGTCTTAGAAAGATGGACAATCGATTTTTTTCGACTCGATGTTGCCAATTAAGTATTTTTTGGTAAATTATTAAGCAATAAATAATTTATTGGCAAAATTTACTCGACAAAAAATCTATTAATAATCAATAATAATAAACTGAATAATAGAATAAATAGTGAAATATATTATAAAAATGCAATAAAAAGAAAAATATTGGAAATAAAAGAATAACAATACAAACAATACAAAATTGCTATTTTAATTAATCTGAAATATAATGTATCAAATGTTTCAAAAAATTGTTTAACTGTATAAAATTCGTTTAATATAAGTTTATTGAAACAGGTGATTTATTATATCTAGAATGGATGAAATTAATATCTTCGTTTCTCGATTTATATTATAAAGCTAATTTAAATTGAACGGTTATTGGCGACGTAGATTTAAGAAGAAAAATATTAATTATGCATTAAAATTTATTTTTTGTACCATCTGTGTATACATAATATTTCTATATGGAAATTTGAACCTCTATAAAATTTTTTTTTAAACACGATATTCTCTGAAATATCTAAAAGTTATTTTTTATAATTGCCATTTGCCTAGAATATAAAGAAAAACTGGAAAAAATAATTAACATAATTATATATAATTTTGGAACTTATTGGGCAATACTTGATTTTATAATTTTTTTTTGCACATATCCGTATATATACATATCAATAAGTCACATGAAAGTCTTTATCTTAATAAAAACAGTTATCTCGCTTAGATACAAACCAACAAATTTACATCTTATTGTATTTGTTTTTCACAAAATGATTTTGTTATTCTAGAAACTTCGCCTGGTATATAATGATAAAATTAATTATGTGCAAATCAATTTAATAATGTCAGTCGATTTCCATTTTCAAGTTTTTCTTTATTTTTAATTTTTGTTTAAATTACTCTTTTTTTTAAGTTTTAAATTATAATACCCCAGTAATGTCTGTTATCTTTAAGTCTCATGAAACAAAAATGATATTAGCAATCAGTTTAGATAAAAGTTGTGTGCGAAAAAATAAATCATGATCATAGTTTCAAAAGAATTTTCATCAATCAATAATTATAAAAAAAGAGGAGAAAAATATATTTAAGAAAAGTCTCTTTTTATCTAATTTTTTTCTTTTTAGTAATTAAAATTTTTATCGTTATTTCTAAATCGTATTCTACAAGTTACATTAACAATTACACTAATTCAGAAGTAGCAATAATGATAATATTCACATTAAAATAATAATAAAATTATACTTTATTTGATAAACTATAAAATATGTTCTTCAGATGTTTCATACTTATTTGATAAAGATTAGGAATTTTGTATTATCAAATAATTCTTTTTATTCTTTTAGTCAGCATAATATTTAGACAAAATAAAAGTATATAAATAATGTAATACGAACAGCATTGTTAAGAACTATAATGCTCTATTTTCGAAATTCATCATTTTTATGATACAACTTTTGCCTAATAAGCACATCACCGTGTGTTCGAAGACAATTTATTAAATTACTTACTTTTAAACCTATGTTGATGTTATTCCAAAGTTAGACATTAATTTCAATTATTTACCACTTATAATTTATTTTACTTTATTGACAGATCGCTCTAAAATGAAATTGAGTTAAATTTATTACTAACAATAAATAATAATAAAAAATGCTGGAAATGCTCCTTTAGGTAATAATTTTATAGGTTAAGAGAAATTAAGTCAATTCACAACTTTCGGAACTTTCAGAAGATTCAGAATTTAAAATTTTCAATATTGTTTTCAATAAATGACTTTAAGTTTAACATAACCTATAAGCTAAACGTAATGAGTTTAGAGACCTGTCATGTAAGATTTGACTAAAATAATTGTTGATTAATAACTGAAATAAAAAATAAACTTACAGATAATCACATTGTTTTTGGAGAACTCGCGTGCTGGACAAAATTGGATTTGGCGCTATTTCATTAGTTTCCCTAGAATATTGTCGATCACGTGATACGAAAAGACCCGACTCCGAGTATAGAGTGTTACTGACGGTGCTTATAAATATCAAGCGTCAGCAAGTGGGGAGTCTCTTTTACATCTTAACACTGTTCAGTGGTGCATTCCTTCTTTTTAAAACACTATATTATCATCATAACGTTTGTGTATACTTGTGATATTGTGTATAGCGCGCCTCTTCTTGCGCGACGATAACAAACGTGTAAGAAACCATCGCAGCTCGACATTTCTATACACGAGCAGTATACGGTTTAAGCGTGTACTCGCTCTACAGACCCTGTTCAACGACATTCGTGAAACGATTCACAAGACTAGCACAATTCACCACTGAAAGACAAAAGTTGAAAGGAAAAATGCCGGAGACAGCACATCATATGAACGGATATGCAAATGGCCACTCACCACCGGAACTACATCAGAATACCAATTTTCTGTTCACATCGGAATCAGTTGGCGAGGGCCATCCTGGTGAGTTATTTGTTTTTATTTTATTTTTCAAAAATATCTAATGGACCGTTGGAAACTGGGACGACACGCTCACGAGACGAACTTTGCTCCGAAATAAAACAAGGAGTCAGCACTTTTCTTTAAATTATTGTTCAATTTTTTTACTCTCGACATTTATCATTGTTGATAATTTGTCGAAAACAATTGAATTTACATGGTCTTTGACTCAGAAACATTTTACTTTTCATATAAGTTCCCGTGTGTGTTTCCCTTTCTTCTCGTCTCTTACATGCCTCCATTGAAGCCGATATCATGCGCATGCTTTTATTACGAGTTTCTTTTTTCGCAAATTAAACTATTTTACGCTTTAATATAATGAATTCTGTTAATTAATTTTTAATGAGTCTATTCGAATTTGTCTAAAGGCTAAAGAGTTTATATATAACTTTCTACATTGAAAGCTTAGCTTATTTTAAGGTTATTTCACTATTGTCGCCATGTGCTCACTACTTCCGATTACATATTTGCATCATCTTCCTTTTGAGAGACTCGTTCTGGTTTGAAAATCGCTTTTTGTTATCTTTTAAAACGTTTTTTCTGTTAATTTGAAAGCTTAACGGAGTAGTTTTATTGTAAATTTTAGCTTGAATTTTTATTTAGTACCTAAAATGTCTTTTTCTTTAAAAGTGAACAAAAGATTTGGAAATACAACTTTCAGAGTAATTTTCTCAACGTATTTTTTTTCTTTTGAGGTTAAAATATTGTAAAGTTACATTGACGGCGCCACTGAGTTTTGTATGAAAATAACACCGGTAATAAGGGATTATTTTCAAAAATCGAGCTAGAAGGACAAAAATATTTATCTTCAATCTTATCGAAATTTTATGATGAGCTCATTATTACAAATTGTCCCTGAATATAAGGTTATGAGAATTGAAATAGCTTTAATGTAATTAAATGAGAAAAAATTATGACTCATTGCAAATTTGTTTTTTCTATTATCAATGTCATCAATTAAATTATTCCTTAATCAAAATTATTTTCTTCTGTGATAGTAGAGAATCTGTATTTTTGCATTTTTCCCCTTCTGTTTCTATTTTAGGAATTAATCTTCATTTAATATAGAGATAGACAGATGTTTACATTGAAGGTCACATATTTTGCTGATTGACATGTTTTTAAATGTAATGGCAACGGTTTTTAGAAATAATAACGACTTTTCCAAATAATATCCTAATTTTCTCTTTATTCTTTTTACACAGATAAAATGTGCGACCAAATAAGTGATGCCATATTAGATGCCCACTTGAAACAAGATCCGGATGCTAAAGTTGCCTGTGGTAAGTTACATCTTTATCTGGTTAATTTCTTCGTTAGTTGAGTATATCTAATGTATGGTCTCTATTTATAAATTCGTCATTTGAGCCTTGAGTTACTTTGGAATAGTGTAAATATACTATGACTTGAGATAACAATTTTTCCCCAAAAAAGTTTTTTGATTTTGCTTGTCGTTTGTTTATCTTGTTATCAAATAGACAACATCGATTTGTATTTACTTTTCTTCAATTCTCTTAGTTTTCTTTGCTTGAAGATAAAATTTAGCTCTTATAGAAAAGTTACAAATGATTGGAGAAATTCAATTATTTTCAAAAACTGTTCTCAGGAATTTAATTATCGCAGGATTTTAATTATTTTTAATACAATTTTAATCAAATTCCTCGAAAAAAGTAATTATTCATAAAAATTTTATTAAAATTCGTTAGAAGAATTCAATTACTTAAAAATTTGTCGATAAAATTGTTTACGACGATTCAATTTGAAGAAACATTCAATTATTCAATAAATTATTTTATTTTGAATTAAAATAATTGAATTTCCTATTATTTATATAAAAATAATTGAATTCTTGCAACGAATTTTATTACATATTTTTCAAATAATTGAATTCTTTTGAGAAATTTTACTACTTGTTAAAATAATTGAATTCTTGTGAAGGATGTTATTAAGACTTCTGTAAATAATTAAATTTTTTTCGAAAAATATGATGGTAATTTAAATTATTATAAGACATAAAGATTTATTTTTATTGTAAAACATGAAGAAATCGATCACTCCGAGTGATTTTCTTCATGTTTTACAATAAAATTTTGATAAGTTGTTAATTAAACCGTAATATTTAATTAAAATTGGAAAATTTTTTTTTTCAATATAGAAACCGTAACAAAGACGGGAATGATTCTTCTGTGTGGGGAAATTACATCAAAAGCAGTCGTGGACTATCAAAAAATAGTACGAGACACAGTGAATCACATAGGCTATGACGATTCCTCGAAAGGTGAGTAAGAATTCAGCCTCTGCTATTCATTATGAGAATTTATTTTCCAATCTCCCTGTTCTGTCACTATTACCAAAAATTAAAAAATTTTTAAAAACGAAATAACTAAACGTCAGAATTTTAATTTTTAAATAAATTTTGATCTAATCTGCTTTCAAATGAAAGGAAATTGCTATTTGTCGACTAGACAATAAAAAGTTACATTAGATTTTTTTTATTCAAAGGATAAAATTTTTTTACATCTGTTTATGCATAATGGAAAATTTTCATTTAATAATGTTTATTCAGAAAGATAATATTTTAATTTTTTTTCACTCAGAAGGATAAATTTGTGTTCGATTTCGTTTATTCAGAAAGATAACAAGTTTTTTGTATGGCCTTTGGAAAGGTATTACAAAATTATTGAAAAGAAAACATTTCCGTTATTTATTTTTCTCAAAAAAAAATTAAAAAATTTTTCTTATTTAGGAATAAATAATTTTCTTTTACTGAATACGACAGCAATAAAAATTCAATTGAAAGTTTGATATTGATCGTGTTTTGTTTATTAATTGAAAAAGCGAGTTGATTAAACTGACTATGGCGATTTGAGTACAGTAGAAAAGAAAAAAAGAAAATTTAGTTTGGAAAAAGTCCTTTATTTTAATTTGGTCTCTGAGGAGCATTAGAATTCCGCCCATTGTCACTTGGATGAATAGTCGAGCGATCAAATCCAAAATAACAAGAATATGTAACGTAAGCGTATCATGGTGGTGGCAGGATTCGATTGGCGTACGTTGAACCTTTTGGTGGCTGTTGAACAACAAAGTCCGCATATCGCTAGCGGCGTCCATATCGGCAGGGAAGAAATGGATTTGGGTGCAGGTGATCAGGTACATAACCAAATTCTCAGCCAATGGCTCAGAGCAACAAAATTTTATCATCAAAAAAAAAAAAAAGATAGAAAAAAAGAATCGACAACAATTTCAAAAATTAATGTTCACCATTTTTTTTCTCGCACTAATCCATTTTTTCAGGAATTTTTATAGTATTCAGTACCAATCACAGGCTTCACAGCAGTTTTTCTGTTTCAAAAGAAAACAAATTTTCAGAGTCGATCTGTGAAGGAAAACAGGGTTACCACAGGTCAGGGAAATCAGGGAAAAGTCAGGGATTTTTATTAAAAGTACTGGAAAAAATTAAATTTTTAGAATTTATAAGAAAATTCTGAATTTTTGTGTAAATTAAATTATTTTCACAAATAATACATTTTTTATGTAAATTAAATTATTCAAATTAAAATTTTAAATTATAATTGAATTTTGTCTGGAAATAAGGGAAAAGTCAGGAAAAAACAAAATTACATTTTTGTGACAACCGTGTTAAAATATGAAAAAGTAAAATTAAATCTATAAATAAAATACTTCCTACTATTTATATTGTCGAGTTGTTTACGTAACTAATTATTTATTACCAACATAAATGACATCAATTCATCGAGAGACTACCATTATTTTTTTCCATATACCGTCATCATGTTTCCTTTTAATAAAATAATAAATGTAACAAAAAGTATTTTTTAGAATTGTTTATTTTAAATTCAAATTTTTGTACTCTTTTCCACGATTGACGCAAGTTTCTAAATTGAATAATTCCTCCAAACTATCTTAATTTCTATCCTCTTCTCTCTTATTTTCCTTTTTACAATAGAGAATCTAAAAATAGTCTCGCTTTGCGTCAAAAATTTCGTTAAAAAGAAAAAATACTGCATTAACAAAAAAAAAAAATGAAAAATGTTTTCCTGCTGTGAAGCCTACAATGAAATCAGTCATTTGCCACATAAAAGGAATGAATAATGAAAGAAAAAATTAGAAAAAAACACCCATAAATTTTCAACAGTACATTTAGGGTAATAATTTGGAAAAAAAATAACAACAAAAAGATTCGAAGGGAATTTCAAAAGAAACTGGGGAGAATGTGGAAAAATTCGGAATTGTATAAATGATTAGATGAACAACCATGATAATCTCCTCAAGAGTCAACAATTCATATGCAAAAATGAATTGATGAAATATTAGATCGCTATTGACAGTTTCAAAGCTCTTGAAAAAGAAGTTTTAGGACATAATAGTTTTTGAATAATTTTTTTTATATATATATACAATAGAAAAATTCAAATTGACTTTTAGAATCAATTTGTTTATCAATTTGTTTTTTATTTTTTTCTATCATCATTTTCATAGGTTTTGACTACAAGCTGTGCAGCATTTTATTGGCACTCGATGCACAATCACCAAATATTGCAGCAGGTGTACATGAGAATCGTAATGACGAAGATGTCGGTGCTGGCGATCAGGTTATTTTTCAAAATCCAAGAAAATCTCTTTTTTTAATCTCTCTTCATCGTTGTGTTTTAATGTTTTCTTCTTCTATTTCTTTAGCAACGCACTGATATTTTGCTTCTTTCCATCCACCAAAAAGAAAAGAAAAGCACAGCAGTTCTGACTCCCTATTAATTCCTAAATCTAATTTATTAATAAATGTACTTTTTTATATTCTTCTTTGAAACAATTTCTATCAGTAGTTGATTTTTTTATGTAGATAAAAATTGCTTTGTATTTATGTTAAAGACTTTTCAAAAGACTACTAACTTTTAATATGTAATTTTTAATTTGTATTTTTTTTCAAGTTAAATATTTTTATCCTAGTATACGGCAGTATGCCGACAGTTAGACGAGAAATAATTATTTTTAAAATGGGTATCGTTCAATGATGTCTTTTATGTATTTGCTACTCTTGAATGCCATGATGTTTACAAAATTTCTGAGGACGATACTTATTTTGAAATTCACATATTAATTTCTTTCTCTATTTTTGAAAGAAAAATAATACCTATATATATCTATTTATATATTTATAATTTATAAAAATTTAAGAGTATAATTGAAAAAAATTTTCATAAATTATTCTGTGAATATTTTTTTTGAATTACTAGTTTCATTAATTAATTTAAATTTATTTATTTACTATTGATAATTATAGATTTTTTAAAAGTATTTTTTACTTTAATATTTGTGTAGAAGCAGTGTCTAATATAATAGTAGAGATCCTGTGTGTGTAAATAGATTGTGAGTAATGAAATAATGTATAGATAAACATAAGTAGTTTGTACATATTGTAAATAACTAGTACACTAACCCTGTTTCCTTGTAGAAATATAATTATGTAGTACCTATTTGTGTAAAGCAGTGGCAATGGCTAAGTAGTGAATGTATTTGTTGAAATTCGTAGATTAGTTGTATTTTCATAACATTAATCATTTCATTGAACAATTATAATTGCTGCTCTGTTCTATTAGGCTATGCATGATTTTTTTAAGTTATAAACAATAACTTTTTAAAATTTAAAATTTTCAAATTTTTACGTTCATTCAATTACATTTCATCCATATTTTGTTTAATAACATTTTCAAAAAAATTTCAATGTTAAATAATTAATTTTATACGTTTCAATTATATATGTAAATATTTATTTGCTATCATGAAAAATTCTATTGTATCAGAATGAAGTATAAAAAATGATAATAGTAATAAATTAGTTTTCTAATAAAGTACATTTCTTCATTTTGTTTCAGACGAATTTTTTTAAAATTTGTTTGGCTCGTTCTATTTTTTTCGTCTTTAATAAACTTTTATTTTTTATATTTTGCACTAGAGCTTAAATTAAATTTTTTTTTTGCAAAATTTTCGCTTGAAAAATAATTCAATTTTTCCTGACAGGGTTTGATGTTCGGCTACGCGACTGATGAAACTGACGAATGTATGCCTCTGACTGTTGTTTTGGCGCACAAATTGAACCAGAAGATTGCAGAATTAAGACGAAGCGGTGAATTGTGGTGGGCACGTCCCGACTCTAAAACACAGGTACTTGAACCTGTAATATTTTATTCCTTATTTTTCCTTTGATTCCTTCGGTCATGCAATAAATTTAAAATCCCAACAAAAACGAATTTTATATTTATTTTTAGGTTACCTGTGAATATATTATGGACAATGGTGCTTGTGTTCCACGGCGAGTTCACACAGTTGTTGTTTCTGTGCAACATAGCGAGAAAGTTACGTTAGACGAACTACGCCTTAACGTCTTGGAAAAAGTAATCAAGAAAGTTATTCCAGCAAAATATTTGGACGACAAAACTGTTTTCCACGTTAATCCCTGCGGTGATTTCGTCATTGGTGGTCCACAGGTAATAGAAAAAAAGATATAAATTTATTTCTTTCTGTCATGATAGTGAAAAAAAATTAAAAATTTATATTAAGTATCGTTCAATGATGTTCTTTTTTGTATTTGCTACTCTTGAATGCCATGATGTGACCAAATATTCTGAGGACGATACTTATTTCGAAATTTTCATTTGATTTTATTTATAAACAGGTTCATAGATATTTGATATTGAATATGAGATTTAGAATATATGTATATTTGATCTTGAGTAAAATATAATTTATTTACAATATAAATGAGCTGACGAATAAGAAAATGTCTATGAAGGTTTTTTTTTAAAATATTTTTTATTTTGAAACAAAAATTTTAATTCAATTTTTACCAAATAGAAATATCTATATTTTTGTTACATCGACTTTTTTTGTTTATAAAACAATTTTGTTTTTGTAATAGAGTGATGCTGGTCTTACTGGTCGGAAAATAATTGTCGACACGTACGGTGGCTGGGGTGCTCACGGAGGTGGAGCGTTTTCTGGAAAAGATTTCACCAAAGTCGATAGATCTGCTGCTTACGCAGCAAGATGGGTTGCAAAATCATTGGTGAAAGCTGGTCTTTGCAGACGTTGCCTAGTACAGGTAAATTTCAATAAAAGTAAATTAATTAAAGCGTTATTAAATAAAATTCTAAACGATTATTATTATTAATGTAATTAGACATATTTTCAAAATATCGTTCAATGATGTCTTTTATGTATTTGCTACTCTTGACTGCCATGATGTTAAAAACAAAATTCTGAGGACGATATGTATTTTTAAAGAGTTTTTGATTAATGAATTTTTGTATTTTTGATTAATTTAATTTATTTACTATATTTTTCGTTACTTATTAAAATGTCTTTTCAAACAATTATCTCTGCTTAGGTTTCATATGCAATTGGAGTGGCTGAACCTCTATCAATAACTGTTTTTGATTATGGAACTTCAAAGCATTCGCAAATGGAGCTCCTGGAAATTGTAAAGAAAAACTTTGACTTGCGTCCTGGAAAAATTGTTAAAGAATTAGATCTCCGTAACCCAATTTATCAACAAACAAGTACGTACGGCCATTTCGGACGTGATGGATTCAGTTGGGAACAACCAAAGACCCTAAATCTTGATTGATGAGAGAGTTTGCCTAAATCCCCTTGAATATTTTTTATTTAAAAACAAAAAAAAAGAACAAGAAACAAAAATCCCCCTAAAACTCTATATGAACCTGTACCATTAAAAATTTAACAAGATCCTCTTGTGACCTTTGTCGATTTTATCAAGAAAATTTAGCTTCATTTTCCTTGAAGCCCTTTAGAGACAAAACAAAACAAAACAAAAAATATCCTCAATCGATGGATGCCACTTTGGCATCTTATTTTTTCACATGGTCACACGAGTTTTTGTCGACTGTAAAGCAAATATGATTATTTGTAATACGAGGTGCGAGTGTGAGCAAGATTTTTTTTCACCAAATATTAATTCCCCAGTAAACAGATCAGTAAAAGGAGTAAAGGAAAAAATAGTATTTAAAAACAAAGAAAATTTGGAATAGGAAAGAATCTCGGAAGTAAGGGTAGAAAAAAAGAGCAGACTTTACTTTGGGTCGTGTCAATTTTTTTTCTTTTGCTAAAAAGAAATTCTTCTATTGAGAAGAATTTCATAAAACTAATTAAATCTGTGTATATATTGGCAAGAAATTGAATTATTGCAGTAGTTTCCAAGTATCGTATAAAAAAATGAAAAAAAGAAAAAAATGTTGACAAGTGAAAAACACGGAATGCAGTTTTTTTGTGTCACAGCTCCAAAATTAATTTGTCATCATTTACTTTTTATGCGATATTTGAGGATCAAAAGCATCTCCTTCTCAGATTTTTAGGAATTGCACTAAAGTAGTGTTTCCGTGTGGAAATGAGAAAACTAGAATGTCATCATTCGTTTTCTGCAAACGTACATAATGTGTGTGGCATTTGTATTTCGTAGCACTGACAGAATGAAATTTTTATATTTTAATTTTAACGATGAACAAAAAAAAATATGCGAACTAAACAAAGTTTTTTTCAAATACGCCTGAAAAGCGTTCAAGAAATTTTAATTGTAAATTAATTATAGTTGCAATGGCACGGAATGAAATCTAAACGAAAATAAACCAAAGATAAAAATAGATGAAATCTTTTTTTTTCAGTTATTTTAAAACTTGCTTTACTTATACATAATATTAAGTGTTTCTGTGAAATGCTTTTTTTTACTACATTTTAATGCGATTTTTGTAAATTACGTGACAGTTGATACATTATATTGAAAATAGATAATTTCTTCTGTCAGAATGAAGTGCAGATGATCATGCGTAAAATGGACGACTATGTAAAAAAATGAAATCATCGTGTGCATGTGAACATTGTAACTTTTTTTTAATAAATTGATTATTTTATTTCACTCAAAAGCCTTGTATTTTTATGAATGTAGTTTAAATTCAACTCTTGTAGTTTAAATATATATATATTTTTTAATTAATAATTAAAAGAAAAAAATACATTAATTCAACTTTTTTTTGACGTGAAGTCAAATAATCATTAATTTCAAAAAATTCTGTAAAAATTTTATGTACGAATGTTGTGAAATATTGTATATTGTGTATGTACACATTAAAATTGTTTTCTGTGAATTTTATTTGTATTTAATTAATTTACAATCAGTCTCTGTTTTTTTTTAGTAAATAATATTTGGATAAAAATTTAATTAATTTAATTTTATAGAATTCAATCAAAGGATTAAGAATTCAAATAAATGAGCTAAAAAGTAAATAATTCAAAGATTACAAATTTGGACAATAATTTTATTGTAATACTTATTTTTTTACATGGTTCTTTTTTCAAATGCAATATTTTTTTTTTGCTGTTAGTTTAAAGAAAACAAAAGTTTTCTTAATAATTTCAGACATAAAGAATTTGAAACTTGTTCTGCCTTAAAATATTTGTGGTATACATTTTCTTCATATGTACAAAAATTTTAATAATATTTTTGAATTCAATATTCTTCAATGACTTTAATCTATAGTACAAATCAGTACTAAACTATTTTTAAAATAAAATAATTTTTTTCATTCAGTTGCAGTTTAAAAAATAAAAAAAACCTACGTTCTTTTTTCTTTTCATGTAAAAAAGAGAAATCATCAAGTATAAGGATTTCAAAATCAGATTTATATAAATGGTGCTTAATAAATTGTTTCATATATTAAAAGTATGAAGAAGTCAATTTATCAATTTTTCCGTAGATATCTCAATTTTTAACACTTATTAAAATACTATAAACAAAAAAAATTATAATAAAAATTATACCTAATTTTAAAATATTATTTGGAAAAAAATTACATTTTAGAAAAGAAATTAAGATTTTGATGTCCTCATACAATCAAATATTAATTCTCAAAATTTTTTAACACATTTTTATATTTACAGGAATGGAAGTATTTTGATTCAATGTGTCGAAAGTGAAAATTGCACGTTAATATGTATTTTATGAAAAATAAACGGTTAATGAAAATTCAATGAAGCAAAGAAAAATTGTTTTTTTTTAGATTCAGTTGAGAACAAGTTTCTTGGGTGCATGAATTCGACTGTGTCTGAGTAATGAACTCTTATCAGTGAATGATTTTTCGCATTCAACACATTTATACGTTCTTCCGGTATGAGTTACTAAATGCCTGCTCAAACCAGAAGCGTGACAAAATGCTTTTGGACACAATTGACAGTGATGCAATTGTATGTCATTGGGATTAAGTTTTTGATGTCTTCGCATGTGAACTTTTAATGCTTCACGTTGCGTGAAACTCTTGTCACAACTTTGACATTGGAAGGGCTTTTGTCCCGAGTGTGTCATCAAATGGCGAAGCAAAATTTCCTTTTGGGCAAAAGCACGATGACAAATGTTGCATCCGAAAGGTTTCTCTCCTGAAAAAAAAGAATTAGTTTAAAAATTAATACACTTTATCAAATATTATTTATTCTTACTATTTTTTTAGAAAATAATTTATAATCTTTATGAAGACTAAAATCTTTTCAAATGGAATAGTCTTAAAATGAAATATTTTACCGGTGTGAGTTCGCTCGTGTCTAACCAATGCGGATCTTGTTGGGAACCATTTTTCACAAGCCTGGCATGTAAAACCTCTTTGTGTTGAGTGAACAGACTGGTGACTTTTCAACATAATTCGTCGGGTAAAAGCCTTCGGACATTTATCACACTGGAATACTTTCAATTCCTCCGTAGCTTCACCAACTGAAAATTAAATTATTTTTTGAATGAAAAGTTCTTTTCCTTCTTTTTTTAAAAATATATTTCTTTCTCTTACCTATTGTTTGACTCATTGTTTGTCCACCAGCACTGTTGCTGCTTAGTTCCATCATGTAGACATTTTTGTGATCTTGATTAGTAACCGTTCTTTGAAGTTCCTCAGTTTCGTCATCTGATTCTTGTTCTTGTTTTATGCGCGTCGTACGCATTGTACATCTCGCTTTGGCTGTTCTTTCCTCCGCGGGCATTAACGTTATATTCTCGGGTCCTTCCGATAAATTTTCATCTGCATCCGCATTTTCCGCAGACATTCCTAAAAACGAGAATAATTTTAATTTATAAATTAATTACTTTAGAAATTAATTAAGGAAAAATTTGACTTTTAAAAAATTGAAATATTACCCAAAATGTATCCGCCGACGAGTTCCTCCTCAGTGACTTCAATTGGCTCCGTATCGAGTTCAACACCTTCTTTACTCGACACCAAATCAGCCAACAATTGTTTCACTTGTTTCGATTTTCCACTGCTCGATGGTTGGTCTATTGATGTGCCCATACTGTCTTGACTCTCCTCATCGTCCTCTTCGCCAGTCATTTGATTAATTAATCTCATATGTTTTCGCAATTTCACATCAGCTGCTTCGCACTTCTTTTTAAATTGATAGGACTTTTCCAATTGATATTTGCACGGGTGGCAAATCATATTGGGAAGACCGTCCTCTTCAAACACCTGTAAATCATAATTTTTTCAAGAATTTAAAACAAATGTTTCATTATTGAAATATCAACAGGTATAATAAATATTCAATTATTGCAGGTTTCTATAAATCCGATTCATTCTTGACTGGAACTTATTCTAGATTCCTGTAACAAGGTAGGTAGATAGCCTTTCAGCCATCATGCAAAGTCGATAACTCGGTAAAGAGATTCTCTATGCGGGGAATGTATTTAAGTATATTCGTATATAAGAGTGCCCGTGTATGTGTAATCAGAATTGAAGAGAGGAATATTTACAAACCAACACACCAATTCAATGAGGAAGGGCACAATTAGGGATAAACTAGATTCCTATTTTCCAATCGGTGTTTAAATAATCTTAAACTAGGCGAGATGTAATTAATTATATTAAGAATAAATGCAAAAAAACAGCGGAAATTTTTGCTTTTTTTGTTATATTTACCTCGAGATTAACACAAGCCATGATACGCAGTGGTAATGGAACAGCGTCATCGTCGTAAATCGGCACCATTTCTTCTTCCTTAGCCAAACACAGTCGGCACAATTCATTTACGTGAATTATCACATTACTGGGACTATCGCCCTTTTTCCTACTGTACGTTTTCATTTCACTCTTAATGAATATCTTTAATTTTGCTCAGCTAGAATAATGAATTCCTATATGAAAAGCACTAAATTCCTGTGAAAAATTGTAGAACGCAAAGTGGCTCGGTCACACACAACGGGATCTATAATGGCGGTCGTGTGCAAAGCCATCGAAAACAGCACTCACTATAGCATATTGGGTCGAACGCCGCTTGGGCCTTGGGGAAATTTGCCGTTAGGGAATTTTTATAGTTACCTTTCACTTGTCTTGCTCGGTTGGTATCAATATTGCCAATTTTTATATTATCGACAATCAAAGATGGTTCCACGTTAACCGCGAAGTTTCAAATTTTTCGAATTTGGTTCCTTATTGTATAAATAAATATTTAAAAATGCTAATTATTCATACAATTTCAAGAAATTAAATAAAATTCTTTTGAAGATTTAATTACTTTCAAAAATTACAACAAAATTATTTAAATAATGAATTAAATTGTTAATTTAATTTAACTTAATTAAAAAATTGAAAAAAAAAATTTTTGATTAAAACATTTAATTTAATTGAAACTAGCTGAATCAAAACTTAAAAAAAAATTTTTTTTAAAGAAATTTAATCAAATTGAAAATATTTCAATTATTTTCAAGAATTTCAATTAAATTCTTTCAACAATTCATTTATCTTCAAAAACTTAAACAAAATTCTTTAAATATTGAATTACTTTCAAGAATTTCAATTAAATTAATTTATTTTATTTTCAACAACTTAAACAAAATTTCTTAAATATTGAATTACTTTCACGAAATTTAACAAAATTTTTTAAGTATTTAATTAATATGAAAATTAAATTTAATTCAAATAAAAACTTTTATGAAAATTTTTTTAATTAAAAAATTTGAATTTATTTATTATTATTTTTATTATTTATTTTAGATAAATAAAATTATTTAATACTTAAATAATGCTTTATATAATTTACTTAATTATTATTAATTTCTTTACAAAAATTGAAATTTAACAATTTTTTTGTTTAAAACCTTCTAAAAAGAGTAATTTTTAACAAAAATCTTTTCAATGTTAATTATCATAATTGATAATTTTAAAGTTCATCAAGAATTATTTTCACTTAGTTCCAGAATATTGTAAAAATATAATAAAGTAAAATTAATTATTTTTAGGGATTTTGTGCATAAAAGAATAATATGTTTCATTATAAAACAATTTATTATGTTTTCTGTTTTTAATTAAAAAATCAATGGTTTGAAATATAAATTATCTGAACCATCATTTCATGTATATAAACGTGGAATGAAGTTTTATATAACTGGTTAGAAAATCAGTTCTTGTATTGTTTTTCCCTAAACAAAAAGCAATATCTTTCTTTCTCACATTTCACGCCTATAAAAATCTTGCACACCCTTTCGCATTTTTCATAACTATAAAAATGTACATAAATTTTATAAAAAGAACTCAACTTCTCTGAATGTAGAATTTTTCTTTAAATTCCATTTTACAGCCTAGCTTATTAATGAACACTTATTTTAAAAAATCCATATATTTATTTTCCGATAAATCGTCCATTACTTCTAATAATTACTAAGAAAAAAGAAATATTCGCACATTCTACAGATCCATAAATGTGAAACTAATAAAGATTCTATCGAACTATATAAATTTAAAAAATAAATGATCACTTTGGACGATACCTGAATTTTGGAGTTTTTTTTTCTCTAAAAAGAAAATATCAACAATATTTTTCTGTTGGAATTTGTTTTAAAAAAATGTCCTTACAACTCGTCCTTTGATTTCTCCTCGCCCTTTCTATTGAAACCTTTAAGTTCCTTTGTTGCGTGTTTCGCGATATATTTCACGAAATCGTCCAATTGTCGTCCGCCCTCGTATTTCACGGGCTTGTCCTTTGAGTCCTTTGGCAACCAGAATAGAGTTGGGAAGCCTCGCACCTCGAATAGCGGAGGCACATCATTTGCAGTCGCGTCAATTTTCACAATTGCAACATCCTCGTTGACGAGTTTATCGCCCAATTCGTCGAAAATTGGCGCCAATTGTTTGCAATGACCACACCATGGCGCATAGAATTCGATTAAAGTGTCCTTATCGTTATTCAATACAACTTCGTCAAAGTTCTTGGCAACTGCGATCTTAACATTAGCGGAGTTATCCTCAGGAATTGCTTCAGATTTCATGTAAACCTCGAGTTTACCAGCTTCCATATCAGTCAAGAATTTCTCAAATGTCTCCATTGTGAATTCATCCTTCATCACGTATTTCTGATTCTTTTCATTACGAGCAAGAACAATTGGTTTCTTACCATCGGCGAAATCAACGCCAAATTCATTCAATTCCTGTTGGAAATCGTCTTTCGCCGAAATTGCGAAATTCAATTTTGGGAAATTCTTTGCAACCTTCAAAATACGATTACGCCAGTAGTTTGAGCCCTTAGGATTCTTTTTGTAATCGACATTGTAGTAGGCAACCACCAATGGATTCTTGAAGTCTGCGTGACTGTCGCGAGTTCTCACTCCTACCATACCGTGACTGGAAGGAAAATTATTTTTCAATTAATATATACATATATATATATTTCAATTGTATTCGAAATTGGTTCATTTAAACAAATTTTACATCGGTGAAGTTAATAAATTTAATAGAATTTGTAAATAAAAAATATTTTTATTTTCTACTATTTACAAATTCTCTTTATAAAATTTTGTCTCACCAAATTTTTTATTTTCTGATCAACAATTGTTTCTATTATAATTTATAAACGTTTTGAATTAAAAATGATAATTTCATTCGTTTTAATTTAATATTCAAGAAAAATCATATTAAATTCTTTTTATAACTTACGCATTAACTTGGATGAATTCAACAATGTCAGCAATTGAATCTCCGCCCTCGTATTTCACACTGCTGTCTTCGAATTTATTGTCGAGCATTTTTGGACGATACAAAACAATGTTGTCCCTAAGGAATAATTAAAAAAAATTATTTTTATTTTCATAATTTCTCGAGGAATTTACTTAAATTTTTGTAGTTTTCATTTAGTTTCTTATTATTTCAATCACTTTCTTTTTTATTTACTTAGTAAAAAAAATCGCTTACTTCATTTTCTTCTCCTTGAGGACGGATTTTTCGGAAGTGTGAGCGAATTGGAATTTTTCACGAAGTTTTTTGGCGACAGTTTGGAAAGTACCGGCCAAGGAAGAGTCTTCTTTTTCGAAGTAACCAACAATTCCAACATCGTCTGAGCTTAAGAATTCTTCCAATGCTTTCACATTAGACACTAATTTGGAAGCAGGACCAACTTGTCCCTAAAATTAAATAAAACACTAATTAGTCTAAAATCATAATTAATTCACAAGTACATAAAGAAATATTACTTTTTGACGAAAGAATTTTTTTACTTTTAGAAACAATTTTGTTTTAGCAAAAGAAAATAATTATTTTTCGAAATATAAATTTTGATTCTAAAATATGAATTTTTTTAAAGAAAATACATTTTTTTGTGAGAAGACTAAATTAATTTTTAGGAAAATAAATTTTCTTTGAGAAAACTAATCTAGATTTCAGGAAAATACATTTTTTTGTGAGTAAAATAAATTAGTTTTTAGACAAATACCAAGAAAATAATTTCAGATAATTTAAAATTACCTTCATGTATTTTGCGATTCCAGCAGCTTCTCTAGGACCATTGTAATCAGTAACCATATCACTTCCTGAGAATATTTTCAAAGTTGGATATCCGCTGACGGAAAACTTGTTACACGTGTCTTTTCCGCCCTCGGTACAATCAACTTTGATTAGTGAAATTGGAGGATCATTATTTTTCAATAATTCCGCTGCCTTCGCAAATTCAGGTTTCAATCTTTTGCAATGTCCGCACCTGAAAAATTAGTTAGAAATTAAGCAAAAAAACTAATCAATTCACTTACTTCGTTACAACATTTTTTCTCCTCCAAGATTTTTTTTTTGTAAATAAACATATTTTTCTGCTAATTTAAAAAATTTTATTTTTTTTGTTTATTAAAAATTTTTTTAGTCTACTTTTACTTGTTTTTAAGTTTATTTTAGGTCAATATTAATTTAATTCCAATTCTTCAATTTCCAAATGCGTCCAAACAAATTAACACATCATAATACGTGGCAAATATTTACTATTTGGAATAAACTAATCTTATGCTTAAATTTCTCATTAAAAGATAAAGTAAATTTACTTATCAAATTAACCACCGAAATTTGCATGCAATTTGAAAAAAAAACAAATATTTAAATATTAAAAGGAATTCAACTGACAAATACCGGCATTTTCACACAAACGGAATTTTGAATAAAATAGTAAAAAAAATACCAATTAAAAAGATAAAATAAAGAGAGAATTTCTACATAAAATAAAAGAAAGAACAATTACCATATACTATAAATAATTTGAAAGAGATAAATTAAAAAATTACCATGGTGCGTAAAACATGACAAGTGAATTTTCATGGTTAGCTAGTGTGGAGAAATCGCTGTCAGTTAATTCAACAACATCTTCTTCAGCAGCTCGAACTCCAAGAAAGAGGAACGCGAGCAATAGATAATTGACCAACATTGTTTCAGGCTTGAAATTTGACTGTGCCGAAAATACTGCTTTTACATATAGAAAACTTGAGTGGTTTGGAAAAAAATAACACTGCCCCGCTCCACCAGGCAGTGAAAAAGCCGAAGACGTGGCCTTTCTTCTTAAAGTAAGCGAACTGGTTTTGTGCTGTCGTTCAGCGATTGGATAGAATATCATCTACAGGACTTTCCATTAGATCGGAACCTATCGCGTGCTAACACAGAAGAAGAATAGGAAGTTAAATCAGGGACGAAGCAAAAATTCTCCCTGGATCCCTTCGAACTCCGAATTTTTCTCTAAACTGAAACAAATAGAAGAAATTAAAAATATAATAAATATTCTTTAAATATCTGATTTTAATAAATTTATGTCATATTTAAAAATAGATATATAAATTAAGATTTTTTTAAAATGGGAACAAAACCTTTTTTTTTTAATTAAAAAAAAAAAATTTCAATTATCGATCTGTCACAAAAGTAGAACAGCAATTTACCAGCCTCTGTAAAGAATGATAAGAATCCATATTTACCATAAAATGATAAATACCAAAGTATGGTTAATTTTTCAAATTTTTAAAAAAGTCTTTTGATAATAATTTTTGTATATTAAAAATTAAAAAAATTAATTTTAGTTTTTATTTTAACAATTTCTGTTAAAAAGAATTGTTTGACTTTTCTTGAAGTCTTTTTATATTATTTCAGTTTTCTATTGAATTTTGTTTATTTGTTTATTTATTTAATTAAAATGTTAAATGTAAAAAAATTTTTTTTTTATCAATAGCTTTTTTGGTTTTAAACAAACAAAGATAATTTAAAAAAGTTGTAGTACAATTATGGAAATCTATTCTTACACACAAATAATCACACAAAAACAATTTAAAGTAATTACAAAACTTGCAGATAGACAATTTTCATTACTTATTGTAAAATTTTGCAAGAAGACGTCAAAAATTTTTCCACAACTTGAAAAATTGCAGTAATATTAACAAATGCCTCAATTATTAAAATTAATCAAATATTTTATTTAATCATTTTAATTAATTTATTAATTAATTAATTAAGTTAATTTAAATCCTAATCAAATGTAAATAAAGAATTAAATTAAGAATATGAATAAAATTCTTTAAAAAATACAATATTATTTTCATGAAATTTACCAAAATTCTTTAAATATTGAATTAAATTTAAAATTTAATTTAACTTAATTAAATTTTCCGAAATTTTAATTTTTAAACAAAATTTTAAATTTAAATCTTTTTAAAATTAACTAATTGATAAAAATTATAATTTTCTTGAAAATTGTATTTTTGCGATTCAAGGTTGCCACAAAAATTTGATTTCGTTTTTCACTGATTTCCAGACTGAATTTTAACTTATCCCCTAATTCCTAACAAAAAAAATTCAACCAGTTATTTTATTAAATTTCCAAATATTTCACTGATTTCCCTGACCGATTTAATTTTCTTTGAATTTCCCTAAACTCATTGACTTCCTTAACTTATGGCAACTTTCTTTAATTAATTAAATTAATTAAAATTGATTTTAAAAAATTTTAATCCAAATAAAATGAATTTTACTGGGTTATTTCACTCAAGACTGACGAACGATTCTAAAATCCAACCTAAAAGACAGAAACAGATTTTCTCATTACTTAAATAAAATAAATATTAATTTCTCGTAATGTAAATACCTTTTTAAAATAATGCTGATTGACAGCTGTGATGAATTGTTTTCCTTAGTTTTCGTGAAAAGGCAAATTATTTTCTCCTACTGTCAAATGTTTTTCTTTCGAATAAACGCCGTCACACTCTGACTTTTATTCTTATGTAATTTAATTGCACCTACAAAAAAACAATGTTGATTTAAGTTTTATGAATCTAATTTAATGGATAATGTACAGAAAAAAATTATATTTCATAATGAAATAAGAAAATTAATGTAATTTTTTTTCCTTTTGTTGTAGAAAATTAAATCACTTTTCTAAATTTTTATTAAATTACGTAATTTACAGTATAATTTGCATGAGTGATTTAATCGTGAACATCAAAAAACTACAAGAGAGTGTACAAGAGAGTTGATTATCTCTCCCTCAGGTTTTCGACGTAAGCCACCCTTAAAAGAGGAAAACTGTCCCTCTGTCGTCGAATTTCACGCAACACTGAATAAATGTGATGATGCTCATTGTTTAAACACAAATTGAGTTTACTTAATTCAAAGTAGAAGGTCACATTATTGTAAAGGGGACAAATATTTCCTTTTCACTGTCAAATCATTTCAATGCATATCCTTCAAATTATTATTATTTATCTTTTTAATTCTTCTGGTATTCTCAATTTTATTTTTCTCCTTTTCCTTACCACAAAAGAATATTATAAAATAAATATATTTTATTTGTTTTTGTTAAAGTATTTGTCAAGAAAAAACTAACTAGCAAAATAATTACTAAATTAAAAAAAAAACAAAAAGTGAAAATTTCCAATTTCTAAAGAGAGAATTTTTGGAATTTTTGAAGAAAGGAAATTTGGATAATAATTTTTGGCCAGAGAAATATGAAAATGGCAATTTTCCGCAATGGACAGATGGGAAATGTATAAAGCTTGGATATTGATTTTTGGAGAGAGGGATAATACGAATGAGAGGCAATAGAAGAGCACAAAGGGAATTTATTGAGGAGGTCGACAGAGCAATTTGACCATCAAGATCTGGAAATTCATCTTTTCAAGTGACTTCAGCTATCCGCTAATCTTCTTATGATTTAAATACACAGACAAGAGCATATTCCATTTATTTATTATATAATTTTCAAAACAGAAAATTTAATCCACTTTGATTTATAAATGAAAAAAATATTTTTTAATTAAAATTTAGTATACGAACGGGCATTTTTCATTTTTTGTCATCAGTCCATTTATCCAACTATATATGTAAATAAATGAATAAATAAACAAAATTATGTTTCACGGGATTATCCAAAATATTGTAATTTAAAAGTGAATTTTCTTTAGAATTAATAAAAAATTAAAATTTAATGAAAATTAGAAAACAAAATCAAATTCGCTATTTTTCTAAAAAAGAAAAATACTTGCCAATTCGCAGAATATGAAAAATGAAATAAGTAATGGAATAATTAATAATCGTTGTATTCCGGTAATTTGTTTACAGTTTGAAGTTATATAGTTTTGTTTGCTTCTTTACTTCTTGAGTTTTTTTAAATAATATTCTCCTTTTTCAATTTTTTGAATTTTAAAATTAATGTATTGAAAATTATCAAATTCTTATGAAGTGTTTATCAAAAAAATTTAGAAAAAATAGAATTCCTTTGAAGGATTTTATCAAAATTTTTGAATTTTTTCGAGAAATTTTATTAAAATTGCGTATTCAAAATAATTGAATTCTCGCAAAGAATTTTATTATTTATAAAAATAATCAAATTTTTCCAAAGAATGTTATTATTCAAGAGAATAATAATTGAATTCTTGTGAAAAATTTTAGAAAATATTTAAATTGTTTTGATGAATTAATTTGAATTTTTTTGAAAATAATGAAATTTTAAAAATAGTTTTTATTGAAAAATGTTGAAAGTAATTGAATTTCATAAAGAATTTCTTTTCAGTTTTTTAAATAATCGTGTTTATTTTTAAAAATAATAAACAAGAATAATTAATATTACCTATGTACTTTAAGTGAATTTTTTAAATTCGCGCGCGTAACATTTGTTAGTTAATTAATAATAAATAATCCGAATAGTAATGAATGATTAAAAATAATTAATAATAAATAATGAAAAATGTACTGCTTGATTGATAATTCAATTTAAAATGAGAAAATTCACCTTTTGAGTTTAAATTCATGGCAAAGTGAGAGAAAAAGAAAGAGAGAGAGAGAGAGAAGGAGATTGGAAAAAAACTGTGGCATTCTGTCCATCTTTTCTTGAATTTGGATAATAGAAATGAAGTAGCCTCCCTCGTCTTGAAGGGTGAATGTTCAGGCAATCTCTACTGGTACGTGAGATGAGAGCGCGATTTCTTAAACGCAATAACCCTCAGGCTTTTCAGAGATAAATAATTTCTTTGGGATTTGTAGTTTATATACATGGCAGGTAGATGAAAAAACATTATTTCGGGAATTTACTTTTTGACGATTTCATTCTTCAAAATCAGGACGTATTTTTCTTTACAGAATTTTATGAACTCATTATGAATTCGCTCTCATTATAAGACGTGTCATTTTTTTATTCTTTCAAGTTTTTAGAAACAAGAGCAATTATATTATTTATATTTCTGTTTTTTATTTTTATTTATTTACTATTTCTTTCAATCTAAAGGGTGTTCATTTTTATATTTTTGCATTTTTTTGAAACAAGAATATTAATTTTAATAATTTTTAAAAAAGTTCTTCTTTGGGAATTTATAAATAAATCTATTTGTTTACAATTCAATTTTACGAAATTTCATCGATTATTCGAAAATTCCTCAATTAAATATATATTAGAAAATAAAAACTCGGTATATTTTCAAAAAAATTTAAAATTTTAACTGAAATTCATTTTTAAATCAATTTTTATAAGAAAATTCTACAAGAATTCATTTATTATTTAAATACAAAAATAAATAATTTATTGAATAGTTGAATGTTTCTTAAAATTTAATTGACATAAAGAATTTTATCAACAAATTTTTAAATAATTGAATTCTTTTGACGAATTTTAATAAAATTTTTAAGAATATTTGTATTTTTCGAGGAATTTCATTAAAATTGTACCTACTATAAAAATAATTGAAATTCTGCGATGAGTTTTATTATTTATGAAAATTATTGAATAATTGCGAAGAAATTTATAAAAAAATTTGTAAATAATTGAATTTCAGAGAAGAATTTTATCATTTATAATTTCATAAGAATATGAATTAATAAAATTTTTCAAAAATCTAAGTATTTTAAAATCACTAATGAACTTCATTGAAAATTAAAATTTTATACAATTCCAAATTAATACCTTTTGAAGTTTTCATCTATTTATGAAAATTGTGAACGAAACTCTTTGAAAATTCAATTAATTTTGAAATATTTAAGTAAAATTATTTATGAAAAAATTTATATGAATAATTTTATGATATATAGTTCTTCAAGAATTAAGTTATTTAGCAAGAAATTATTGCCAGAAATAGAAAAAATTGATGGTTTTGTATTAGAATTAGTGTCAATTTTCAAAGTTAAAGGAAAACAAAAAAGACATAAAAATTGAGAATTTTCTTCTTATGAATTCTAAAAATTTAATTTTTTCAGTACTTTTAATAAAAACCCCTGATTTTCCCCGAATTCTTGCTAATGATAATTTTTTTCAAGTTTCACGACTTCCACCTGGGAAAGGAAAAATATTTACCGAAATATCGATCGAAAAGAAAAAAAGGAATCAAGATTAGAATTGAAAACTTTCAATTGATATATCTGTAAGTAAAGTAAAAGACAGCTTTTCGCAAGCAGTTTGAGAACCTTCGCTTTAAAACCCCACTTATCGAACGCGCAGTTGGTATGATAATGTAATAAAATAAATGAAGGCTGCTCCCGAGCGATATAGCTTCTTCTCGTTCATTCCTTTTAACTTTGTAGATACTCTTCTCTCTCTGTCTCTCTCTTTTCATCCATCCATTCCAGACTCCCGTCTCCTGGCTCTGATTCCTTCTCTCTCGCCTATATCCCGGGAATGAAAATCGAGAAGGTAGAAGGGAATGGAGTTTACCTCGGAAAGCGAAATACAACAAGTCCTGCCGCCATTGCTGGATTGCACTTCAGCGGGAGTTTTGTTACTGGTCGGGGGTGTTGGAAGCAACCGAGGGTGGCAGAGGACCTTTACGGGGCTTTAGGGGTTCGGGGAAAGTCGAAAACTCCGCCCTCGTGCTAGAAACGCGAGTCAATACTCTCCGCTTTCTCTCTCTCTCTCTCTCTCTCTCGCTCTGGCTCTCCTTCTCTCCATCCTGGTCCCATCGCATCGACCCGATAGTATACAGCAAAAACACACACCCCCGTAACTCTCTTATATTTCCTCTCAAAGTATCGAAATTCGTTTTCCTCATCACACTATTCAGCATTCTTTGATTTCCGCACCGAGTGAAGAAATATGATCTTCCATTCTCCGAGAGAACAAATTTCTGAAAAAAAGAAGAAATTAACATTTGCGAAAATAAACTTAAAATAAATACTTTGAGTTCAAAATAGAAATTGGCAAAAATAAATCTTGACAAAAGGGTTTTAAAAATCGCTCGTTATAAAAACAGGGAAAACAGTAATAAAAAAGACAAAATTTATAAAAAAATAAAAAAAATTGAAAAATATTTTTGAAAATATGAAAAAATGGAAAAATGCTCCAGTTGATATTCGAATTCGGACAATATATATATAGTGAAATCGAGAAATTTGTTAACGCTCACTTGACTTGGAGAATTTGAAGAGATCGTAATTGAAAAAGCATTACTCTCGCTCCCCAGTGATACCGTTTAACTCCCCGACGGCTTTGACAACTTAAGCAGCCCCTTAAACCTCACTCAGCTCGATGTAATTTATAAGCGTTGAGGGTACCATCGGGACCGTCAAACTGCCATGTGGCAAATCCTTGGGGCAACTTCCCTTTCCTGCATTCAAAGTCAGGGATTACCTAGTGATAAATAAATATTATACAATAACCACCGTGAAATCGCAAGCGCCAAACTTTCATCCGCATATAACAAAATCAATTTTCCATATTTCAACAAAAATAATCTCCAAATAATCCACAAAAAAAATATTCTCCCCAAAAGTATTTTCAATAATGAATCAAACACTTGTTTCCTATTTTTCAGAGAATCACTTAAAATAAATTTACCAAAAGAAAATGATAAATTACTTATATTTAATATCTTGATATCTAATTTTCAAACAAATATTTTAATACTTGATATATTATTAAATATTTATTTACTTTTGCAAATATTTTAATATTTATTTTATGATTCTAAAGTTTTCAACATTCGAAATAAATGAAATTTAATTATTTATTCTTGTTCGAATTAAATTTTTATAATAATTTTGCGTCAGTTTAAAAAAAAGTTTTACTTCTAAATGTAAAATTTAAATTTCTAATTTTTATTGTATTAAAAATTAAAAAGTTTAATAAATCAAAAAATTAAATTAATTTCTAAAATAAATATTAAATAATAATTTTCTAAAATATTTTTAATAAAAAATATTCCGTTCATTTGAACATTCAAAACTTGTGGATCATTTTATTTCATCAAATATTTAAATATTCAAAAATATTTTAACAAATATTGAAATATTTAAAAAATATTTGTTTTAATTATTTAAATAATTTAGTAAATATTTATTTATTTAATAGTTAAAGGTCTATAATTTTTTAAGCTAAAAATCATTAATAAATTAAAAATTAAAAAGTTTAGTAAATCAAAAAATTAAATTAATTTCTAAAATAAATATTACGATTTGTCATTTTAATGATGATTAAGCCTGAAAAATGGAGATTAAGGATTGAATGATAATGTTGGATAAAATACCCTTATATCATTTTATTACAAGGAATCATGAGATTGTTACAACTGGTTGTTAATATTATACATACACTTTTACAACCATCATTATATCACAACACGAAATTTACAGAACGCGCGCACAACTCAATATTACTTTTTTATGGCTTATCAATTGTGAAGTAGATTAATTCCCTATAATTTATTTGCCCTGCTTTGATTATCATACCCAAACGCATGCAACGTATATTTAAAATGTCCTTTCTTTTTTTCATTTAATTTCATAAAAAAGTAACACCCAATTTTTCATACAGAGTTTAGTAAAAATTAAATCATATTTTTTCATTTCATTTTTTGCAATAAATTATCTACTTATAATTTATACTGAAATAAAAGCGAATCGTAATTGCAGACGAAAATATGTAGCGAAAAAAATTATTTAAATTGAAATTTAAATAAAAAATATTTCAAAAAATATTTTTAAAAAAATAAAAGGAGAAAATTGTTAGGCCTGGAATAAAAAATTCTTTTAAAAAAGCATTTGGTAAAATTAAAAATTATCGAAATTTTAATTCGATTTTCTCTTTTGTTGTTTAGTTAATCAACGATTTTGAAAGAAAAATATTTTTCGTGTCATTTTTTTAAGTTTTATAACATTTTTACAGTTTCTTGTAAACAATTTTTTTTTTAATTCAAAATCTGAAGTAAGTTTTGAAAATAAAAATTTGTAAACTTGAAAAATATTTTTTTTTCATTCAAGATCATAACATTTTTTGTTAACTTTTAACTCAAAATTTTTCTATTCTCGGTTTTTGAAATTGAGAGTAAAAAAGAATAGAAATTAAAATCTTCACTTTCATACTTTCAAATATTGTACTTTTGACAAATTGTCAACTTTTGGTTTTTGGGATTTTCTGAAATATCTATATAAATTACTAAATATATCGATAGAGAAACATTTTGTTTCACATATGTATAATATATGACTATATTCATCTACTGTAAAAAGATCAAATACAAGTTTTATTCGCACTATAAAACCATAGTTTTTTTTCGCATTTTAATCTAGATTTGTAATCGTACTGAAAGATTTTTCGTTTATAAATTCTTTTTTCCTTTAGGCCCAAGTGCTGCATTTGGAAAATTTACATTTTTGTTTCAAAACAATCCACAAAATATCTAAGAATTACATTTGCAAAAAATTCAAATTCATGTCAATTTTTCAAAACATGATTAATTAATATTTAAACACTAAGTATCGAATTTGATTCAAACAATCAAAACAAAAATTCCACACTTACTGTAAAATAGAAAGCAAAAATGTAAATTAAATATTTTTTCATCGCTCATTTAAAACATTAAAAACTTTTCGGAATAATAAATCTTAAAAAATCCACAATTTAAAAACCAATTTCTAATTATATTTTCTAATTTAAAATTTTTTTGTAAATTACAATCAACACTTTAATGTATTTTTAGAATTTTTCATATTAACTTAATATTAGACAAGAAATATGTACCTAGAATGATATTCGTAAGAATTGCATTCGATAAAATAAAATCAAAAATAAAATTATGGAATGTATTTAAAATTAAAATTAAATTACGGAATGTATAAAATTAAAATAATATAATTAATAATCATAAAATTATATTATGATATATTAAAATTCTTTCAATTAAAATTAAATTATTATAAATTAATCGAATAAATAAAAAATAATAAAAATAACAATTGTCAAAATATAAACAATTTGTGTCTAAATTTTCTCTTATAAATAAAGTGGCAAAATATGACATTTATTTATTCAAAAATTAAGTCAGGGTAATCAGAAATTAAAAAAATTCCTTTTAACAAAGGGACTATTTTCTAGATAACAAGGGACTAATTAGAATCAAGTCCATAATAAAATATACACAATGGAAAAAAATAACAAAGAAAAAACTAATTTACTAAAAACAATATAATAAAAATAATAAAAACGACCTCCTCCATTGGCTATTTTTCTCTTGTAAAGAAAAGAAAAGTTTTGAAATATTTCAATTCAAAAGAATCGAAAATACAATTTATTTTCTCATTTAAAAATATTGTTCGAAATATAATTTTGTTTAATGAATTTTTTATAGTTTTTGTTTTCAAGAAGTTCATACTCTAAAGGAACAATATTTTTAAATTTATTTTCTTTTTCGAAACTTACTTTTTGCCATGAAAATCATTTGGTCACAGCCTCGTATCTTTTTTTTTGTCGCACAAACTATGCGCGTTTGTTTTGTTTTTCAGTTCATTGGTTTCCATTTGAAACTATGTATATATATAAATATAAATAGTGAATAATATACCTAATTCAATTTTTATACATATCGCAGAGAACTTTCTCCATGGGGGTGTTACCAATTGTCCTGTGGAAGTAGATTAATTCGACTCGCGGTGCAGGAACGCTCCTCAACAATGGTAAAAGTAGTAACAGTCGTCCAAATCTCTCGGGCCTTGTTGGTTGTTGCGCTCTCGCGTGTTGTCCCAACATCACTTGCGCTTGATCTTGTAAATTTTCTATTTGACTTGAATCCTTCAAGCCACGTGTTTCTGTAAATAAAAGACAATTTAAAAATAGTTATATCGCTCCAAGTACATGCAATCTAATCTAAAGAATATTCTAAAAAAAAATATTTAAATAAAAATTTCGTTTAGAAAATTTGTTCTTTTAAATTGCAAATTAAAAACAGAAAATAATTTGTGTACCTGGTCGAAATAAAACAATGGCTTTCATGCATGCAAATTCAGCGGGATCAACCATGACTGCTTTGTATCGTTGCAGAGTGTCATGAAGATGCCTGACGTCAGCTGCCACTTGACTGGGCTTTCCATTTTGCGCTAAATGCATTCCCGAGTGTGGATGAGAGTGTGGCGACACAGTCAAAGCAGTCAATTCAGCTGCACTGAAAAGTGGCGATGACTCCAATGGAAGACACCATTGAACAGCATTCAGTAAAAAGAGTTCCGACCACGCTTCCTCCAACAGTATCACTTGGTCTCTAAATGGCAAACTCGCGAACGAGGGTAAATTTTTTGCCCATTTAACAGCCATGAAAAGCAATCTTGCACTCGTTTCGTAAACGGTTTCGGCACTCACTGGCGAATATAATGTTGGAACTATTGGCGTCAATTGAGTGCAGCCACTGCGTTGGGGCATCAATGGCTCCTCATTGGTCACATCTATACTGTCCTCAGATCCATTTCCTGTTTTTTTTTTAGAGAAAAAAAAACCAAGCTCTTTCTTCAATAATTCCAATTTTCTCTTTTACGTTTTCCTTAACAAACTAGTGTATTTAGTTTTAGTATTTTTCAAACATTTCCCAGAAATAATTTAAAATACAAATTTTTCAGAATTTTAAATTAAATTTTTGTTGAAAAAAATTTTGAAAAATTAAAAAAATAAATTTTTTTTTTTATTTATTTTTTTTTTTGAAAAAAATTAAAATTTTTTTAAAATAAACTAGTTAATAAAAATTGTAATACTGTAATTCATTCGAAATTAAATTATTTTAGATGCAATGTAGACTTTTCAATGCTACTTTTTACAAATTATTATTAAAATAAAATTTTTTTGAAATTCAGTTTTTTCAAAATCTCTAATGAAATTATTTAATAAATTTAATTATTTTTAATTCAATTTCACAATATTTCAATAAATTGAATAATTCTTTAAATAAGATAATTTCATTTAATATTTTTACATTTATTTTTTTTAATTTAATTTTTATTTAATAATTAGTAAAAAATAAAAATTAAATTAAAGAGATAATAATTATTTAAGAATCTATAAAAAATTGAATTAACATTTTTTAGGAACCAAATTTTTTCAGACTTTTAAATTTAAAAATTAATATTAAATTATATTATTAATCTCTTTACAAAAATTGAACTTTTCAGAAATTTTAGTTCAAAGCTTTTTGAGATGTAATTATTCCTGAAAATTTCATCTGTAAAAATTCCAATTTGTACTTTTCTCACTGTTTTTAGTATCATTTTTTTTTCAATTTTTACAGAAAATAAAGTTTTAAGTAAAATTTTTTTCTTACCATCGTCAGTGTCTTGACGAGGCGGTGTATTTGCAGTCGAAGAATTTGTTGTAGGTGCAACTGTCGGCAAAGGCAATGGCGTTCCATATCTGGCCATTGCTAATGATACCGGTGGTCTAAAACAAAACAAAAAATTCCACAAATATTAATAAAACTAAAATAAACAAAAAAGTAAAAATACAAAAAAATAAAATAAATTATTTTCCTAAAATTTTGAATCTACAACTGAACGAAATATTTTTTGTGCTTCAATATTTTTAAAAATTGCTAAACGGAAATGAAAAAATTTTGTAATTGAATACTTATTTAGTAAACAAATATTTTTTAATTATAAAAATTATTTTGTAAACTTAGTAAATTTCGTAGGTAAATAAAATTGAAATTAAAAGAAATAAAAGTATCATCTTTTAGTTGAACGTTCGAAACTTTTAGGAACATAAAAAATTAACTTTAAACTTAACATTTCGATACATAATGTAAAAAATTCAAATTATTAATTTATTCAAGAAAATTTCGAGATAAGAAATAAAAACTAAATATTCACAAATTTTATTCTATTTCTGTTCAATAGGTAATAAAAAAAGTTTTATTCATCTGATCCGACGTTATTTTTTTTTCACCGCACCAACTTTCGTTTCTCATTTGATAAAAATCGCCTCGGGAATTCACAATCAACTTCACGTCTATCAAACATTCACGAATGTGTTTTATATAACCAATTTTTAATTTTTGAGGTTGTTTTACCGTGAATTTAATGTATTTTCAACGATATTCACCAAGTTCCCGGGTTTCGCGCGCAGAAAAAACAAACATCATCATCATCATCAACATAATTAAAATAATCTAATGACAAAATTCTCATTTTCCGTAAATATATTTCTTCTCTTGTAAAAAATTTCCCCAGAAAAAAAACTTCAAATTTTCCGTAAGTGACATTTCAAATATTCATTTTCGTTTTTTCACTCTCAATTTCTAAATGCTCCTCGAGAAACGTAAGAAAAATCGTGAAAATTCCATGATTTTAATAAAGCAACAATCAACAGGCGTGAAAAAAACGGAAATGCTCCCACCACATGGTAAAAATCCAAATCAAAGTCAATCAACATCAACAAGAAAAATTGTTATTCCAAATGGCCAAAGTTTCTCCTCGTGTTACATTGAATTGTGTAAAAAACGTCGATTACGTCCTTTGCCCGTTATTTGTGTTACATTACCTCATTCCTTAGATTTTACCACTGATCGTGTAAAAATGGACGATTGGAATCCAATTTTAAATGCACTCTCATTAGATCACAGTTTAAAATCAATTGCAATTCGTAGTCGTTATCAATATCGAAAGCACTTGGATAATGTCACTTCGGAATTGAAAGCGAGAGCTATTGGTAAAGCGCCGGTTGTTTTAACGCGCTATCTTCTCGAATTATTGTCACACAGTGTTTCCCAATGTATAAGAAATTCCTCGGTTTTAACTTCATTGGAATTGGAGGGAATTCCATTGCCTTCTGATTGTTTGGCGGTATTGTGTGTTGGTCTCTCGAATACCTCGTGCTTGAGGCACTTGTCACTTTTCAAGTGCTACATTGGCGATGTAAGTTGTGAAATGATTTGTCGTACAATTGTCAATGTGAATAGTATTCGCACGTTAAATTTAGGACAATGCGATCTCTCCTCTCGTTGTGCTTCCGCTTTGGCCACTGCTCTTTCGCGGCAAAAATTACTCCTTTTTCATGACGCCTGGAAGCAATCGTTACGATATCGAGAGCCGAACGTGGAGGCGATGCCCGGATTACGGAGACTCACTTTAAATGGAAATCCCCGTTTAGGTAAATCTGAATCTTTAATGTACTGAAAAAATACGATACACTTGGAAAAAGGAAAAGCAACTGAATTATGTTTGCGAGAAATATTTCAGGGATCAGAGTATCTTATTCTTACCTAAAAATAGGCAAAAATTTGAATTATATTCCAAAAATTCGACCAAAAAGGAAGGTGACAAAAAAATTATAAATACAATTAACTAATTATTTTTTTATTTTTAGACGTTTTAATAAAATTCTTCGAAATAATTCAATTATTAAAAATCTTAATGAAATTCTTCGAAAGAATACAATTATTTTTATAGATTTCAAAAAAATTCATCAAAAGAATTGAATTATTTCCAATACAATACAATTTTAATTTAATTCATTGAAAGAATTTCTGTATTTTCAATTTTCACTATTCAAAAATTACAAGCACAACTTAAAAATTCACAAATAAATAATGTGGGAATAATTCAAAAATAATGTTTTTTTCTTATAGTATTAAAAATTAAATGTAAGAATTTATTGACAAAAAAAGAAATTGAAACATTTTCAGGCGACATCGGTGTGAATGAAATTCTCGAAGCTGTAGTGGACAGCTTGTGGCTGAAAGCTTTAGATTTACAACAATGCGGCCTCACGGATGTGATAACAAACGATATTATGAATCTTCTGAATTACAATGAGACTTTAGTTGTTGTCGATGTAAGAATGAACAATAATCTACAGGATGAATTGGCGCAGAAAATAGCCAAGAAATTGTCGGAGAATAATGCCACCGGAAAATCTGAATACAAATGGTTCAATTTACCCAAAAAGCAATTTTCCAAGGCAATTAAACGAACCGATCGTCAGGAGGAGACAAAAACAATGCACAAACGAATGAAAAATCATTGTCATTCAACTCTTCAAAAATCAACGCCAACTGAAATAAGAAAAGAAAAATTATTTTCAAAAACAAAAAATCAAGCGAAGAAAAATCCTCCCGAAAGTAATAAACAACACCTCGTTTTAAATTTAAACACCCAATTGGAAAATCGTGCCAATTCGTTTAATACTTCAGAATCCGGAAGCAGTAAACAGGAAGAAATTACCGAACTCGAGAGAAATGAAGCAAACAGTAAACATTTTCACACTTTCTCCCTTTTTTTATCAGAAAAACAAACTAAATCCTTAAAATTTATTTTCAGAGATAGAAATCGACATTCAGGAAATTCTAATAAAGGAAAATAAGGAAAATGATTTAGAAGATATTCGACGACAATTAGAAGAGGCACGAAGGGAATATCAATTATTATTGGAGCGTGCAAAACAGAATGAAATTCTCTTGATAAAGGAGAGAATTCGTAGGGAGACGATAGAAAAAAAATTACGAACCTTGCAAAATAATTACAATGAATTGGAATCAACTCTAAAGAAAAAGGAGGAGGAGAAACGTGGTTATTTTTTGGTTAGTCAAAATTCCCTCAACGAAATTTGCTCATCATTCGATAGTCTAATGGAAATATTGGAAAAATCGAGGAACAGCAATTTTATTCAACAAGAATCTGAGCAGGAAATAATTCTCCCCGACGATATAAGAACAAAATTGGCGTTAATTATTCGAAAAACAAAATCCGAAAGTTTACGACGTGGCTATTTCAGTGAGGAAATTTCAAACGAAATGAAAAAATACGCTCGTTCCGAAGCTGACATGAGAAATTTATTACCAATCATTGATTTAATTCACTGTGAGAAAAATATTGGCGACAATATTATTTCCGAGGAGAATACATCGAGAAGAATAGTCGAGGATCATAAGGGTAAGAAAAAATCTATACAAACAAAAAATTATACTAAATTATTTTACAAATTAATTTTACAATTTAATTTTACAAATTAGAATTTTTTGACAATTTCCCTTTTTCCTTAGGAGATAAGCCACGAGAGGAAAATGAGAGTTTTCGAAAGCAGGAAAATTTACAAGAAGTGAATAATCAAAAAGTGGAAAATAATTTTTACCGTCAAATCGAGGAGAGAAGTCGGATATTAAGAAAGGAGAGTTTACGAAATAAGGAGAATTATCAAAATTGTGATGATAATTACGAGACGAAGAAGGAGGAGGAGGAGGAGGATAATTTTCGTAGAATTATTGAAAATTTATCTAAAAAGAAGGGGAAAAAAATTGAAATTAACAATCCTACAGCAACGCCGCGCACGAAAGAAAGAGCAAGAGCTATTTTTATACAAATTATAAACAGAAATATGTCACTGAATCTCAGTTCTCAATAGAAATGTATCAAGGCATCGCAAATAATTTTAAACTTAAGACTCCATCTTTTATTGTAATTTATAATCTGGTCGTGAAGTATAAATATACTTATGATAACGAACGAAAAAAAGAATTTTTTTATTTAAATAGAATTTTTTTTTTTCGATTAAAAAAAAAATTCTTCAACTATTTTCAATTCTGAAGTTTCACAGTTCAATTAACAGAACTTTATAATAATTAAAGCAATTTAATCAAAGTTAAAATTGATTTTCAAAAAGTTTTTCAGAAATTAAAAATATTAGTTCTTTTCTTTTTAGTTTAAACAAATAAATGGACAAATTGAGTGAAAAATTAGAGGAAATTTTCATTGAATTTTAATAAAATTTTTTATTTTTCGGGGAATTCGATTGAAATTGTATTAAAAATAATTTTCAATTCTGCGATAAGTTTTATTATTTATGAAAATAATTGAAAAAAATTTGTAAATAATTGAATTCCTGTGAAATTTTTATTATTTATGAAAATAATTAAATATTTTAATAGAATTTTATTAAAATTTTTTTTAAATAATTGAATTCTTTTGGAAAATTTTATTAAAATAGTTGATATTTAAGTTCTTTAAAATTTCTAATTAAATTCATTCAAAATTGAAATTTTATAAAATAGTAAAAAATAAATAAGGAAAATAATAAAAGATAAATAAACAAAAGAGTAAAAAATAAATATACAAAAGAATAAAAAATAAATAAACAAAATAATACTTTTGAAAATAAATTAAAATTATAAGCCAAGGACTGTCTTTGTCGATAAATTATTTTTCCTTCGCTTTAATTCTTTAAATAAAGGAAAAAACTGGGGGAAAGCACAGAACACACTCGCTCGTCGTTCTTTTATACTCTCACACGTTACACGTCAATTTTATATAACGTTTTATCGAGAATTGACTTTATGGATTTTGAATTAATTCCAATTCGTCGACTTGGTTACCTGAAGTAACCAAGACTAACGGTCAAAGGTAATTTTTCATGATAGATCATGCTCGGCGTGGCGTGTTGCCAGTGTTGCTTACCATATTGACAACGTTAACAAGATCAAACGTGGTAACGGCGCGTCCTTTCTGCTTCCGATCATTCATACGATGATAATATATAGAACCTTCTGTATCGATCTTTCGTTGTTTTCACCTTTTGATTAAAACCATATACACCGTCAACGAACAAATTCTTATGTACTTCATTTTAGCTTCTTTTTTATATATAAAAATTAATACCACAATCATTTGCCAGTGCGAGAGAGAGATCGGAGAATCAAAGTTCTATTTTTGTATTAAAGGAAATTTTCATTTTTCAAAAATTAAATTAAACCACTAGAATCAAAATTAAAATGAAATCAAAGAAGGAAACTAATAACTTAAGAATCAAAAACTAGAATTGAAAAAAAAATCAAAAGACTGGAATAAAAAAGTAAAACCGAGGAACTAACATAGAAGAAAAAAACCAAAAACTTAGAATAACAAAAAATAAAACTAATGATCTAAAATAAAAATCGAAAGTAGAAAAAAATAAAATCAAAAACGTAAAATGAAAATACTAAATACTAAAATCGAAAGAAGAAAAAAATAAAATCAAAAACGTAAAATAAAAATAACAAAAATCAAAAGAGTAGAATAAAAAATTTTTTTAATCAAAAAACTAGAATGAAAAAAAATAAAACTAAAGAATTGGAATAAAAACACTAGAATTAAAAGAAATGAAAGTACATAAAATCAAAAACGCAAAATAAAAAAAATACAAATTCAAATGAACTGGAATAAAAAGTTAAATTAAAAAAAATAAATAAAAAAAATGATTAATATAATTTTTTACTAACTTATTGAATTTTCTGTTTGTGGATTTGTTGCTTTTGTGAAGTACTTAGAAAAAATATTCTCACCCGAATACTCCGACGGCGACGGCAGCTTCTCGCAGTGCTCGTTCCTGGTCCATTTCTATTAAAGCTTCTGGTCTAATGGTTGCTGTGTTTCTCGGTTGTCTCTCATTTTGGACCGCTGAAACAAAAAATGTTCGCACTTTGTACTTTTATTTTTTATTACATTTTCTATTTATTTATTTCTTATAATTATAATTTTTTTCTTTTAATTTTTATTTCTTATAATTTAAATTTTTTTCAATTTAAAATTTTTTGAATCAAACAATGAATACTTGATTATTTTCATTTTTATTTATTTCTACATTGAAAAAAAATTATTTCAATTAAATAATCCATTACTTAATTATTATGTTTTTCTACAGCGGAAAAATTTATTTGAATCGAATAAGAAACAATAAATTAGCAAAGAAATGAAATACAATTACACGATTTATAATTTTTTCACGTTCAAATAAACATTTTGTCGGTATAATTATTTAAAAATACAAAAAAATTACAAAAAAATATTTCTTGAAAAATTTATTTTAAAAAAAAGGCAAAAACGTAGTTCAAACAATTCGAAATTAAAAAATGTATTCCTCGATACGAGAAGCAATTTCAATAGGCGCTACGCGTCTGCCATTGGATACGAGACTTTTGTTTACTATATATAGAAAAGTCAAATATTTAGATATGAAAAAAAAAATTATTCATTCGAGGAAAGAATGAGTTTGAATTAATTAGGAGGTTGACTGAATCTTATTTGATAATTTTCCTCTCATCTCGTCAAGTTCATATAATACTGTTATGTCACAATGAGTCTGCAACTGACAGCGAGAATTTCCAACAGACATGCAGAAATCAAACGCATTGTTTGTATAGGAGTTAGGTAACTAATGTTCTCGCAAATCTAAGGGAAATTCAATTGTTCTTCGTCGATAAACTGTTATATTATTTACGTGACCTTCGTATAATATTACTATCGATCACTTTCCGACTTAATAAATTAATATTAATACAATATGAATTTTTCCTCACATTTTCATTGTGTCGAATCTAAATTTCAAGAGCTCAGTAAATTCTTCAAAGGAATTCAATTATTTTTATAAATTGTAAAATTCTTCGCAAGAATTCAATTAATTTTAAAATTGAAAATATTTGAAAAGAAAAATTATTTTAAAAAAGTTAGAAAAAAAGCAAACAATCACCAACTTAAAACTGCTAACAAGTTACAAAAATTGATTGAATCCTTTTCGTAATAATCGATTATATAAAGTAATCTAACAATAAATTGAATTAGGTTTTCATTCAATAAATTTTTAATTATTAAATTAATTCTTTCGAACTAAATTTTCCAAATAGATATTTTTTACCGAAATGATTGAATTATTTTCATAATTACCAATTATTCAAATAAATCTTCAAAATTATTCTTTTTACCAAAATAATTGAATATTTTTCAAAATGTCCAAATTAATTATTCTTTTCTTTTTAAATTTGAATTATTGTTTTAAATCGTCTGACTTCTTGATCAATTTTTACTAAAACAAAAAAACAAAAATGATTATTCCTATTGTTATTTTTTTGTATCTTAATTTTTGAATTTCAATGATTGATTTTCACTTTTCTCTAAATCAAAAACTTTTTTCCCGTTTTTATAAAAATTATTTTAATAATTTCCTTATTGACATTAATTATCTCACATTCGAAAATTTTTATTCTATTATTTTAATCTTATCGGTGATTGATTCTTTTTCCAGTAATAATATTTATGTTACCGGTAAAACCCGAAGTCCAGGCATTTTGCGAAATGCCTAGGCAAATCGGGAAATACCTAAAAGTGGCCAGGAAATTCGAGTTTTACCTAGAAATTTTAGGCATTTCTCAAATTGCCTAGGTATTTCGCGAAATACCTAGTCATTTCGCGAAATGCCCAAGTCGATTTAGGCAAAATGAAAAGTTGATCATTTGTAAGCTGCGCATACTAATGTAAACAGATTGTTTACAAAATTATTAGTCTATTACACTGTTCGACAAAATATTGCTACAAGAATACGTCTCAATTTTGAGAAAAACGGGGTCAAAGTATCAAAATATGCCATTTTTAGCACTTTTTGAAGCACTATAAAAAAGAACGCGATGTGATAGAAAGCTCAAATATGTCTTAAATAAGAGCTCGAACCCTCAACTTTAACATCCAAAAGCAAAAAGCCAAGTAGAAATAACTTAAAATTGTGGGGAACAACTTTTTATTAATTTACCCTATATGATCGCTAACTAAAATAATAGCTGATGGGCGCGCACGCGGTAAAAAGTTGTTCACCACAATTTTGAGTTATTTCTACATAGTTTTTTGTTTTTAGATTTTAAAGTTGAGGGTTCGAGCTCTCATTTAAGACATATTTGAGCTTTCTATCACGTCGCGTTCTTTTTTTTATAGTGCTTCAAAAAGTGCTAAAAATGGGATATTTTGACACTTGGACCCCGTTTTTCTCAAAATTGAGACGTGATGGGACAATTTAACTTACAGATTCGTAATCTACGGCGAAAATCCCGTAAGTTTGACATGCTGCAACAAATAACCAGCAAAAAATATATGTTCACAATTAAGGTTTCAATAAATTTTTCAATTTGCCTAAATCGACTTCGGCATTTCGCGAAATGCCTAGGAAATTTACGAAAATGCCTAGGCAATTCGGAAAATACCTAAAAATGTCTAGGAAATTTGAGTAATACCTAAGATTTTAGGTATTTCCCGATTTGTCTAGGCATTTCGCAAAATGCCTGGACTTCGGGTTTTACCGGTAACATTTATACTTTATTTTACATTCTCTCGCTAAATCGAAAACATTTTTATTTTTCAGAATTTGAATTATTTTGAATCGCAGAAAAAATGGACTTTTCCATATATATAGTGAATGGGAAAAAATAAATTCCCTCAAAGAGAAATATTTTGAAAACAAAAAAATGAATTTTCCTTTAATCGTGTACGAAATTATTTAGTACTCTCATTTGATATTGAATGACGATTGAAATTTCCGTTGCGGTAATTCGTTATACATGTTATACAAAGGCAAACACGTGATTGAGTAAACTTTTGATCAAATAAATGCAGATATATAAGCAATTAAATTTCCAATTATATTCAAAATATAGAAGCGCGAATGTATAAAGTGGAATAGTGCGGGAAATCAATTCAAGTGTGGGGAAATTTGGAAAATTTAGTTCTCGCTCTGATTATTCAATATCAGAATACCTATTGTATAGCGAAGGATTATAATAATATAATTTCTCTCTGATTTTACAGTTACAGTGTATAACTGTATAATATGAATTTCGCTCGTGTGGTTCGCCAATGTTGGAAAATCTCTCTGCCATCCGCTTAGTAAACACTGCGGTCGTTAACGACGGTCACGTGGCATGGCGCCCGAAGGGTTAATTGGAGGAAATAAACGTATGCAAAAAGGGTGGTGGCGACGACGACTAGAGAGAAGCACTACCACCAACGGAATATATAGAAAATGCATTTACTTCGTTCTCGCACTTTCGTGACCAGGAAAGTGAAGACCGCCCGTTGTGTGTCGTTTCATGCAAATGAGACTCAGACATTTATCTCTCTTGGCTGACGAAAAATAAAAAGAAGAGGAGAGAGAAAAAAAAAGATGAAAATGAAAAAGATAATAGGGAACAACGGTTGGTGAATGTATGTACACCAAAAAGGGCTGTCAGTCGACCAAGTACGTAGGAGGGACCCTATTAAGCCGCTCAGCATGCCACAGGACACACGTTTATCATTATTGCGAATGTCATTATTATTATTATCATTATTCTATGAAATTACTCCCATTTATGTATTACTCGCTCTACGGGCAAGTACTTGCAAAAATTAGTTTTGCTATTTTTTTCTTCTTTTTTTTTCTTTTGTCTTTAGAACATTTTTGGAATTTTTATTTAGTATTGCCAATCGTTCTGGATTTCGTTTCGTCATAAATTTCAACAGAGTTGTCACAAAAAATTAAATTCTTTTTCTCTGAATTCCAGACAAAATTTTGCCTTTCTCCATGACTCTAAAGAATATTCTGATTCATTCTAAACATGATTAGACACTCAAATAAAATGTTCTATTACGTTTATTTACAAATTTCTTTAAAAGTAAAATTATTCGAAAACAACAATAACTTCATTTTTCAATAAATATTTAATCATTATTATTTTATTCCCGTAGGAATTAAAATTCTTTAAAACATTTAAATTCAAACCTTTTTGAAATTAAACTTAAAAAAGATTGTTAGAAAACATGAAGAAATCGATTACTCCGAGTCTTCGACTCGAAGCAATCGATGTCTTCATATTTTAATTATAATAATTAAAGATGATCGAGTAAAAAAATCATTATTTTATATTGTAAGAATATTGTTACTGTAACTTCTTCAAAATTATTTTCATCATTTCAATTTAATTTTTATTTTCTGGAATTTTTAACTAAAATTCTTCTTTAAATCAATTATTTTGATAAAAAGTCGAAATAATAATTTCAAGTAAAATTGGATAAAACTTTTTCAAAAAAATTAATTCTCTTACAAAATTGTCAGTTAAAATTGTATAAAAAATGCAAATTTTCAAAGAATTATTTTTTAATAGGAAATAAAAAGTCCAAATAATAATTTGAAGTAAGGTTTAATTTATTAAACTTTTCCAAAAAAATTAATTCTTTTACAGAATTGTTAGTTAAAAGTATGGAAAATTCAAATTTTCAAATATTTTAATTTGAAACCTTTTCAAAGTTAAATTATTTCTAATAATTAACGCTATAATGCTTTTAATATTCAAATATTGTCTAAAATTTTAACTGAAATTTATTTTTTAAATCATTTTATATTAGAAAGTTCTACTAGAGTTCAATTATTTAAATACAAAAATAAATAATTTATTGAATAATTGCATCTTTCTTAAAATTGAATTCTCATAAAGAATTTTATTAACCAATTTTTAAATAATTCAATTTATTCGGTGAATTTTAATAAAATTTTTAATCGATTAATTACATTTTTCTATAGGAATTCGATTAAAATTGTATGAACCGCGATGAGTTTTATTATTTATTATTTATACAGAAAATTAAATTCTTGTCAAGAATTTTATTTAAATTTTGGTAAAAAATTGATTTTGGGAAGAATTTTATTACTTATGAAGATACTTTAATTTTTGGGAAATTTTTTACTAAAACTTTTGAAAAACGAAATTGTAGATTTTATTTTAGAAATTAATGAAAAAATTTTGCAGAATTTCGCTTTCATAATTATAATTTTTATGCAAAATCTTTTTTTTTTATAAAGAGGCAAAAAATAAATTTAAAAATAAAATTGATTGCAAAAGATGTCTCAATCAGAATTTTTTAACAAATCTTCCAAGTTTTTTTTAATAGTAAATAAAAAAATTTGCATAATTTCTATTAATAATAATAATACTAATAAAATTGGAAAAACGAAAATAATTTCAATTTCTATAAAGAAAGTAAAAAAAATGAAAAAACAATTTAGAGAAAATAATTAAAATAATAAAATGGAAAAAAGTCTATTGAATAAAGTTGCAATTTATTTACTCTTTATAGGATAAAAAGCATCTAAAAGTATGACTTTGGTATTTTTCGATTTACGACAAGAGAAGAGAGGTGACACGGTACAGTTTCATTCGCGTGAGGAGATCCAACTCGATCCCCTTTTACGACATTGAGTTTGGCAATAAGAAAGTTAGCAGCGAACGTATATAGCAAGAAGTAGTGGCAAAAGGAAGAAAAAAAAGGGAAAAAAAGGAAAAAAGAGAGAAAAAAAGGGGAGAAAAAAGCAAAGAAATGGAGGATAAAAGAAGATGGAGGAAGTGAGGAGCTATATGCCAGGTGCACTCCCACTCCGCAAGGGCATTAAGAATTGAATCGAATGTGGGCGAAACTTCTTTATCTCACAACTCGATGTCTTCGCCTTTCTCCACCTTTTCGACCTCGTTTTTCTTTTTCTTTTCTTTTCTTTTCATTTTTCCCCCTTTGTATTCCTCAAATCTATATAACAACTTATTTATATATAAATCAAAATACGAAAATAATTCGTACTAGTCTCTTATTAATAATATCGATTCCATATTTTTATCAATTAGGAAAAGTTGATATCGATATTGATAAAAAATCAATTGGAACTAATAAAATTAGAAATAAATAATTAATATAAATTAATGAAAGTGGTAAAGAATTAATAAAAGCTGTAGAAACTGATAAAATTAATAAAAATTTTTAAATGTTTCACTAAATACGGATTTCTCTAAATCTGAATTTATTTTACTGAAAATTAGTAAATATTCTTAAGTGTTAATTAGTGTCTCAATTTTCTCTAATTTATATTTAGAGAGAAATTAATTTACTTACTCAGAAATACGATTTTTTTAGTCATGCTTTTAGTCATTTTCTAATATAAAACCAGATTAAAACTTTATTAAACAAAATTAAATCCCATAATAAAATCTCCAAATAAAATTATAGTGAAATTTTACTACAAATTAATTTTTCATTAATTTTTATTAATTCGTATACTAAATTCTTTATTTAATTCTTTATTTAATTCTTATTAGGTAAACAATTAATTTAATTTAAATAAAATATGTAAAATATATTTTAAAAACAATAAAACTTACCATCCTTGTTCATTCCCATGTGCATACATTTCTTTAAACGACACGCTTGACATTGATTTCTGTGCGCTTTGTCCACAACGCATCTTCCGGTACCTGCTTGACATCTAAACCATAAAAAATTTCGAAATTATTAAAAATCTATTATTACTGAATTTAATAACTATCAATTATCAAGTGTGCGAAACGTGGTATTCAATTTATTATTATTAAGCGAATTTAAAAATTTTTTATTTTCAAATTTCAAATTCAATTTTTGAATAATTCAGATTCAAAAAATTTTTAAAATTCACTTTTATTGAGTTCAATTGTTTTCAATAAAATTTTTATAAAATCTCACGAAAGGATTACATTATTTTTAAAAATTAGTTAAATATTTTTTCGACAGAATTTCAATTATTTTATAAAATTATAATAAAATTCTTCGTAAGAATTAAATTATTTTTATAAATAATAAAATTCTTCTCAGGAATTTAATTATTTTTAATTCACTTTTAACAAAATTTCACGAAAGGATTCAATTATTTTTAATAATTAGTTAAACATTTTTTGACAGAATTCAATTATTTTCTAAAATTATAATAAAATTCTTCGTAAGAATTCAATTATTTTGATAAATAATACAATTCTTCTCAGGAATTCAATTATTTTTAATAATTGTAATAGAATTAATATAAAGCATTCAATGTTATATTCTCAAAAGTTTTGATAACATTTTTTATAAGAATTCAATTATTTTCAGTAGAATTTTTATAAAATTTCTCCATAAAATTCAATTATTTTTAAAAATTTTCATAAAATTCAGAAACAAATTCAATTTCCAAAAAAATTTCCATAAAATTCAATGAAAATTATTTTAAAAAACTATTATTTTTAAAAAACTTAAATTTTATCCAATTTTTTGATTCAGCAACTAAGTAAAAATTAATAATAATAAAAAGAATTAAAAATTAATTAATTAATTAGAATTATTAATAATAAATAATAATAGTAATAATTAACTAATTATTAGTAAAGTCATTGTTTGTCAAAGAATGAATAATAATTTTTAGAAAAAAAAAAATTGAATTTGTAATAAATGTATAAAAAAAATATTGATAAAAAGTTTTTCTCATATTTATAAAATATCGGCATTCAAATCCATTTATATTTTGACAAACTGAGTTTTAATTTAATTTACAAACTACAAATTATTGAATTTTACTAGTTTTTAAGTAGTATAGGTCAATATTAGTCAGACAAAACACCTATTTCAATGATGAATACAAACATCTTTTCTCAACGCAACAATTATTTTAAAAATTAAGTAGGGAAATAATAATTGTTTTTTTAAGTAGTATAGGTCAATATTAGTCAGACAAAATATTTGTTTCAATTGTGAATACAAATATCTTTTCTCAACACAACAATTATTTTAAAAATTAAGTAGGAGAATAATAATTGGACTATTTTCTTGGTGTTAATTTATTATTTAAATATTTTTCTTTATATTAATAAATATAATAATTAAATAAATAAATTTTTAATTATGAATACTATTAGTGATTATAATTGTGCGATAACATTTTTAAAATCTAAAAACCTATTTGAAAATTCACTTCCACAGTTGAATTTTTCTTCAGTAGTAGAAATTGTCTGACCTGTAACTAGCTTCGACTACTTAAAACTACATGTATAAACGTTGTCTTACCATCCCACGTAAAAAAGTTCCCGGGAATTGGACCGAGAAACTTTCCGGGAGACACTCTCGAAAAAATCCCGTGAAATTCCCGGGAAAGTCCCGAGAATTTCTCGAGAGTGACTACAGGGAATTTCTCGGTCTAATACCCAGGAACTTTTTCACGTAGGTTATCAATTTTATTATTTTTTATTGACTGGAAACATTCTAGATTGTTGCCGGGATGTTGCTGAGCAACATCCTGGAAGACAGAAAATTATATTGTGACTTTCAAATGCTTTTAAAAAAAGTAACCACACAGCCGCCGATTAGCAGAAGATCAAAATTGTCATAAAGGAAGTTTAAATTAAATTCTTTTCAATTTTATTAGTTTTTATTGACTAGAAATGAACTAGATTGTTGCTAGGATGTTGCTGAACAACATGTTGAGAAATAAAAAATTTTACTGTGACTTTTAAGCACTTTTAAATAAAAGTAACTACAGCCGCCAAAAAGGAGAAGATTAAAATTGTCATAAAAAGAAGTTTAAATTAATTTCTTCCCACGTGAAAAAGTTTTCGAGAATTGGACCGAGAAATTCTCGGGAATTTCCCGGTAGAGTTCCGAGAATTTCTCGAGAGTGATTCCCTGGAATTTCTCGGTCCAATTCCCGGGAACTTTTTCACGTGGGATAGCACTAGCGCTACCTTTTTAAGTGTCTCGTATTATTTTGTCTGATTAATATTGACTTTTACTACTGTCTTAACACAAGTACATTTGTTCATATTTGCAGTGTCTGATTTCTGGCAAATATTGACACTAACTACTTGACGCCGTGAACTATGAAAATGATCTGTCTGACAACAGATTGATCTTTACTACTTAAATCAATGTATCACTAAATTGAGGGTCCCAATCAAAGAACCGGTTATACGTTTTAGAGACTCAAAATTCTCGACCTCTAAATAAAAACAGGATTTAAAATTTTAATTTCTTGAAAATATTTCGTATTTGTATAAAGATTACCAAAATGTTTCTCAAAAAATTAATATTAAAAACAGTTTAATTTTTTACTTACAGGGCAATGATTTTGAGCTTAAAAAAATTATAACCGGTTCTTTGATTGGGACCCTCAATTGTAAATTGAAATACGTATAAATATCTATTATATTAAATATATTTTCATTACTTTTTCTACTAAACATTTTATTATAAAATTTTAGAAAGTTAAACTAAATAAATAATATTAAACTAAACATCTACCAAAATAGATAAAAATAATAAATTTAATATTTAATTTTTAATTAATTTAATAATTTGAATAAATTGGAATAATAAATTAGTATAACAATAAACAAAAAATAGTCTATTCCTATATTACGTTTATGATAAATGAATATTGAAGCGCAAGGTATTTATAATTTTATAGTGAAAATAGAATGTTTGGATTTAACTTTAATCGTGTATCATAATCATAATAAGTTTGTGCTTTAGGAAAGTTTGAGCAGGCAGGCAGGCAGGCAGGTATTTCGTGCTCATCACAAAATAACGTTGCAAACGCAGGGATTGGTTGAGATTAAGAGGATAAGGAGTAAGTACGTGACCTCGAGGGTCTCTCTTTACGTCGCGTCGGCCGCGACGAGAGAGGGATAACCACGTTATCCCAACAATGAAAGTAATCGAATTTAACACCACCTACTGACTAACCCACCCTGGATTTCCGACAAGTGCACCAAAATTTATTGCCAACTTGGGGCGGGAAAAAAAATTGTTTCACCAAAAACTTTCTTTATCCCAAATCTTATTAATTTCTTCTTTTTTTTATTTTTAATAACTTTTCAAATATTTTTCTTTCCTTTTTGCTTAACTCTTTTTTTTCTTTTCTATTTAATTTTTTACTTCTTTTCTTCTTTTTTTAATAATCGTAACGTCTTTTATTTTGGAAAAAACAGGGTTGACACAAAAAATTAATTTTGTTCTTCCCTGACTTTTCCATGATTTCCAGACAAAATTTTCAGTTTTTCCCTGACTCTAAAGAATATTCTGATTTACTCCAAAAATTATTAATTACTTAAAAAAAAATGTTCTATTAGATTTGTTTATGGATTTTTTTAATTGTAAAATTTTTCGAAAACATCAAAAAAATTTTTTTTAATAAATATTGAATCATTATTATTCCTTCATAGGAATTCACCTTTACAGAAAACTTCAATTATTTTTAATTCAGTTTTAAATAAATTCCTCCTAAAATGTAATTATTTTCAAAAAATTTTTACAAGAATTCAAATACACTTCACAAATAATGAAATTTTTCGCTGAATAATTCAAATATTATAAAAATCTGCTATTTTAATCATATTTTTCAAAAGAATTCAATTATTTTTCTAAATAATAACATTCTTAACAGGATTTCAATTATTTATGAAAATATATAATAAAAATTCGTTTCAAGAATTCAATTATTCTCCTAAATAATAAAATTCTTTAGAGGATTTAAATTATTTTTAATACATTTTTAAGTAAAATCTTCGAGATATATACCCGTGTAGAAAAATTTCTTGGCGCTAGCTAGCAGTGCTAGATACATGGTAAATTTACATGCAGTCTAGCGCTGCTAGCTAGCGCCAGGAAATTTTTCTACACGGGTAATTATTTTTAAAATTTTTATTAAAATTCTTCGAAATAAATCAATAAATTATCAATCAGATATCAATTATTTTTAATAATTATTGCAAAAGTTCCTTAAGAATTTTTAAATCGATTTGTTTACAATCCAATTTTACGAAATTTTGATTATTCGAAAATCCTTGAGTTAAATATTTTAAAAATAAAGACTTATTGAAATAATTTTTAAAAAAAATTCAATTAAACTTTTTCAAAAAAATTAATTCTACAGAATTGTCAGTTAAAAAATATAAAAAATTAACATTTTCAAAGACTTTAATTTGAACTTTAATTAACTTTAATTTAACTTTGTTTAAATCAATTTTTATTATTAAATTCCAGGAGAATTCAATTATTTAAATATAAAAAGTAAATAATTTATTGAATGATTAAATATTTCTCAAAATTGAATTCCCATAAAGAATTTTATCAACAAATTTTTAAATAATTGAATTTTTTCGATTAATTTTAATAAAATTTTGAAAAATTCAAGAAATTCGAACCAAAAATTGTATTAAAAATAATTGAAATTCTGCAACAAGTTTATTTTTATTCATGATGAAAATAATTGAATCGCTGTAAAAAATTTGATTATTTATGAAAATAATTGAATATGAAAATAATTGAAAATAATTTTGAAGAAATTTATAAAAAATTTGAAAATAGCTATGAATTTTTGTGAAATTTTTATTATTTATGAAAATAATTTAATGTTTGCTTAGAATTTTATCAAAAATTTTTTTTAAACAATTGAATTATTTAAAAAGAATTTATTAAAATAGTAGA